GGATTGTCGAAGTCCAAAGGAACACATGTGGAACAAGTTCCAGACCTGGTACTCGGCTCAACACAAGGGTCAAAAACCAGCTGATAGTGAGTGGATACTTTCCACCAGTGTACACTTGTGAGCTCACCAATCTGATAGTGCATGTCAGCGTCTGGAACGGGCAGGTCAGCAAAGCGTACGACGATCGTTTGGCCCAGCTGGGCCGGGAACAGCAAAGCAATGTCGACGCGCTCAACGAGCATTTTAGTGATGTCCTTGATTGGTATGCAATCCACATGGAGGAAAAGATAATCGATACAAGAAGGAGTGGAAAGTTTCCCGCTTTGGTTGCCGATGTGGCCAAGAATCTCACTCGTGTGGTCTGTAATGCAGATTTTCTGTGGATGAGTGTTATTAACATGTTTGCAGTCAGCAAAAGCATATCGGCAACTCAACGTGCATGCTTTCGGGGTAATCATTGACGAAGACGGACAGCACAGTTGCGCGTGGGGGGGATCACCCGAGTACCTGCAACTGATGAAGACGTTTCCAGTGGCTATCGATCGTCAATTACGAGACTATGAAACTATGCTGCGGTAGGCGTTAGCTAGAAAACCTTCGCTGTGATGCTGACTGGCTTACAGAAAGTTGGACATGGATGAACGTGCATTGGACATGCCAATGACCGAGCAGACAACCATAGCCGCAAGTGCACAGGCGTCACAGGCCAAGAACTCGGGAGCTCCCATCATGGGCAATCGATCGGAGCGACGGATAGTGGGCGCAGGCGGCAAGCAGTACGCAGATAAGCGGAGCATGGAACGAGCACGCGTGCAGGATCTTTTGCGTATGGCGATGGGCAAGTGAACAAGTTTGTTAATGCATTGTAGCCCTCTGACAGATGCTACATAGAACGTGCTGGAGGTTTCCAGCTGAAGAAGATGAGCTGGGACCTTCTGAACCTCTGTCGACGCCATCAGCTCAGGCTCGTCAATTGGCCAGATGGCTTCAAGTTGCCGCAGCCAAATTGGAAACCGTCGGCTGAGTTAGTACAACGCGTGCTTCTCGGTATGGAGTTGCGTGCAAAACCAGACGACTACAAAATTTTGCCGGTGGATGATGCCCAGTCAATTGCGGAAAAAACTGCCAAAGAGAAACTTGCGTGCGCAGCCCCCGACTTCGTGAAGTGGACAGACGGTCAGTCGTACCAAATAGCTTGTTTCCTGCTCACTCATACCATGATATAGAAGAGATAGAGGCTGCAGACGATCCAGACGAGGTGGGCAACATTGTGTTGGCAACACGTTTGGGGGATAACGATGAAATCGCCTGGGTCTGGGACTCCACGTCTTACAAAAAGGAGATCAACGACGAAAAGGAGAAGAGAGAGGGCAAGCGGCCGATGGCAGCTCGCTTGCCGACTCCAAATCAACGGGCGCCCAGCTTGGCTGATGAGCTCAATGACACTGACGTGGATGACAGTGAGCCGCCACGCAAACGTCAGCGGATGAACAGGGAGTTGCTGATGCAGCAGCTGGAGAAAGATCCCAGAGAGGGCAAGCACGTTTGTCGATATGTCTTTGGAGAACGATCCTCCAGGACGTTCTTTGTTACTCGATTCCGCAGACGGAGTATAGGCGACGCGATGGTTGTAGACGACTACATCAGTCAAGGCTTGCAAATGGAGCAGGAGGGTCAGTGGAAGCGCGTGGACCTCCGCCTCCTGCCGGTTGTTGCCGAGCGGCACAGGGGCTTACACGAAACGCTGTACAAAGATTTGCTTGACACTGGATGCTACGGGACTGTGATGTGACCTATATTAGTCTCATGTGTTGTCTGGACAATTTCTATTGTTTCGCACTTACTGTACTGCTGTCGTTCTTGATCTCATTAATGTGTTACTCGTATCTTTATTGTCTAAGCGATATGGGCGGCCCCGTAATTGTCTTGGCGATTGGCGGGCGGCCCCATAGTTATCTAACCGATATGGGCGGCCCCGTAATTATCTTGGCAATTGGCAGGCGGCCCCATAGTTATCTAACCGATATGGGCGGCCCCATAATTATCTTGGCAATTGGCGGGCGGCCCCATGATCATCTAAGCGATATGGGCGGCCCCGTAATTATCTAACCGATATGGGCGGCCCCATAGTAATCTTGGCAATAGGCGGGCGGGCCCACACTTTCCTTGGGCGGGCCCATAACTCTGTGGGCGGGCTCACACTTGCCTAGGCGTCAATATGTCACATACATTTTTCCTGTGCTCAGGAATCATCTGTCGCTGAGAATATATCTACGTTCGAAAGAGAATATAAAAAACATCTGTATGCATCATTCACTCAAGTCATAAAGCGCACAAGATAAGGATTTTTTTTCTTCGAGTCCATAAGCCTACAAAATAGTGACTTGATATATCCTTAAGAGAAAGAATAAGTCATGTTACATTCATAATATGTTCATAAATACAAGTCATATGTTACATTCTATGCCAGTTATTGCGTAGGTTGCAAAAATATACATGACTTTTACTTTCCAAATAGGCCAAAAAAACAGAAAATTTTCGGGCGCTGCGCGCGCTATCAGGACCCCGGGAGCCATGGGCACGCCCAAGGCCGCCCACTGGCCGCCCATGGATTTTTGAGTGGGGCCGCCCAGAGCATTGGGGGGGGCCCAGCAGCCGCCCAGCCCACAGCCGCCCACTACCACTGAGGTACCTTGTTTGGGCCTCAAAAAGGTACCTCTCGAGGTACAAATGTGGGGTGTCCAAGGTGTCCTTACACGGTTGTGCAGCTTGTAGCCTAGCCTGTTGAGGCACTGTTCAATTGTTTTTGTCAGTGCACGGTTGTTGGGTGCCTGGTTAAGGAACAGATCCTGCGCAAAGTCTAGCACTCGCATGTCCACACCCAGGTGCGGTTCCATGGGCGAGCTTGGAAAGAAGCCACGGGCAATGAGCTGCTGCATTCCTGGGTGACAGGCACAGTGCTGCAGTGAAATTCTGTCTAGATCTGCAACTATTCAGCAGAGATGATGGATGGGCACACAAGTACCTACCGTGCCAACGAAGCAGGTAGACCTGGATCTCTTTCTGTTTTCCGCAAATGCATGAAGCCATATACGGGGTTGCACAATTGAGGTGACGCAGACACTCCGTTTGAAGCATGAGATCCACATAGCCAGGAAGTAGGGTGGGAATGGTTTCCATGACCCAGCACGTAGTCTGCTTCTCTCGGTGATAGGCTGGCTACCAGACGCGCTCTGCACCAACTCTGTAAGGGCGTATTTTTGCGCTTTTTACAGAGTTTACTCTTGAACCACTCGGTGTATCGTGTCGCGGTTGACAGTGTTGCGCTCAGTAGGACTTATGGGTCTACTGCCCAGTCGACGACTGTGGATAGTGTCGACGATAGCAAGGCAGTCAGATCACTACTGTGGAATTGGTCTTATGAGTCTACACCAGGCTCAGGGCCATTAGTGACGAACGCTTGGACCGCGACCATTCCCCCAAAAAGGGATCTGTCGTTGCGTCGACTTCTCGAAAAGGGTCATTCCCTGCAGATGGGAACTTGGGCTGAAGGACTGAGCAATGCGCGACGTTCTCAATAATAGAACTATTACTGGACAGGACTTGGCATTACGAGACTTAAACCATCTTGTCGCGGCAACTCCCGGTTTTGAGTTGGACGTTCCCTCAGATCATGCCACGACGACGACTTGTCACATGTCAGGATCCATTCGATCACGGGACATTGTGGACGCGTCGCGGTGACACTTCCAAGTGTCACAGCGAGTCGCGCCCATACTCAAACACACTAAAATCGATACGGCTAGATCCGTGAACCGAGCCATGTGGGAGACGACTGGCGTGCCTAGAGCCATACGGCTTCTTGGGGCGCCCACGTTGGTCTCACATGCCAAGACATACCCGTTGGCCAATCCAGCACGTCGTATTCCAAAAGTATGACGCGGTGGGTTGGCCCACATCAAAAGTATCATATGGACAATGGGGCGGGGTCCTGATCACTCAGGACCTGTCCGATCATTCAACTTTTCAATTACCCTAAAAGGCAACCGATCTTAGATAGCGTAGCTACTATGCAGTTGTACAGGACTTTACTAAGCAGCGTCGTAGACAGTATAAGTAGCACGTCGTCTCTTTGTATTAGAGAGCTTTTCCCCGGACTGTGAATCACTCTCATATCAGATTGTCTTGTACAATTTGCGTGCCGCGTGATTCCACCCTAAGAAGTTCTGCCATCCCTGCCCGGTCGCGACGAGTTGCTCCCTGAGCACTTGTAGCTACTGTGATTTGAGTTTGAGTTGAGATATCAGAAAGTCGGATTTGCCGCATCTGGTATTGTCGCGGCATTTAGTGTCATCGCCTTAGGGCTTTGTTGAGATCGTTCCACACCTCTAGCTTGGCAGTGCGTCGACTAGTTGTGCTCGGGTTGTTTTGGTCAGTTGGCAGTGCGTCGACTTGAGAACTTTGGTTCCACACTTCTTGCTTGGCAGTGCGTCGACAAGTTGTGCTCGGGTTTTGGACATTGGATATTGGCTGTTAGTTGGCAGTGCGTCGACGCGGCATTTTGGTTTACTAGTTGGCAGTGCGTCGACTCAGTACTTTTGGTTGTGTCAGTTGGCAGTGCGTCGACTCGACATTTTGGTTTACTAGTTGGCAGTGCGTCGACTCAGTATATTGGTTGTATCGGTTGGCAGTGCGTCGACTTGATATTTGGGCTTTGCGTCACCATCTAGACGCTGTCGCTACAAGGGATCTTAATACTTCGTATTAAGCTCTGACTTGTTATATTGTTGGTTGTGGATTGGATTAGTGTTGGTTGTGTTCGTATAGGAGATATTGGTTGAGATACCATTGTTTGCTATATATAAATTCTTGTCGTCGACTTCGCCTCCGCGACTATTGGATCTGCGTCTATTGAGAGTTGTGATACTGGTGCTCTGTCCACCCCGAAGCCCTCGCATCTTTCACACACTGAGAAGCTGATTACGAGGAGTGTGAACGTGTTTATATTTGGGTTTACTTTCATAGTAGATTCACTTGTGAGCACGCCCTCAGCATTTCATCGGGCCACAGAGTGCGCCGTTGGGGCAGCCACTGCATCGGAGTGCACAGGTGTTATGTAGTTAGCTTCGTCGTCAACTCCATCGTTGGCACGCAGCGATTCCCAGCCCTCTAGATTCTCCAGGCAGGAGGTGTTCAACGCAAACCCGACCTGACCAGGTGGGGCTCTGACGTAGTCTTGATACAGTGTTACACCATTGGCGCAGTAAATGGGAGGTGGACACCAAGCACCTTGTTGCTGTGGCGGTTGTACACTGCTGAGCGCAAACGCCTGGGCTTTGACGGGGCTCTTCGACGAGTGGCGCGGGTTGGGCATTGCTAGAGTAGTGCAGAAACAGGTAGGTCAATCAGCAAGCGCGTATGCTGCACAGCAAAAGTGCTCACCAAGATGGAAGATGGGCCTGCCACTGAGGTGGGGGATGGACCGGCAGATGTTCCAGCAGACATCTACGGTATTCAGTGAGCTTTAAGTAGGCCGGCTTTATTATTTCTAGCTCACTGGTCCTCAATTCGGACTCTATTAATTCTATGTACTAACACTACTCGTGGGACATCTACCACCTTGAATGCAGTGGATGGCGGTGATAAGTGAAGTTCTGGTGACTCCAAGTTTATCATCTCTTCTCTGGGTCTGCCTTATGTTAAACGGACTGGGCCTCGCCCGACGGACACGGGCCAAGGTTGATGTGTTATTGTTTCCGCATTGCGACGTTCGCTGACATTCCCGAGGCTTCTTCATGATTGGTGGAACGTCACCCAGTGCGACTTAGAAGCTATATATTCCAATCGTTCCTCCAGTCTGTGCTGCAGAATTTCCCACATCTACAACTCATGAACTCGAGTGGCCCGAAGGTGGTACGCGTCGCCGTCACCCAGGCCGAGCCATGCTGGTTCGATCTGAATGCGGCGGTAGCCAAAACGTGCCAGCTGATCGTTACAGCGGCAGAGAATGGTGCTAAGCTCGTCGTCTTTCCTGAGTGTTGGATTCCTGGATATCCTTGTTGGATTTGGTGAGTGCTCTACAATTCTAGACTGCTGCACAAGCCTGAAACCTTTCAAGGACACGACTGGTGGACTTTGACCTCGGTGTAAAGTACATCAAGAACAGCCTGAGCGTCTCTTCGCCCCAGATGCGAGCTATCCAGGCTTGCGCAAAGGACAACGACATCGCTGTGTGTCTCGGGTTTTCGGAGAACGACAACAACAGTCTCTACATTGCTCAAATCATGGTGGGGCCCGACGGTACGTTGTCTGGGCACCGCCGCAAGATGAAGCCCACGCACATGGAGAGAACCGTGTTTGGAGACGCGTCGGGCCACTGTCTCACCGCTGTCTCACCACTTCCGCTTCTCCGGCCCGCAAGCGAGGATCTGGTCCGCGTCGGGGCACTCAGCTGTTGGGAGCACATACAGCCGCTCCTGAAATTTGCGACGCTTGCGCAGGGAGAGGATATCCACGTCGCTGCCTGGCCGAGCCTCGAGGTGCACAAAGACGATGGGCCGGGTTTGTGGAGCATGTCGCGGGAAGGATGCCACACGCAGTCGCGGATGTATGCTATCGAAGCGGGGTGCTTCGTGTTGCACTGCACAGCGCTTACGAGCGACAAATCTATTGCTGCGCACAACAACGCGGGCGGTGCGATCATGGCTCAGCCCGGAGGTGGGTCGTCTGCCGTGTTCGGGCCTGATGGACGACGTTTGAGTGAGCCTCTGGACGAGCACACGGAGGGGATTGTCTATGCGGATCTGGATATGGACGCCATTTTGAGGGTCAAGATGTTTGCGGATTGTACTGGCCACTATAGTCGGCCCGATCTTTTGAGGCTGATGGCGGACAAGGAAGTCAAAAATGTTCTTAGCAACACTTCATAATCCAACGCTGTATCCAGTTCAGAAATACAAGCAAGGAATTTTGATTTACGTGCCTCATGATTCCAGAAGACTCCGCGCAGAATGTCCTTCATCAACTCGAACCACCGAGATTCCGCGCTATGAGGTATAAACTAGTCCTCGTTTCTCGAATGAATGAGCCGAACCTTTTCCAGAATTACGAGGGAGGAACTCGGAGGACTTGCTTGCGCTGAGGATGATTTGATGAAGGAACGGGAAAACAGGTACAATATATAAAGTAGACTCGAGCCAGTCACTATTGGCATCAATGAACACACGATCGTCCTCTTGACCTGTCACCATAGGGACTGGACTGGAGTCTAATACGTACCCTTTTGTTCCTTCCCTCCTACGTCCATCAGCCATCCTGGTCAAGCAGCTAGAAGGCTCCCATGACTACGAACGAGCTGGTCGAATATGGCGAAGCTACGTGAACACGTTCACCACGAACGCGAGCTCGCGTGATCTTCGTTTCGCCTAGCTCAAGCTCAAGATCAAGACGCTAGTGTCCCAGGGTCTTTCTGCCGACCGGTCAAGTTGGCCTGTGTTAAAACTGTCAGAAAGGGAGCTGCACGGCGTCGACCCGAAGCCAGTAGGAGACTTGTGGTTGCGGTCAACGAGGAGGCGGAGGAAACGTGGGCTGGCGAGAGACAACAGCGGGCTGCTTGGTTCGCGGGCTTTCTGACTGTACGCCTGGACATCTCAGTCCCGAAGGAGAGCGCGACCAGCTGCAGGAGATGACAGACCAGGTCAAAAGCGCCGGTGGGGGGAGGCAAAGCGTCCATTCCATGGATGCGCTCCATAAATGGCGTGCCAAGGATGGTCTGAAGGGGTTCATTGTTAGCACATGAGTCGAACACTGCTTGGAATGGCAATACTTCCTGGAATTTGCTTGGCCTGGTCATTCGTCGAAGACACATCCAGCGGCCGCCGCAAGAGCCGTCGGTTCAGAGGGCCGACGTCGCTGATGATGATCACTTATCTCTATTCTTAGGCATGTTGACTTTCAGCTAAGACCAGGTTGGCTTTTCCCTATACCCTTCGTCCACTGGTCGGGAGCTCTGTAGCAACATTCTTGACGACCGATCGAGGCTCATTTATGCTTTTTCGAGAACTACACCTGCGCGACCACTGCATACGCTCTCAAACACTCACGTCAAAGCCGGCATCGAAGTAACTTTCGGTACGTAACCGACTCACTCTGCGATTGGACGCACTGATCCTGTAAAGCATCATATGCCCCGACCTCAGGACCTGTATTTCACCGAACGGGAGCAGCGCGGACCGCGGCGCAAAGCTAAACGTGAGCTTTACCGCGTGTTTGGTCCTTCTTGCAAGACCACTGAACAGTCTCGGGAGATGCTCAGGAAATGCTCAAGCTCAGGTCGTTGATCCTATCAACATCGACATTGAGACGGTACGACACCAACGTTTTCAGCACCGAGAATGGGCAGCTACTCCTCAGACGAAAGAGGATGGGGTCATCTGGAATGCAAAAGAGGCATGGATAGCCGTGGTAAGTTCTCCCGATCGGCCTGATCTCCCCACTCTGACGTGCGTCTCTCAGACGTTTTTTCCAGTTTACACCCATTCATCACGGGCCTCGGAGACTATAATCTGGGAATATTGCACTGAACGCTAGGTCAGCGGTTGGCAACCCCGCTGCCATGTGAACGCTCCCGTGTGAATGCTGATGCGCGGATTTTAGCATTCCCTGACCTATTGCCTGGTTGTCGGGGCGGTTCCTCTTCGGGAGAAAGCAATGGGTCCCGGCGCGTCCGGATTCGCCATCTTTATGACCATCACTGCCCGCGTGTGCGAGAGCCAACTTGGATCTAAACCCGCAGCTCGTGGATTGTATAAAGAGGTGCAGAGCGAGCTGGTGAAAACTCAGTCTCGCTCTCTCTCTGTCCTCGGTGACACACACACACGGACTAAATGCTCTCTCTGTCGACCTTCCTGCATCTGGCGACGCTCGTCGCGGTCGCTGTCGCAATGCCCAGCAACGTCACCCGCACCGACACCGCCAAGCGCGCGACGTGCACGGTCAACAGCGTCTCGAGCGCGTCCAAGCTCTCGGGCTGCTCGAATGTCGTGATCGAGGCGTTCACCGTCCCGTCCGGGTCCACGCTCACCATTGCGGTAACTCGATCGGCCGCCGTTGCCTTTTGCCGCGCTGAATCGCTTCACAGGCTGCCAGCGGTGCGACCGTGACGATGAACGGGGACATCACGTTTGCCAAGACATCCTGTCAGTTCGCGTCCTCGACCGCTCGGGACTATTCATGGAATACTCATTTGTTCCAGCTGCGGGTCCTTTGATCACATTCAACACGAACAACATCAACTTCAACGGCGGTAACCACAAGATCAATGTCGGTTGCGATATCCGCGTTGCGCAGCGCCGTCGATTGACCGAGTTTGCAGGGCAACGGTGCTGCTTACTGGGACGGAAAAGGCACCAACGGCGGCTCGACCAAGCCCCATCCTTTCGTCAAGTTGCGCTGCCTTGTTTCGCTGAGGCTTGAAGCTAACGAGCACGTTTTCAGATTCAAGGGCTCTGGCACGTTCGCGTCGGTCACGGTCCTCAACTCTCCGGCTCAGGCCATCTCCGTCGGCACCACCGGCGCTACTCTGATCCAGCAGGTGACCGTGGACAACTGTGCGTGGTCAATCTGGGATATCATCACCTGCTGACACCCAGCATACTCGCCAGCGGCCGGATCCTCGCTCGGCCACAACACCGACGGGTTCGACATCAGCGCCGACTCGGTGACCGTGTCCCAGTGCAAGGTCATGAACCAGGACGACTGCGTCGCGGTCAACAAGGGCAACGCGATCACGATCCAGGACACGACCTGCATCGGCAGCCACGGGATCTCGATCGGGTCGATCGCGTCGGGCCACTCGGTGACGAACTTCCGCGCGGCGCGCAACACGATCAGCGGCGGGCTGTACGGTCTGCGCATCAAGGTCGACGCCAGCGCGACCGGCGCCAAGGTCTCCGATGTCACCTACGACTCGTGCGTCTGCTTCGTAAATGGGTGTGGACCGTCGGTTCGATGCACTGACTCTGCCTCCTTCCCCCAGGAACGTGATCTCGGGCATCAGCGACTACGGTGTGCTGATCACGCAGAGCTACCCCGCGAACGACGGCACGCCCGGAAAGGGCGGCCCGATCTCGAACGTGGCGTTCACGGGTGGAACGACGACGGTCGCGGTGGACAGCAGCGCGCAGTCGGTCGTGATCGACTGCGGCGCGTGCTCCGGAAACTGGAACTTTGCGGGTCTTAAAGTGACCTCGGCGGGCAAGGGCCACAAGATTGCTGCTGACAAGGCGGTGGTACGTGCTTCTTTCTTCAACTGCTTATCATTGGAAACCTGACCTCTGGCTGCAGATCAGCGGCGGATCTTACTAAAGAAGAAATGTTTGTGTAACTGCTGTATTGTTGTTCTAGGTCATGTTTGCTTGTGTATCAAATCGAAATACCCTGAATCTGGTTGAACTATTCTGACTTGAAACCTGTTGTGTGACTGGTCCCTTCCACCGCCCGACACCGGTACAAAAGGGGTAGAAAGTACACGGAAGATTTGCGAATCGTAGTCACGTGCAAGTCCTCCGCTTTCCTGATTTGGAAATATCTATTATGTTACCCTTCTACAAGATAAACAAACAGTTCGTCTCAGAATCCCAGCTCTTCAACAAGACTCTGCCACGTTACATCCAATGGGGGCGAAGTCGTCGCGAAGTCGGCAAACTCGGGCAGAAGTCCATAGTCCGTTCCGGCCATTGCAGAGGCCATGTCTACATCGCTCACGTAGAACTGAGACGGCTCCCCCACATCGAAGCTGTCCATGTCCTGCGCACTGGTCGGGTGCATCTGCGAGCGCTCGCTTGTGGCTTCAGCAGACAAGTCAGTCGGGTCGACTTGTTCCGTCCTCCAGTCGTTGAAGTCGGCCGGGGGAGCTGGCGTAGGGGTCACCAGGTGCGTCCGCCCACCCAGACGATCCAGATCGGCAGGCGTGACTATGCATGCCTGGGGTGGAACGATATCCGGGTTTTTGGCGACGGCTGCTTGTGCTTTGTGGTTCAGCATCATAACGGCTCCCTGCGCGAACTCAAGCTCAGAAACAGCGATACAGAATAACTGATGAACTCTCACATTCATGCACTGGGCAAATCGGCTGTTAGAAGCTGCGTCTTGGAACAGCTGCGACACGACTTCCAGCTCTTCCAGGGCCGACGCCGTCATCTTAGACGATGGGGCGCGGATCACTAACACACACATGACAAGCTTCGAAGGATGAGCACCAGCAGTAGCTCTGGAAACAATACAAGACTCACCGCAGCTGACACCGCAGGAGACCAGGCACACCCGATGCGAGACACCGCTGGCCCTTGATCTCTCCATATTGAAGCAAGGCGAATGAGCCGCCACGCAGATCGATACGTCGCCATGACAGAGGGAATGTATCGATGAGTAGCCAGGTCCTCGGGCTGGTCGTGCAGCGCCTGAGTAAAGTACGGCCGGTGCAGATTCAGGAGGGCTTAGAAGGACGTCAATTCAGCAACTGACATGTGTAACAAGCAAAGGTACGCACTGCTCTCCTTGATGATTAAACACAGCAACTGGATCATGTGCTTTCCGCGGTCGACGGGCGGAGGTGCCCCACACACGGGCCGCAGAGACGGCGGGACATAGAAGTCGCGGACGCGACGATCCAAAGCCAAAATCGCATTGTAAGGTTTATTGGGAAGGGATGCCCCTATCACATCATGCATGAGCAATGAGTATTTCGAGACCCATGTCAGATCTGCTTGGAGGTAAGCGTTTATACATGGTGCACCTGCTGCAACGCACAGCTCATTTCCTTCACTCCGTCTGGGCCAATGACTTCATCGTCCGGATACGGACAATCCGTGTGTATCACCGAGACAGTCGGCGGTCGGCCCAGGGAAGCGCTCTACAAAATTGAGTCATTGAGAGCTGGGCACGAAACAGAGTGGGCACCCACAATCCATGTGTCCTGTACAAAGAGTTGCCAGAACAACCGATGACGTCTCTTCGATTCCGAATCGCACAATTTCCATCGCTTGCTGTTCAGGTCTAGGAGAGTGCTACTGAATGATGTGTGGCAAAGGCTGGATGAATGGTCTCACGTAAGCCGATCTATGAAGCAATCGTTCAGCTGAGCATTCAGGGAGAGATTGATCCAACGACACACCCCGTATGCGAGACGCACGGCCATCCCCACATGCAGCCAGCCCTGATTGGGACCCGTCGCTTCCCAGTCACTAAGCTCCAGGTACGATGCGAGATGCAGCTGCATCAAGAGTGAGTAAGGTGGGCTGCTTGAAACCAAGTGTGTGCTTCTCACCAGAGCCTGGATAGCCGCTAGTGTCGTCTCTTTCAACGGCGACACGATAGCGAGAACAGCCCTTGCGAGATGATAACACTCTCGTGCTTCGATGCTCCACGGATTCTTGACAGGGTCCAGGACGAGCGCGATGGCGAAGACAGCGAAAAGCAGGGAGAGATTGTGCGGGTTGTGCAGATTTTCGAAAGCTCTGGGCTGGTGCATCAGCACGAGGACACACAGCGGCGCGAGACGATGAATCGGCCCACTCACCCCGCGCGATACACTGTCTCCAAGACATCATCGATCAGCTCCGTTCGCGGCAGCGAAATGTTTCTCGGAGACAGGGGTCAGAAAGGGCTGTCCTTCCATCCATGCACAACGTCAAGAGCTTACAAGTATGTTGCATGAGTCACATACATGTCGCACAGTTCTATCGCTTCGGACAGCGGAGGCAGATGGCCGTATATCTCACGCCCGAGACTGAGATCCATTTTCTCCAAATCCGGGAAAGCGAGTGAGACGATACGCTTTGATAGCCTGCGAGGGATGATGGGAAGAGGGGCTTCGGATTTGGACAGGGCACGTAAGAGATGCTGCACGGTAATCCAGCATTGTGACGGAAGGAGGGAACATGGGGGCATGCATACACACCTCTGAGCGGGCTGTTTGTCCTAGGAAGTTCGCCTCGCCATGCGGTCCGATCGTTAACATGCCTAGTCGCCGATGGGCATGAAGCCATGAGGACAATCAGTCACGTACCAAATGCGTCAACTAAGGCTCCGTCTGCCTCCGGCGACGTCCGAGCGTCCGAGCCCTCGTCCGACACACGGGGAGACGACGAAGACTGATCGCAGCTTAAGGTCGGCGAGGCGGATGGATTGGGTCGGGGCGGAGTCTGGGTTTTGAGGCCGAGCAGATCTTCTCGCAGGAGGGGATGTGGGTGGGTCGATACGGACTCTTGGAAGGTCCGGAGTGCATCTTCAAGGTCACGGATGCGAGCGCAGAGCGTCGCAATACGGTTGTGCAAGTCTTCTGTGTTCGCGAGGATCATTCTGTGAGAGATCAGCATCGAGGTACGAGCTTGAGAAAGGCTGAGCTACCGGTTCCCTTTGCCTAGATGCTCGAATTCGAAAAGCTGCACTTGGAGAAGGCGCGATGGAAGGCGTACCGGAGGAGAGTTGGCCTACAAAGCGTCAGGTCACAGAACGGGTGATCGTGCACAACGGCGGGCTAACTTACCATCAGGACATATAGATCCACACCCTCTGCAAGTTCCTTCGTGTCAGCCGCAGACCCACAGCATTCCGTCAACCTCATACCGCGAGACACATTTTCCACAAGGGATCTATCACACGAGTTCACTTCACGTCAGCTCAGCCAAGTCTCGTTGACGCACGGATCTGTCGCAACGAAGTTTCAGACGACGACATTCAGCGCATGAAGTCGGACTACGCGAGGGAATGAGCGACCCCGTTCAGGAATCCGTCAGAGATGTTTCTGCACGCACACGCGACCCGGCTTCTTCTTTGGTCTGTCCTCCTTTTCCTTTCCCATTAGATCGAAGGTTTTGTGCGCTGGGGTATGGGGTGTGTCGGACAAAAGAGCTTTGAAGCGAACACTGGACGGCAGAGAAAGCGGGGGGGATGGTGCCGAACTCGTAATTATCATTGGATCACTAATCAGAGCATGAGTCAGCAGGATCACTGGCTCCCGATCAGGACGCAATGCTGTGCTCATGAGATCTGCTCACGGAGCTTGCGGTTCAGCCTTTTTCATGCCAGACACAAGGGAGATAATCGGTGTTTGGCAGCAGACAGCAGGTGATCTGGGCTGAAAGGCGGTACCTGGCTGACCATGGATTGGCTCAACCATCACTCGTTACATATTTTTTGTGGTCCGTGTTCAAGCTCGGGAGGCTGGAGCGATCTTTGCACACAGCATTGACGACGTGTACTCTCAAGTCCTGGTAACTTTTCATTTGCGTGCAAAGTGTATGTTGATATGGACACACGCTGAATCATGGATAAAAGGCCCGGGGTTTCGAGTCAAGGAGCCCGAGCCTGCTCAAACCTAATAGTTGGGCCGGGCCGGGCTTCCAAAGCCCGAGGCCGGGTACCCGGGCTTTCGGGCCCCAGGCCCAAGCCCAAGCGCGACAGCTGAGACTCGAGGACCGGGCTCATCGTGCATTCGTAGAAAACTATGTAGATGGATATCTGGTAAAAGAAAGGGTTTAAAGCGACGAGAAATCAAGGGGAGGTCACGACGAGGACCGAGGAGAAAGGGAGAATGAATTATGACTTTTTGCGCACAAAGCGGTCCGAGATCCTGCCTGCTTGCTAATCCCCTCCGATAAGCGTCACCCCAACATATATTTATTATTTACCGCTCGACTTACTCGCCATGGATTAGTCCACAAGCCCTTGAGCCGGTTTGAAGTGGTGTAAGTCACGGCTCGAAGAGCGCCGTATCTCAGTCTGAAAATGGAGTGTCCATTGGTCCGGAAACGCTAGTTGGTAGGGGACTGGCTGAGATACTGGGCTCGTGATCTCTTTCGAGAATGACGTCTTCCCTATAATTAGAAGAATGACAAGATGACGTCATTCTTACACCCGCATAATGCCTGAGCTCCTACTGAATGCCCGACGACAAAAAGAGGACGCAGCTGCGACAAATTGGATAGAGCTCTACATGGGATGCTACGGATAATTAATTTATCCCAATTTTCGGCGGAGGCGTTCGGTTTGGCGCGAGTCGGGGCTGAAGTAGCGGGTCTGGGAGCGTGAAATGACTCGGCGGTGGAAGTACCTATGCAGGCCCACGGACACTCCCGGTTATGTCAGTCCGCCGAGCCAGGCTGATTTGCACTACGAAATTGGCCTCTAGAGCCCTTGATTTGCACTAAATCGGACTGAGATATGCCATCATTTTAGCCCTTTTCGGAGTTTTTTGCCCATTTTTTGCCCATTTTTTGCCCACGATGGCCCTGATTTTGAAGCACTCTTGACATGCGTCAAAAGCTCTCCGTTTCATCCAGGAATAGGTCAAAATTTGCTGATCTGACTCTCTCACCGTCGACCGATGATATATTGTCCAAAAATTTTGCGGGCTTCGCCCGCGATTTGCACTAACTGGGACTGGGTTTTCGGCTCTTGGGCCCGATCTGCACTAACTCTGGCCCTGAGATAAAGCCAATTTTGGGGCTTGATTTGCACTAAATTGGACTGACATATGCGGGAGTGTCCGTGGGCCTACCTATGCTCACTGCATTGAAGCCTGACACTCGAGACCATCTGATCCATCATCAAGCTAGATCTGATCTGGCCGTGACCAACAATCCGTCTCGTCACACAACTGTGATGGCTGTAACTGTGATGGCTGTGTGCTTCATTTCTCGCTCTCGTCACTGTCGTTCTCGAGAATCCATCAGCCTTACATTGCGGACGCCAAAATTCACACGTATATGAATGACTGGATGTTTCCGAACAAGCACGACCTCGAGCAGTTATTGTCAGCGGCGGCGGCCCGCGGAAAACTGTCCTGACGGACCGCGGTCTGCACCTGATCTTAGCGTGACCTCTTGATATTTCCCTTGGCTCGAGAACTCGAACGAATCTGGGCTATTCGCGTGGTCATCCGGGGAAACACTGCCTTTGTAGCCTCAGCGGGTTCTCGTGGTCCGAGCTTCCCAGCTCAATGCCGGTACCAAAAGGTGTAAGATTTCTGTCTATTTAGAATTGCTCTGGCGCAGAAACTTTTAGTGGAGGACCACATGCACTCGATGGATCTGGTTTTAAGCATGTAACACCGAGATTCCTTCGATCTGGGACGAGCGGTTGTGGGACAGGCGACAGTATAAATGAGAACGAGCCCGGTAGTTATCTGGCAGTTTCCACAACTCGAACATGCTGCTCTCTGTTGCGAACATCTTTTATCTCGTCACGGTGGGTGCTGTCGCCGCCACCTCACCCGCGGCATCCAGGACCGCCACCGCCAAACGCGCGACCTGCACCGTCAATAGCGTATCCAGCGCGTCGAATTTGTCAACCTGCACGAACGTCGTGATCGAGCCATTCACTGTTCCTTCGGGAGGTGCGCTTTGATTTCATGCATGATTCTCTAGAGCCTGCTGATGTTTCGTCAGGCATCGTGACCATTGCCGTCGCGCCTGGGGCCTCAATAACGATGACCGGTGACATCACCTTCGCGAAAACGAATGGCGCGTGCACTCCTACGCGAGCGTGGCATGGGAGAGCTCACTTTTTCTTAGCAAGCGGCCCTCTGCTCATCTTCCAAACCGACGGAGTCTTGTTCAATGGAGGAAACCACAAGTTTAATGTGAGGCGATCCTTTCGTTCGTTAGGCGTGCTAGGTCATGACATAATATAGGGCAATGGTGCTCTTTATTGGGATGGGCTAGGGACAGGAGGTGGAGTGCCCAAGCCCCACCCTCTCATCAGGTGAGGACCTTTCGCTCCATCCGATCGAATCGACCTCGTGTCTGATTGATGGCGAAACAAAACAAGGTTCAAAGGCTGGGGAACGTTCCAGAACGTGACTGTTTTCAATGCGCCCGCCCACGCCATATCCATCAAAACGACGAACACAACTCTCGTTCAATTCATAACCGTAGATGATGGTGAGTGACCCGCCTGAACCTTTTCGCCTTCTTCCTCAATTCTCACTATTTTCTTACAATAGCTGCGGGAGCAACACTAGGGCACAACACAGACGCATTCGACGTCGGCGCCTCTGATCTCACCATTTCCAAATGCACAGTCGTCAACCAGGACGACTGCGTCGCTGTCAACTCGGGCAGCAATGTCCTCGTCGAGGACAACAGCTGCACGGGCAGCCACGGCATCTCCATCGGCTCAATCTCCTCAAACAACCACGTGTCGAACTTCAAGGCCGCGCGGAACATTATCCAAAACGGGTCATACGGACTCAGGATCAAGGTCGATGCAAATGCCACCAACGCCAGCGTGTCCAACGTCATCTATGAATCGTGAGTTCCTCATTTCTCATCTATCCCGCCCGACTACTCGCTCATTTGTTCGCCAGTAACACTGTCTCGGGCATCAAAGACTTCGGCGTGCTCATCACCCAGAGCTATCCCGTCGAGGACGGCACCCCGGGCCCCGGCGGACCGATCTCGAACGTCTCGTTCGTCGGCGGAACAACGAACGTTGGTGTGACGAGCAAGGGCTTCTCCGTGGTCGTGGACTGTGCCGCGTGTCTCGGCACATGGGACTTTTCCGGCCTGAACGTCACGGTACCTGGGCTGGGCTCGAAAATCGCTGCTGATCAGGCAAAGGTGCGTCGAGATCATTTTTCTATGGAACGATTTTGGGTGCTGACACAGCCTGCTTATTCCACAGATCATTGGCGGGCACTTTTGAAAGCAATAGTATTAGGGATATGATGTCAATGAATTTTCTTACATCTTCCAATTAATTTTCCAAGTCGACTCACACGCGGTTATAGCGCCGCGCGGTCTGTGGAAGATGCGTTCTCACGCGTCTATCTTCTGAACGGAATCGTTGGACTGATGAATGATCATCTCTTGAGGGACGTCACGGAAGCATCTCAAGCATTGGGTTCCTCGAGGCAAGTGGCGCGATGCTGATGCGAGCGGATCCAGTCCCAAAATTGGTTCAACGTGCGATCCGTATGCGGACGAAATTAGGGTCTTCGAACACTGGTCATGCGGACACAAACCGCCCTTGGGTGCGGTGATCCGATCCGGATGCGGAAGAGGAAGTAGAGAATAGGGTCACATGTCTCGAATTCTCTTTGGGTTTGCATCGCGTCTGCCACAAACTTTCCTTGCTCGGTGGCTGTTTATGGCGAGGAACTGTTCGTCTGAGTAACCGCTTGTCAGATAGAAGTTTTGAAGGATACGTACCTACGAACCGCAGCGCATTCAAATCTAGGGATTCGGTAAGATCCAGCATTTCGAGCGGGAGAAGAACCCATCGGCGATCTTGACGGGCAGTCAGCCTCCTGCTATTGAGTCCTGGAGTAAACCATGAATTTAATTATCTTGCATTGAGAATTTTGACGTACCCAGTACTTCTTGAAACTGTTTGCGACCTAGTCTTTGTCCAGGACGTGATGCGGAGTTGATGAAGCGAAGGAGGCTAAGTACGTGCTGAGCGGACCACATGCAAGAAATTCTGTTTGAAGGGAGGCATTATATCGGAATTTGTCTTGTTCTGAATCACTGAGACGAAGCTGCCAAGTTGGCCACGCGAATGGGCTCCAGCACAGTACGTTACATTGGTTCCAAATTAGGAAAGCGGAGGACTTGCACGTGACTACGATTCGCGAGTCTTCCTTGTAGTTTCTACCCCTTTTGTACCGGTGTCAGGCGGTGGAAGGGACCAGTCGCACGACGAGTTTCAAGTCAGAATAGTTCAACCAAATTCAGGGTATTTTGATGTGATACGCGAGCAAACATGACCTAGAACAACAATACAGCAATGACACAAACAATTCATCTTTAGTAGGATCCGATTACAAAATAAATATTTCCAAATCAGGAGAGCGGAGGACTTGCACGTGATCACGATCCACCAAGCCACGGCGATTTCTACCCCTTCGCACCGGTGTCGGACCATGGAATGGACAAGTCACACAACGGGTTTCAAGTCAAAATAGTTCAACCAAATTCAGGGTATTTCGATTTGATACAAGAGCACAGAACACACAGAACAACAATACAGCAATGACACAAACATTTCTTCTTTAGTAGGATCCGCCGCTGATCTGCAGCCAGGGGTCAGGTTTTCGATGATCAGCAGTTGAAGAAAGAAGCACGTACCACCGCCTTGTCAGCAGCAATCTTGTGGCCCTTGCCCGCCGAGGTCACTTTAAGACCCGCAAAGTTCCAGTTTCCGGAGCAAGCGCCGCAGTCAATCACGACCGACTGCGCGCTGCTGTCCACCGCGACCGTTGTCGTTCCACCCGTGAACGCCACGTTCGAGATCGGGCCGCCCTTTCCGGGCGTGCCGTCGTTGGCGGGGTAGCTCTGCGTGATCAGCACACCGTAGTCGCTGATGCCCGAGATCACGTTCCTGGGGGGAGGAGGCAGAGTCAGTGCGTCGAACCGACGGTCCACACCCATTCACAAAGCAGACGCACGAGTCGTAGGTGACATCAGAGACCTGCGCGCCGGTCGCGCTCGCGTCGACCTTGATGCGCAGACCGTACAGCCCGCCGCTGATCGTGTTGCGCGCCGCGCGGAAGTTCGTCACCGAGTGGCCCGACGCGATCGACCCGATCGAGATCCCGTGGCTGCCGATGCAGGTCGTGTCCTGGATCGTGATCGCGTTGCCCTTGTTGACCGCGACGCAGTCGTCCTGGTTCATGACCTTGCACTGGGACACGGTCACCGAGTCGGCGCTGATGTCGAACCCGTCGGTGTTGTGGCCGAGCGAGGATCCGGCGGCTGGTGGGTTTGCTGGGCGTCAGCAGGGGATGATATCCCGGATTGACCACGCACAGTTGTCCACGGTCACCTGCTGGATCAGAGTAGCGCCGGTGGTGCCGACGGAGATGGCCTGAGCCGGTGAGTTGAGGACCGTGACCGACGCGAACGTCCCAGAGCCCTTGAATCTAGAAGCCGTGCTCGTTAGCTTCAAGCCTAAGCGAAACAAGGCAGCGCTACTTGACGAAAGGATGGGGCTTGGTCGAGCCGCCGTTGGTGCCTTTTCCGTCCCAGTAAGCAGCACCGTTGCCCTGCAAACTCGGTCAATCGACGGCGCTGTGCAACGCGGATATCGCAACCGACATTGATCTTGTGGTTACCGCCGTTGAAGTTGATGTTGTTCGTGTTGAATGTGATCAAAGGACCCGCAGCTGGAACAAATGAGTATCCTATGAATAGTCCCGAGCGGTCGAGGACGCGAACTGACAGGATGTCTTGGCAAATGTGATGTCCCCGTTCATCGTCACGGTCGCACCGCTGGCAGCCTGTGAAGCGGATGAGCGCGGCAAAAGGCAACGGCGGCCGGTCGGGTTACCGCAATGGTGAGCGTGGACCCGGACGGGACGGTGAACGCCTCGATCACGACATTCGAGCAGCCCGAGAGCTTGGACGCGCTCGAGACGCTGTTGACCGTGCACGTCGCGCGCTTGGCGGTGTCGGTGCGGGTGACGTTGCTGGGCATTGCGACAGCGACCGCGACGAGCGTCGCCAGATGCAGGAAGGTCGACAGAGAGAGCATTTCAGTGTCGGTGTCGGAGTGTTACTGACGAGGGAGAGAGCGACAGAGAGCGAGAGAGAGACTGAGTTTTCAGCAGCTCGCTCTACACCTCTTTATACAATCCACGAGCTGCGGGTCACATCCAAGTTGGCTCTCGCATATGCGGGCGATGGTGGCCATAAAGATGGCGAATCCGGACGCGCCGGCGCCCATCGTTTCTCCCGAAGAGGAACCGCCTCGACAACTCGGTAATAGGTCAGGGAATGCCAAAATCCGCGCATCAGCATTCACACGGGAGCGTTCACATGGCAGCGGGGTTGCCAACCGCTGACCTAGCGTTCAGTGCAATATTCCCAGATTATAGTCTCCGAGGCCCGTGATGAATGGGTGTAAACTGGAAAAAACGTCTGAGAGACGCACGTCAGAGTGGGGAGATCAGGCTGATCGGGAGAACTTACCACGGCTGTCCATGCGTCTTTTGCATACCAGATGACCCCAACCTCTTTTGCCTGAGGAGTAGCTGCCCATTCTCGGTGCTGAAAACGTTGGTGTCGTACCGCCTCAATGTCGATGTTGATAGGATCAACGACCTGAGCCTGAGCATTTCCTGAGCATCTCCCGAGACTGTTCAGTGGTCTTGAAAGGACCAAACACGCGGGTAAAGCCCACGTTTAGATCTACGACGCGGTCCGCGTTCCTCCCGTTCGGTGGGGTTTCGGAAATACAGGTCCTGAGGTCGGGGCATATGATGCTTTACAGGATCAGTGCGTCCAATCGCAGAGTGAGTCGGTTACGTACCCAAAGTTACTTCGATGCCAGCCTTGACATGGGTGTCGCCAGACAGCCGTGTGCAGTAGTCGCGAAGTTGAGATTCCCGAATAAACCTAAAGGAGTCTCGATTGGTCGTCAAGAATGTTGCTCCAGAGCTCCCGACCAACAGACGAGGGGTAATAGGGAAGGGCCCACCTGGTCTCAGCTGAAAGTCAACATGCCTAAGAATAGAGATATGTAAGTGATGATCATCAGCGACGTCGGCCCTCTGAACCGACGGCTCTTGCGGCGGCCGCTGGATGTGCCTTCGACGAATGACCAGGCCAAGCAAATTCCAGGAAGTATTGCCATTTCAAGCAGTGTTCGACTCATGTGCTAACAACGAACCCCTTCAAGCCACCCTCGGCACGCCACTTCTCGAGCACACCCACGAAACTGACGATTCCATCGCCCCACGGGGCACCGCGAGCGCTTTTAACCTGCTCTGCCATGTCCTGCAGGCGGTCGCGCTCTCCTTCGAGGTTGATATACCCCGGCGTGCAGCCGGAAACACCCGCGAACCAAGCAGCGCGTTGGAGAATCTCCCCAGCCCACATTTCCTCCGCCTGCTTGTCGACCTCGACCACAAGTCTCTTACCGGCTTCTGGCTCGAGACCGCGGTGCGCCTCGGCCAAGATGCCCGCGACGTGGTTCGCGAGCAGGTCGAGGGAGAATGTGAAGTTGACCGTGACCCCAGCTTGGGACGGGCTGGGGAAGAACAAGTTGGGGTACCCGTTCGATGAGACTCCGTGGAACGTCCCGCAGCCTTCTTCGATCCACTTCTTCTCCATGTCTCTCCCGTTCCGCCCGAACACGGACAGGCCCCCGCGCGTCGCTGGGCTCCCCGTCCCTGCGGCTGGTGAGACGAATCCGGTGCTGAGGACGAGCACATCGATCGGGTGCTCGATCCCGTTAGCGACGATGGCAGTCGGGGTCAACGAGTCCACGCCCTTGCCGTCCGTGTCGACGAGCGTCACGTTCGGCTGATTGAATGCCGGAAGATAGTCCTCGTGGAACGTCGGCCGTTTGCACCAGACGGGGTACCAGGCCTTGAGTTTCTCTGCTGTCTCTGGATCGCGGACAATCTGGGACACCCGGTCGCGCACCCGCTCGGCGCGAGGGAAATCCATCGCATGTAGCTTCTCTACGTGTTGAGGAATCGTATCAGGTGTGACTAGACCTGGGGCACCGATGATGCCGCAATACGCATCCGATCGACACCACGCATCAGAAACGAGGTCTTCTCCGTCAGGTGCATTCATCAGCTGCGAGTTGAAATTCATCGACCGGGCGTACTGCCATCCCTTGCCAACTGCAACCTTTTCCTTCCACTCTTTGGGATCCGTAGGCCGTTGGCCGCGCTCGTCGACACTTGATGGCGTGCGCTGTATAACATAGAGGTGTTTCGCCCACTTGGCGAGCTCAGGGACGACTTGAATGGCTGTCGCTCCCGTGCCGATGATCGCCACTCGCTTGTCTTTGAGTTTCTCCAGCGACCAGTCGTCGAATGATCCCCCAGTGACGTTGTAATCCCAGCGCGCGGTATGGAACATCGAGCCCTTGAACTGCTCCAAGCCCGGCAACACTGGGACCTGCGGAGCAACGAGCGTTCCTGCAGCAACGAACACGAACTGCGCCGACACAGAAAACGAGCGCGAAGGCTCCTGGGGGCCACGATACTCGCTCAACCGGACTTGCCACCGCCTCGCTTCCTCGTCCCACTTCGCGTCGTGGTACTGCGTTCTGAACGACCCCGTGCCCTCGAGCAGACCATAGCGCTCCGCGATCCGGTCAGCATGCGCCCGCAGCTCGTTCCCATACGCGTACTTGTGCTTCGGCATGTACCCCGTCTCCTCGAGCAGTGGCATGTAGATGTAGCTCTCCACATCGCACATCAGGCCCGGGTACCGGTTCCAGTACCACGTCCCGCCAAAGCCACCAGCGACATCGACAAACCGGATGTCGGACGGCGCGAAGCCCGCCTGGATGAGGCGCGCGGCGAACACGAGTCCGCCGTACCCCGCGCCGAGGATGAGGAATTTGACGCTCTCGCCGTCCGTCAGCACGTGCGGCGCGGCGTTCAATGCGGCGTGGTCGACCCACGGGTCAGCCTCGAGGTGCTTGTACGCGTCGGACGTAGATAGGCGGACGAACTGCGAGGCACCATCTGCGCGGAGTCGTTTGTTCCGTTCTTCGATGTATTTCTGGCGAGCAGCGGGATCGGGCGCGGCGACCCCTGGTGAGGCTGTGGTGCTGGACATAAGGTAGACTTCTTATCGATGGGATGGAACCAACGCATGCTCCTCCTTTTCATAGTGGCACGAACGCAGAAGCCCCGATGTTTGCGACGTCTCACGCTTGCACTCTGGTCAGCAGGCTTGCCCGAAACGGAGATTCCCACACAGCAGATTGGATCGGATATCGTAGAAGAAGAGCCAGGGTTGACATTGAACGTAAGTAGACAGACGGCGACCAGACTGTTGACAGAGTCGGGAGGAAGAGCGATGCAGGGATACCGCCCTCAAAATGATGCCATCACCATTGATTCCAGTACGAGTGGCCTGATGCATAGCCAAAGATGATGATCGTGCCCGCTTCTCAGACTATTTAGCTGATGGTGCATCGACTGGTTCGAGTCTAACAAAGGGCCATTGTGTCAGGCTGCGAGTGAAATCGTTGGCCCAGTGACGAGCTCACGACTGCTTTGACTGTGTCACCGGGCCGGCGCTGATTGACACGACAGAAGGCAGTGGCGCCATCAGCCACCCGCCAACGGCCTACGCTGCTCAAGTCTCGACCGCACTCGAACGGTCTCCCATACGGGCCTTGGCCGACTTCCTGACGCTGTACAACCGCTCAAGAATGCTTCATGGAACGAACAAAAGCTGCGACTCGATGTCCGGACGATCTGGGCAAGCCAGAAGGACAAGATCACATGAAGACCGCTCGTGCATTGATATAGCACACGGACTGGTAATACATTGGACCAATGTTTTGTTGATTTCTTTTATTTCATTGCTCAGGCCATGTATATGTTCTCATTCACTTATGCACAGTATAAATACTCCATGTATACCAATCCACAGAATCAGGATTCAGCAGATTTCATCCTTATTCTACTTCGGTGTAATTCACAAAATCTAATCAGTTCATTCTCTCGTGGAGTTGCCCTTTGGATAGCTCCCTTTGTCTTTGTTCTACTCTCCTCATTTTTTACACTGTTCAGCCCCTTTGCCGCTCATCTAGGTCCTCTCAGTGGGCCTGTCCTTGTCCAGAAAACCCTTGCATTATATTGCAAATTTCACTTTGACTAGCGTCTCAGGCATCTACGGCATGTATCTACGACGTCTGCACTGCCAACAACATCACTTTCACGCACAGGCCTGCCCCAGGCACGACACCAGGCGTGCTTGTGTCACATGTTCAGCCTGAGAACATAGCAAAGGGATGTCTAACATGCCAAGATGAACATGATTCGAAAAAAAAAGAAATTTACGAGGCACCAAGCCCAACATTGCCAGAATCTTCAGATCAGAATTGTATGCTTGTTCTTAGCAAAACTCTCAGACGGGGAATCGAACCCCGGTCGCCCGCGTAGTCACTCAGGATGACAGGCGGGAATCTTAACCATTGGACCATCTAAGATGGAATCCCACGCCCACTGTGGCATATGAATCGCCATGCTTCATTCGGGAAGAATGACCCAGCTCTCCCTCCAAGATATCTAGTTCGCTCGCGTTGCACCGGAGAGCAATCGAGTCTCAGGAAGTCAAAAGAGCTTCAGGTCTGAAATCAGCCACGTGGACTGTCGTTTCGGAGTTACCGGTGGGATAATATGAAGAAGAAGCAGTCTTCTTCCCGCATTGCCGTCTTTCCGCCCGCATGGCAATTGCCAGTTCAGGGCAGGGTGTTGTGTGCGCCAGGCGCCACACCGGGATGGCAGTTGCCGATCTGTCGAGGCTGTGTGATAATCCCCGGGCCTGGGCGGGCATCGATGTCCCGATTCCCGCCACTGTCGGATACGCATCGCCTCGCGAAGAGAATCAAGGAAGAAGCTCCAGCGTGCTGGCGCGCTATCGGTGCAGCAAATGAACCGATGGGAACGACAAGGTTATAATGTAGCGAGGCAGCTGGTATCGAAGAGCGCCAGACTCGCTTCATGGGCTCAGGACGACCCTGGCTGTCGTTTGCCGAAATAGTCGTACCGATTTCTGGTACAGTAGCTACTTACTAGTCATCGAAGTAAGCACCGGGCTGTAGCTGGCTCGAGATGATACTGACAGACAGAAATCAAACGCCGACAAGTGATCGACAGACAATCACTTGGAAGCTGAACATTGGACCGTGCGACGAGGCTGGACCGCGCGACGCGTCGCCAGCGGCCACAACCCCTTGCGGCGAGAGAAGTTTGTGGGTCCCTCGGAGTCATCTTGGCCCCGACGGAGCTTGAGGGGATCGACGGGGTCGATAAGGCCGGCCAGGTGCATGTCCTGAAGGCTGTGTGCGATGTTGATGCGAACGAGCGCACTGCACAGGGTCGGATCAACAAGATAGCCTCAAATCCCGAGCCTCGACGTCGGGTCAGGCACGGGAAATTCCCATACCCGGTAATCGAAGAGTTACGTTCGCGTCGGCGCTATCGATTTCGCGTACATCCCAAGAGAAGGGAGCTTTCCCACCCGGAGTGGATCGAGCTCCTGAGGGCGGGGCGGATTGGAGTAGTGTCAATCTGGCACTGAGCCTGGTTGTCGCGAGCACTGCGCGGGCGGCTCTGAGACGCCAGCAGCGACGCCGACAACCGCCCGGCGCTACATCTGGCGCACAGGTTGACGTGAGAAAAAGGCGCCGGTCAAATGATGCATGCTTTTGATGTGCACCGCCCGTCCATGCTCTGTCCCCGCCATGTCCTTAATTCGGTGCACAGCCCGTCCTGCCACACCGACCTTTAAATCTTGGCGGCTCATCCGAACGTTTCATCGCAGTCATCACAGCTCACACCCCGTCTTCCATCCTCTCTTCTGGAAACCACCCGGACCCGAAACACCATCACTCGCCAAATTTTAAACGCTCAGATGTCGAACATGTATGCCGCCGCTGCTGCTGCCGCCGCCGCCGCATATCCCCAACAGCTCGACTACGGGATGCAAGAGGCCTACTACAGCTCCAACGGCCACTACTCCGCCGACAGCTCGCCCTCATCGCCCTCACACTCGCTGCCCTCGATGTCGATGGTCGGCCCCCAGCGGACGCACCCCTCCATCGCCGGCATGCGCAAGCGCTACGACATGGTCCCCATCTCCGATGCGCCCACCGCGCCGCGCAACTACGTCACGCCGTCCTCCACCTCGCGCAAGGACATCCCGTCCTTCTTCGCCAACCGGCGGCCCACGTCACAGCCGTCGGACGAGGAGGAGGACGAGCTCGCGGACGAGGTCCTCCCCGCGAACGCGACGGACCAGGAGCGCATCGAGTACAAGCGGCGCCAGAACACGCTCGCTGCGCGCCGGAGCCGCAAGCGCAAGATGCTCCACCAGCAGCACCTGCAGGACGCTGTCGAGCGGCTCACCCGCGAGAAGGAGATCTGGAGGACCCGCGCGCTCACGCTGAGCAACCTCCTGCGTAATCACGGCATCACCTGCCCCGACTTCCCCGAGGTGTAAACGACTAGAGACACGCCGACCCCTCGACTTGTTGTCCTTTTTTTCACTCTCTCCCCTGGGTAAACATAAAGGTTGCGGATATCCGCTCTGTAACACGCTTTTCGACGTCCGACATGTGCGTTTTTTCGTTTGCTTCCTGTTCTCTCGTTCAAAGGCTGATCCGACACGCAGATTCGATGAATTCGATATGTTAAAGCCGCGACGATCGAGCGGTGCAAAAGATGCACATATATAAGATTATAGCATGCTCTCGCAATGTCTCTCCCCCTGCCACACTCTATCATTTGTACTCATACATATCACACAATGTACTTGATCCTATGCAATACACCGCTGTTTTTGTTCAGTCGAAGTCCAGCGCACAAATTGGATCATGAGAACATGCGGTTGAGTCACACTTAATCTCGATATGTCCGAGAGACAAAATCTCCTTTCTTCATGGCTGACTGTGTGAGCTGAACAACAACGACCAGAACCTAAAAACAGACGATCCACATTGCAAGGGGGAATCAGAGTTGGGTCGGTGCGCCACGGCTTGAGGTGACTTCTTCAACATTTTTCTCTTTGTGTGAACCTCTGAAGGACGTAGTACGCGGGGTATGTTCAAAATTCAGACTGCAGGAACGAGAGGGAGACTCGGAGGTAAAGTGGAGGTTATCAAACAACAGCAGCATTCCAGGTAGGGGGGACGGAACGAGTTAGCAAGCCGAACTGAATGAAGTTGCTGGCCCGTGACTAGTGCTGTGCACTGCAACAGTGGCGCGCGATTTCTTGTGTTCGTGTGATTACAACGAGTCAAATGTCATAAACCGTTGCATGACATGCTTTCGATTAGATTGATTCAGAACGGTTCCGGGATACACAACTGTGATTCCACCACCACCACCGCTCAGAAGCCAGCTCGATCCGGCAGGAATTTTCCGTCCCAGCACTTGAATCCGACATCATTCGAGACCTGCGCAGACAGTCATCAGTCCGTCATTCGAAACACCGCCTCGGGAGGAGAAGGTAGATCGGCTCACAGTCGTCTCATTGCACATGACAGCGACAGGGCGGCCCGTCACCGTGCGCGCGAAGATGTCCTTCGCGACGACGTTCGTCGCGGTGCCAGGGTACAGATCGAGGATGACAACCTCCCGGCCTGTCGCGTTCGGGACCGCATACCAGCAGGGGTCCGTCACGCACGAGCCCTCGACGTATCCCGGGGTGCTGGATGGAGGTGTCAGTTGGCGGTAAATACGGGAAACGGCACAATGCATACTCCAGTATCGTTCCGGCAAAACCCTCGAACAAAAAGTCCACGATATGAGTGTTGTTGATGTCACCGGTAGAGTTCGGCCGGGCACCGATGCCCTGGTCCCAGTAGCTGTACTGGAGTCAGTGACAGCAACAGCAAACGGCATGTCCTTTCTCGCACTTTTGTGTCACGTAGATCTGCAGAGAGATGTTCAGATGAAAGTCGTGTCGGTGGGAAGATGGACACACCGGGAACGGAACATTCTCGAAGGCGATGTTCTTCCATGTAATGCTGTCCGCGCTTTAGATGTCTATCCTGTCCGGTAGCGGGGTGTGACTCACTTGCGCGCGGCACCATTGCCGCCCGTCCAGCTCTTGAAACGCGCTCCGAAGAGAGAGTCTTTCTGGATGTCAAGTCAGGATGCCAGTCCAGACTCGCAACATTTGTGCACCAACCATGAATGTGTTTTCAATGCTGAGAGGAATGTCAGAGACCAGCGCAGAGGGAGAGAGGAATGCACAGACTGGACATTCTGGACCTGCGCTACCGATCCACCTTTTCCCAGAGATCCGATCGATAATCCGTGGCCACCTTCGCAGTAGGAGTTGCTGCAATGCTGTGTTCAGAAGGCAAGTGCTATAAAACCAGACGACGACCAACCGCCATGTGATGTTCGTAGCACCGCTGCCGACAGTCAAGCAGTCGTCTCCGTTGACGACCCAGTTATCTTCGAGCAAAATGTTGCTGCCACCAGCAGAGAAACCTGCACTGTCCTCAGACGACGTCGATCCCGAGAGACTGACTGTCCACGCACCATCGGTATTGAAGGGGAACGACGAGGCGTTGTTCGAGCGAGCTTCGATGCGATTGTTGTAGATGTGGACATTATTGACGCCACTAGTAGCAAAGTTCCACCCAATGGGCTGCACGATGTGAGCATCATTCACACACGCTCACGAACTCTAAAGCAAGCCGCACCATCCAGATCTTCATGTCCCTGATGACCCCATTCGTGATCTTGCTGAACGCGATGCCGTGCGGGCGGTTCACTTGCTGGTTGGCGTCCCACCACTGCTGCCCGTGCCCGTCGATCCAGCCCCACTTGGAATGCTTCGAGCCGCGCAGGGTGACGTTCGTGCCGCCCGTGAAGGTGAGCCACGATCCGCCGTACGCCGACGACGCGACGACGCCTGCGCAGATAGCAGCCCGGTCAGCGCGCGCCACACGACCAAGATAGAGGAAAGCAGCGACGCACTCTGCACAGCCGCGATGTCGTTCGGGTACGTCAGGTTTCCTTCGACTGCGATTTCGACATTCGTGAGCTTGGGGAACTTGATCGAGGTGAAGAGGTTGTACGTCGTGCCCTGGGCGAACAGGATCGTCGCGTTGGTGGTGTGGTTCCCCACGAGCGCGGCGAACGCAGGCATGTCGTCGACGCCCGGCGTGTGCGGGACGACGAACGTGTCCCAGGCGAGCGCGACGGGGAGGATCGCGGCGGCGAGGAGCGTGCTGCAGAGGGACTTCATCGTGCCACTGACATGCCCTCTGTCCCTTGGCTCCACTTTTGTACGCGCTTGGCCAGGGTCACGGCGGATCTCCGGAGGCTTTGCGATTCATGTGACGAGAACTCCACGGTTGGCCGGGGTCATGAGATGCACAACGCATCAGCGTGCCGACAGTTTTGTGGAAAGGCACACCCGTGCGACTTCGATCTCAGAAGCTATGCAGTGATGTTGACACCCAGCCCGCGGCGTAATCTGGTAAGCCTCCGATGTCGCCGAATCCGCAGATCATATCCTTGCGAGAGCTGTAAGCAGAGACTGGAAGCCAGGAGGAGGGAAGATACGGCACCCGGCCGTGATGCGACTACCCAGCAGTGTCAACACGTGAGTTCGTGGCCGGGCCAGAGCGGACCGCCCAGTCAGGGACTGTCTGTGAATGTGAGTTGAGAGATTTGAGACCTGCCAAGTGATTCTTAACGAGTCAAGTTTGTATGAAATTGTAACGTAAGCTCTTGGGTCTCCGTACGTCCCACCAAGGCTTTCAATGGGCTTCAAAGATAGACGGAGTGCCTGAATTATCTTGAGCGATGAACTCGCCCGGGTAGCGAGCGACTCAAGAATGACTTGCCAAGGCCCAAGGTCGATCTCAAATGGAAGTCGCCAATGCGGCGAGTGACTGATGATCTCGTGCAGAGGGAACAAGTGCCAAAGTGCCAAGAAACCCAGTATCAAAAAGCTCTCAGGCGGGGAGTCGAACCCCGGTCGCCCGCGATGACATTTGACTGACAAGCGGGAATCTTGACCGTTGGACCACCTAAGATTGATAATGTTCCGAATAGCGTTGTGTTCACCAGTTGGCTGCTGTCATCAGTAATCTGATGACTAAGTGTTCCCCGCTGGAAGCTGAGATCACCCAATTACATTTGCCGGGATGTGATCTCCCGCAATCACTACAGGCTTCCGGTAAATCTTCAAGCTCGTTCGTCGCGGCCATGAACATTCATTCTCAAGCCTGAACGAGGATGAGGACAAGAGGAAATAGTTATCTATCCACGATTCGTCAGAGACTAGGGAACCTGCGCCATTTCTTCCTCTTGTTGACACAACCATATCACCCTGTATGACACAAACCCCAGATAGCTTCGGTACTAATTCCAGGCCAATGCATGGTTAATTCCAGTATGTAGTGCAATCAGTATGGTATGTCTACAATATGCGACATGTAAATCACTTTCCCACGACGCCAACTCTCTTCCCCCCGAACCCAGGCGGTCTCTTTCCGGGGCCGGGAGACGACGAGCGCTCCGCCTCGGCCGTTTTCTTCTGCCATTGGTCGATCAGCTTCCCCACACCCTGGTACGGCCGCTCGGGCGATGCCGAGCGCTCATCGGCTGTGGTCTTGCGCGAGGGGGTCTCGAGGAACGTGGACCGAGTGGCGCGCGGGGTCTCGGCTGGCGTGTCGGGGGTGAATGCCGCCCGCGCCGGGCTGGAGGGCAGCTCACTCGACTGGCTGCTCGGCGAAACGCGCCGCTGGACGGGGTGGCTAGCACCGGGTCGGAGATTCGGATTCGGATTCGAATTCGGAAGACGGGGCCCGTTCGGCATCTTGAGACCCTCATACAATTGCACCATGTCCGAAATGGAGGTCCGCCGATTCTGGGCGGTCCGGGCCCGCGGATCTTCCGGTGGCACCAAGGTGTTTGTACTCACGGCAGACGAGGACGAATCAGTCGACTTTGAAGGGAAGATGAACATGGATTGTGGTCTTGACCGCGGCGTCTGCGGCGAAACAGCTGCGGACGCAGGCGGAGACAGCGCTGCCGCTGAGCTTGTGGCTGAGACCGAGGGCATCTGTGATGACCTCCGTTGGGCCTTGGTCGGATCCTTTCGAGGCGCGATGTCGTCCAGAAGACTGGGAGTGACTCGGTCTTTGCCAGGGCCGCCGTACAGGTCGACCAGATCGTGGACAGAGCCCTGTCGTCCCTTGTGCCTTGGTTTTGACTTGAATCCGCCCAGATCTTCCGGTCCTTCTTCGTCAGCACTGGAGGCGGAGTCGAGGTCCTTCTGGTGCCGACGTCCAACTCGTTCCCGTTCTTTGTTTCGCTCTCGTTCCCGTTCCCGTTCCCGTTCCTTCTCTCTCTCCCGCTCCCGTTCTCTGTCTCTGTCCCTGTCTCTGTCTCGCTCTCTTTCTCGTTCCTTGTCCCTCTCTCGTTCCCGTTCCCGTTCTCGTTCTCGTTCCTTTTCCTGTTCCCTCTCCCGCTCTCTCCTCTCCACAAATCCCACCCCCGTCCACTTCTGACTCGACGATTTCTCCTCCGATAGATCAATCGACGGAAACATCCTCGCCGCCCTCGCACTCGGCGAACTCGGCGTCTCGGGCTCGGCATGGTGTTGGTGGTGGTGCTGGATCGCCGCAGATTGCTCTGCCACGGGTTTCACAAGGAGCGTCTCAAGGACCACCGACGCCCGCTTGCTGGGCGACTGTTTCATCACCGGTGTCGGTGCCGGAGACTTGGTGGTGGAGGCTGCAGGGGAGCTGGTCATGTAGCGCATCGGTGGCGCAGTCGCTGTCCGTGTGTGGTGGGAGCCCAGACCCAGCGAGGGTCCCCCATCGTCGTCGCCCGTCAACCAATCCTTCGGTGGCGGCGGGAACTTCGAGGGCGAGGTAGACAAGGCGGAGGAGGACGAGGCACTGGGTCTCTGAGGAAGCGGCGGCACCTCCTCAAAGTCGTGTCGCATGGTCAGGGAACTGCGGTGTTTCCTGTTGAGGGGCGGCCGCTCGTTCGGAACGGGTGATGATACAGATGAGGACGCAAGGGGAACAGGAGACGAGCGGAGCATGTCAGCGCTACCTTTACGGGGAGGGAGGCTCGGTGCGGTCGGGCTCAGCTGTGGCTGTGGCTGCGAGTGTGACTTGGGTTGGCCGCTGAAGGTTTTGTCTAGCTCCTCGAGGGTGGGGAACCTGGACTCTGCACCATCTCCCAGTCCCGATCCAGGCCTTGACATGGAGGACGGTGCTTGAGACAGCCATGACGAGCCGGAGCTGGATGGTTTCAGAGCAGGAGGATTCGGTATGAGATGCGGAGAGGGTGAAGGTCGACCAGGCTTGTAGTCTTTGTAGTCCGTACTCGTGCCCATGCCCATGGCACTGGCGAGTCCCGTTCTGAGCAGCCGAGCTTCTCCTAGTGTTGGAGCAGGCTTATCGTTGGAATTGCCCAGCCCCAACCCGGAGAACGCATCCTTGTCTTTCGACGGACGAGAGAGCAATGATCCGGTGAATGCCGGGGCTTTCAAAGGCGGAGAAGTCGGAGCCTGGGCAGGCACGGCAGGGGCCTTGCCATTCTCGAATGAATCCCAAAGTTTCTCGCCGAAGTCGTCTCCGAAACCCTTGCCGCTTGGGGACGTCATCGGTGCCGCGACTGCAGCAGTGCTGCGGGAAGTCCATGCATCATCCATCGCACTGCGTTTCGGTGCACTGGTTGACGGTGCCGATGTAACAGCTTTCCAAGCCTTATCCTCCTCCTCCAGCCAGTTTCCACCAGGTGTTTTCTGAGGGCTCGTATTTCGAGACTTGGATGGTGTAGATTGCCTTCCGCTTTCTATCGGCCGGCCCCTACGCATCGGTGCGATCGCTTCCAGCACTTTCTCCCGTGCCTGAACGCCCGAGCCTCTAGACATCGACGCCACAGGCTGCGGTAAGCTCTGCAAGTGCTGTTGCTGTTGCTGTTGTTGCTGCTGCTGCTGTGATCGGAAGGTGACGGTGGCATCGACGACATTCCCCATGGGAGCGAACTGTGTTTGCGCTCGCGGTGTGAGAGGTTGCGGGGGAGGTATCGTGTAGGTGAATGGCGACTTCGTTCCACGCAATCGATGGACAGTGTTCAAGAGCTCAAATACAGATGGGCGTTGGTTTCCATGTTCTCGAAGCATGGAGCCTGGTGATTGTCAGCATTGAGTTCCCAGAATGGGCAGTGACATCGCACGCACCAATCAGCGAGTTCATCTGCGTCGAGTACACGGGATACGGCGGTATTCGGTATTGCACGTTGAGAATTGCCAAAGGACCATGTTCCTCGAACGGCGTCGTGTAGTAGCAGAGCTTGTACAGCAACACACCCAATGCCCATACGTCACTCTTCTCATCCACCGGTCTCCGCAGATAAGGATCGACCATCTCCGGTGCGCGATACTGCATTGTAGTGTGCCGATTCAAATCAGCCTCCAGCGCCCGGATCTCCTGTGTCGAAGCAGGTGGTCGTGGTGCAACAGTGGTCGCACTGCCAAAATCGCACAACTTGAAAGACGTCGCACTCGACTGCAGAATGTTCTCCACCTTCAGGTCCCTGTGGAGTAATGGGGGACGGGAGTTGTGCATGAAGGCGACGCCCTCGCAGACATCCACGAAGATTTGCAGGATTTCCGACTCCGTCAGGCGCTCTCGTAACCTGCGGTTCATCATGTCGATGATTCCTCCGCCTAAAATAGGACGAAATTTAGTTGTAGTTGGTATTGATGTGATGGAAACGGTCGGCGCACCGGGGCAAAACTCCATCAAGATGAAGACCTCGTACATCCCATCGGGCATGCGGTGCCAGGCAGCATCGATGAGGTGGACGATGTTTGGATGGCCTTTCAGCAGGCGCTGTTCGAGCTGAGCTTTCGTTTGGACGAGAATTCGCCAGGAACTCACCATGATGTCCACTTCCTTCCTCACTTCGTTCAGCATAGTGTCATTAGCAACGGCGATGCGCTTGAGGACATGATGTGTCGTGCCGTATACCGGTGTCGCAGTCCGGACGAGATATACATGCGCAAAACCACCTATACAACACATGAGATATTAGTCTTCCATTTCTCAAGCACCCCTCCTCTATTCACCTTGGGACAAGTACCGATCGACTTGGACAGTGTACTTGTTCACTGAGATGGTCTGGCCGGGGACAAGTGTCCCTGGTTGCTGCTGAGACATCGAGAGTGAGTGTGCCGTCACCCGCTACGCAGAGCGGGGAAAGATCACTGAGTTTGGGCAGGTGCCGCGGGTTGCTGAGCGGGAGGAGATGAGTTGGATGCACGTGATCCAACGTAATCTACTTGGGAAAAATTGATCGAAGGCTCTCAGACATTCTCCGACAACCTCTCAGCCTCTATCATGTCCCTGCTTCTACCCTGCCCCCGCGCAGTGGGCCACCAACTCCCACACGTGCGCAGCATCTCCAGTTCTCCCTACGGCCGCACGCACGTGTGGAAACGCCGAAAACCCGTCCTTCCCAATCCTGTCGTGCCGAAATTTCCCCAACGTGTCGTCCGCGCCGACGGGTCCTCATTCACACACTGGACGACATCCCCGCGTTCTTCTATCGTACTCACGCGTGACACAACTAGCAACCCGCTTTGGAATACTGGAATGTGGGCGGACGGACGGGGTCTGGAGGAGGAAAACGAGACGACAGGTCGGCTTGGGCGGTTCAATCGCAGATTCGACGGCATTGGTGGCTCTGGACAGTCTGTCGATTGGATGGACGGAGTTGAGAACTTGAGAGAGGGCGTCATAGGTGGAGAGTTTGTGCGCCCGGGGCAAGAGCCAAAACAGTACCATCCCAAGAGAAAGTAGTGCGTGCTGAATCCTTTTCTTTCTCTATTACACAGCTGACCGTAATTCATATTAGATGAGCTGGTCATAATTACTGTCCGCTAATTTAATTCGATTCCTCTCTGCTTCCCAAAAGTGCTCGAGCAACGTCACGACCTTTACCGGTCTCCCATTCGACAGCCGAATCGGGTGCATAGACAGTGGCTCGCACTCGGGCTGTTTCGCCTCCTAGATCGACGGCCGACATATCCGCTTGCAACATTCTTGTTTTCGAGCGTTGCTTTGACTCTGGAATCGAGCTGTCTAGCTCGAAGTTCGGATACAGCGGGGTCATTTCCTCGACCGGGGAACGGTTGTCTAGCCTTCCGAACTCATAGTCGCGAGCGTGGCTGACCGCCTGTGGTGGGGTCTGCATTTCAATCAGGAACTGGCCGATTGCCAGTGTCATGAGCTGCGCGGAGAACCTCAGCATCCTTCAGCGAGATCAGAAGCCTAAACCGCTCACTGCAACAAGTATTAAGCTGTTGTCACGTAGTCAGTGTATCAGATCGCGAAAAGAAAAGATGTCGTACCCGGCGTGTAAGCTCATAGCGATCAGCATGTACCCACTGCTCAGCATGTCAGGAACTTATCCTGGATCGCGCGCGTGTTCTACTCACAGTCGAAGACCAGCCAGCACCCAATACATGCCCGCGCGCCACAGCGCATTCATAGCGCGCGAGCGCTGCATCCAAGCTGGTCCCCAGTGGCGCTCAAATGCGAAAGACAGAAATCTGCCAGTCAGTCAGCATCGACACCGATTTCTACAAGACCATAACCACCTTTCAACAGCACATGTAATAACAGTGAGGAGAGTCGCGAGGAGAAATCCCCGGAACGAGCCAAGGTGGATGGAGGAGAAGAGAATGTGATTGCCTTTGAAGGCCCAATGGAGCGCGTCCGAGTATTCCTCGTAGTCCGAGGCGGATCCGGATCCAGCGGGAATGCTCGTGTTACGCATAGGCACACGGGTGAGATGCGCCCGTCGAGAAGTGAGGTGGATGGTGAAAAGGAGAGGATGTCACCATACCACAGGCGGCTGTGACGACATCAAAGATCGCAAGTCGCCGCGCAGATTTCGGTTCCACTCAGCATGCAAAACTCGGGTGAGTGCGTCGACTAATGATATAACAGTAAATGAGTGGTAAAGTTACAGGGCCTTGTTTCGTGAATGACAAGATATTGCTCGTGTGTTGCAATGCCCGTTGCTTCGTAAAGTGATTCATCATAAATCATGGTCCAGGTCGCACCGCCTGCCACTCGTCCAGTAAAGCCTGCCCAACCACAGGTTCCAGCTCCGTTCCATCTCGAGACACTTTCACTTCCCGATCGTGATTCCATGGGTTGCGAAGATGTCGCGTTTTGGTGAACGGCAGTCGTTCGGTGCAGAGCCACTCCAAAGTAAATTCCTGGCCCAAACTGTCTTCCCTCGTAGCCGCCCCCGGCTCCGTGACCACTGGCCCCGCCTTCTTCTCCTCTGGCACAGATCCCAGCGATGAGCCCCCAGACAATCCCTGCTCGATCGAGGATGAAGCCACGGCATTCCGAATGGCTCGTATTGGAGCCAATGGATTCAATTTAACAGGTTCATTGACTGAACTGAATTTGAGTGCCGGGCCAGAACCGCTGATCGCCCGATGCGGCTGTCCCAAGATGGCTGGCGCAGACTGGACGTTCAGCGGTGAATCAATGCTGCGTACTTCCAGGGGTGAGGCGTCAACGAAATGGCCAGCGCTGAGAAGGGTGGATTCAGTCGAAAGGAGAGGCTGTGATGATGTTCCCACAGGCCGTTTTCCTGAACGAATCGAACCCATTGGTCCCGTCATCCTGCCCGCAGATCAGCAGTGCACTACTGGGAAAGTGACAACCTGCGCAAACCTCGCGTAACCATAAAACTCGCCACTTTTGTTAACGCTGAAGATGAGGAACACGTCCTGAGAGTTTCTGAAGGCCCGATCCAGCACTCCTTCGTTATGCTTCTGGGTTGACCAGACACCCGTCTTGACACTCAGATCCAGATCCTCCCGAGTCAGGCTCTTGAGAATGAAGTATCGCTGCGGAAAGTGCTGCCGCAACAAGCTGGAATCTGTCGACGCATGCGATCCAGAGCTAGGAGAACCTGTGCCGGGAGGCTGCACCGCAGATCTCTCGTCACCGGAAAGCGACAGCGAACTGAATTGCGGATCAAGTGAATGAGCCACATCAGAGCTATCCAGGGACACCTCCGAGTTCCTCCTTTCCGCAGCCTTTTCCTTGACCCATCGAGCGTGCATCCCTATTCCCCGCTGTCCACCGACTCCAGCACGTAGATCATCATCCTTCCGTCGAGCGCGACACACCAGACGTGGACATCGCGCGTCACCAGCACGCAGGGGGACTCCATTGAACCGGGTGATGGCGGCGTTTAGATGCGTTTCCGTCTCGTAATTGACAAACGCGCAGCTTGACCGAGATATAAGGAAGATCGATAAAACACCATTGACGTTGGTAGACGTGCTGAGTTCGGGGGCCGCGTCGCTAGCGCTGGCCTCGTCCTCTGGTTGAGTGAAGAATCGCCACAGTTCGTCGTGGCCCGCATCGCTTGGCACGTTGCCTGCCCACATCACCCATTCTGAGCGATGTGCAGGGGGATTCGGATGATACGGGCGCCGGACGACTGGCTTTTCACGACCACCCGGGGTCGGGGACGTTGGGCCAGATTCAGATGCTGATGAGCGGCTCGATGGTCGCGGAGAGGAATCCGCGGGCTGCGCCTCCTGCGGCTGTTGCGATGGGATAGACGATGGGAAGTAAGAATACTGATTTGATGGGCCAGCCTCGTAAGATTGCGGTGACTGAGAATGTGACTGCTGGCTGTGCGGTGGAGGCACATACCACCAAGTGCCACCGTCGTTTTCCTGGCCTGCTGAGTGTGGTCCATACGCCGGGTACGCTCCTGGTGGAAAGACATGCTGCTGATACGACGAGGGATACGACTGCGGGTATGGGTTGTATCCGGGAGACAAGGATGGATAGTGGAACTGGGAGCCTCCAGAGGCGGGCGATTGTGGAGCATAGTTCTGCCCATCGGGTGAGGATTGATACTGGGGGTATGAGGGAATGGTCTGATAACCGGCGTGTATGGAATGCGGCTGTTCGTGACTGTGAAAGTAGGCGTATCCGTACTGTCCCCCATAACCTCCATGCGGAGGCGTGTATTGCACCGGTTGTGGGGAATAGTGGGACGCGTGATAGCTCTGGCCCGCGTTCTGAGAACCCTCATTCGCGTTTAAGGAGGAGTGGCGGGAAGGTTGTCGTCTTTGCTGAGATTGACGCCGACCGGACGAGCTCCCGCCACGCGATTGATCAGCTCCACCTCGACCATGCCCAGACATATAAAGGTCTCCTCCGCCTCCTCCCAAATGATCGTTTGAATCCGGTGCACTCCCAGCAGTCGTAGGCGAAAAGGCATAAACAGCTACTTGGCGCGTCAAAATCCGGGCGCAAAGCGCGCAAATCACGTACGATGGCACTCTGCCACAAAATCTGTACAGGTATCTGTCAGAAAAGAAAGTAGGAACGGGACATAGGAAAGGGAATGAGGAGAATAAGAATGGACGTGAAAAAGACCACGCTTTGTTGATCGATCAGTCAATTCAGATGATATCACGTGCGCGGATAGCTAAGCGATCGATCGCCTACCAGGCCGATGATTCCACCGGATGTTATTTTGGCAGTGTGCGATGCGTCTTGTACCTGGGAGATCGAGAGCGCGTGCAATCGGCAAAGTTACTCTCCGGCCACCGAACTGTCCTCTGCTGCACTGTATGTTCCTGCAAAGGATATGTTGGATCTCTGCGGTATAACCCGAGAGAACTTCCGGGCCTTTCCGGGACCGAAGTTAGAATGCTCTTTCGAATTGAGTAGCCATCGTGCGAACAAAGACGTCATCACGGAAAATGCCTCGTTTGCTCCCATTAAAAAAGGACTGGGGCAGACAGTCACTCCCGATTCACGCCCGCATGTGTGAGGATTTGCACGCCTTCAGTTCAGGATGAACAGTTCAACACGCGAGCATCGGACGCCTTTCGGGGGCCTTTACAGTAGATGTATACAAATTCCGAGCAAACGCCAAGTCCCATTAGCACACGACCGCTCTAGGGGTACATAAATATAGAGAGTAAGCAAGTACTGTTTACCCAGGTCAGCGATTACTTTGTGATAGCACGAAGGACACGGAAAGCAAAACCAAAAAAATACACCGAGTTAGTAGTCGATCATGGCACCCTCATTCATTAGCCTCCCCCTCCCCCATCTCTGCCGTCGGCTTCGGCAGCGACGAATGTGTACTCGGAATGTCGCGCGCCATCGCCTGCAGGCGGGCCCATTCAAGTAGGACAAGAGAGAAGTAGCAGTCGTTCTGTCCGTCGGTCATCACTCGCTTCACGAAAGCAGCACCATTCTGCTGGATCCGATAGGCTTCGGCATCGTGCTCCGCAGCCCATCTGAGCTTGTCCACGAGATCCGACAGGTCGGGAAGCACCGGGATGTAATGCTCAAACGGCCTGATCCAGTCGTTAAAGTATTCACCAAACACAGTGGACTGCGGATGACACGTCAGGGATGGGCAACCATGACAGGCGATCCACACACCTTGAATACCAGTGTCCCGCTCGTCAACAAGCCAAGATACCGCCCGCTAAACGAGTTTCCGTCCACGTCAAACACATATTTGTACTTGTAGACCTCCTCCCGTGGCGAAGAAACATGGGCAATCCCGTACTCGGTCTTGATGGACTCGGCGTCGCACTTGTCGCAAAGCTCGTCGTGAAAGCCCGACAGTTTGACGTCCATCAGACTGCCGTGCGTCTTGGCGATTTCTATGAGCTTGAAGCGCGGGAAAGCACGGTAGTTGTCGCCCGAGATCTTGCCACCCGAGGTCATTCCCCGCCAGTCTACCCAAGTGTGAGTCGTAAAAACGTTGCAGCACTTGACACACTCACAGATCTTGGGAATCTTATCGGACCAGGTAATGTTGTTCTCGTACTTGTAGTGGGGCGACCAACCCGAATCAGAGTAGTAGAACTGCGGCATGCATGAGCATACACGGAGAGCGAGAGCATGATACTTTGTTGTCTTACCTCGCTGGGAACCATGATGTCAGAGAAGCATGGCGAAATCTTTGTCATGCTCAACATGGGATACAGGTCCGTGGTGAATTGCTCGCTAGCGGCATAGATCATGACTATATGTCAAGAGCAGATGAGCATGAAGCACTTGAACAAACTGCATTGACTGACAAGCACTGGCATCGTTGGCTAGACCGGTAAATCCCTTTGGCTGGTTGGGAACAAGGCAGTTCGCCTTTTTGAAGTACTCCCCGGAGGGGCGTGGCGAGTTCTCGAACGGGGTTGGATCGGAAACTCGCAGAGCCATTAGCTTCGTATCCGGCTGGCGGTAGTTGAAGAGCACGCGAGGCTCGTCCCGGCCGTTAAGGATGATGTTCATGTCGGGCATAAAGTAGCCGAACTGTAGAGTCTATGAGTGAGAGCGCAAACGGAGAGGGACCGACGGACGCGATCGAAAGTGCGTTGCCAATCTCCAGGATACAGGGTCCATTGGCTGTCCGTGTATGAGAACTTCCCCTTCTCAAATTTCCCCGTAGTCATTCCTGCTCCGTCCTTCTGCACCTTGGCTGACCCCAACTCGACCATCTTTTTGAAGAACGCCGGGTCCTCCTCCGCGAGCTGATAAAACGCCTCGAAATCGCGGGTGATTTGCTCATACTCGTCAATCAGGCACGAATGCTTTCGCGCGTAGTCGAACCATTTGTCGAAATTGGGGGGTGGGGCGCGACTCGTGCGTAGCGAATACCTTGCTTCGGCCTGCGCATAGGTCTTGGACTGTCGGGCGAAAAGTTTGTCGATCTGCACATTCGCAGACTTGGAAAAGTCTGGGAGCGGAGTTTTGGCATGCGCTTCGTGGAGGATCAGTTGCGCCACAGATTTTTAGCGCACGGGCAAACATACCCGGGCTTTGCCAATCATCCCCCTCTCCAGTGGGTGGAGGTCCTCGTAATCGAGGCCTGAACAAGAAGTAGAGCACACCTAAACACCCTAGGGAAGCGACCAGGTAGTACCACCTTGGCCAGCGTTTCCGCCAAGATCCCCGTTCATTCGACTCGAACCTTGCCATCTCGAGCTCGATCTCATCATCCTCGCCGCCCGTGGTTGGCAATAGGGGGTGGTGGTCAACACTCGAGAGAGGAGAGTATGCGGCACGCTTGAAAGACGCAGGCAGCCATGCCATTGGGAGGAGGACGAGGAGGGAAAGGAGGACGAGGAACGAAAGAAAGGCTTGGGCGCGCGATCACACCTCGGCACGCCATCATTTCAGACGCTTATCCTCGTGCAATTCCCGTGCTTCATGGATAGGCCGACACACACAGCCCACTTCACGAACCACGAGCAAATGTGGTTTGAGATGGTGGGGAGAGGTGAATGGAATGTAGCGTGGGTGAATCACGGTCACGGAGAAACGCCAAGTAGTCATACTTAAATTGGTACGGCTTCGGGTTCCGTCTTAGCCGCTTCCTTGCTCTTACCACCCACATCACTGCGGCAACACTCATAGACGCGACGGCGCGAACATCATGCTTGGCCACGCATCAATAGATCCTGGTCATTAACCCCGGCTTGTCATAATCCTACCTTTGCTGCAGCCTTGAATCATTCTGCATCAAGTCTGTGCATCAGTGACTGGCCGTGGATGCGTCTCGGCCAGTGTGTAGACAGGCTCTCGACCTCACGCTTCCCACCCTCGGGCGGACATGTCAGCCATCGCATTCCAATACATAGCGCAATCCTTCTCGTGGTTAATCATAATTCTACAATCCGAACTCACGTTCAATTCGGGTCATCTGTGCGGTCCAGACTGGGGTCAACACTCGGCCGGGATGACATCGGTGACGGCCACAAATACAACTGGAAGCGGGCCAGAGCGCTTTCGTCCAGTTAGACTCAGCCCGTCACAGCGTTGCCATTGTCTGGTACCCTGTTTACTTGTCAATCTGTGCTCAATCAAATTGCAGCGCATTCACGCACCCTGAACTCCACGCCCCAAGACACACATAGCCAGCCACGGAGAATGCCGACTGAACCACCTGTCGCTGGGCGCGAAGAGTGTCATCCCTGTCACGACTTTGCATGCGAAAGAGACTGACCTCTCTAGCAATAAAAGGTTCCGTGGAGACATGTCCATTAATCATATACGACACCGGCCGCTACCGAACAGTATTTAGATGGCCACAGGGACCCGATGTCGAGCACACGCACGCACCCGACATATCCGCCCGGGCACTATGGCTCCCACAGTGAGTCCCAGCCGTTGGCCGCAGTCTGAAACTGACGCAGATGCAGACTGCAGCTGATCCAAACCACCGCGCGACCGTCATTATCGTAGCCACCGCCAGCGCGATAGTGGTCACCTTTCTGGGACTGTCGGCTCTCTTTTTCCAAATACGCCGCCGCCGCATGCAGCAGAGCCAGATCGCAGTGACGAAGTTTCGACTGCAGCGAAAGCAACAGATCGATGTGGCTCTGCAGAAGCTCAAAGAGGCGGGCCAGGAGCAGGAATGCGATGACAAGATCAATGAACTCGCGGAGTGCGATCTTGGGCAGCCGGGCACGTCGCTGCAGGGCCCCGCGACGGCTGCCCGATCTGCTTCTCGTCGCACTGGCTATCACGTCCCGCGTTTTGCGTTTGTCGTCAATCGCCAGTCCCCATCCGACGAAGACGAGGTGTGGCCCCCACCGAGATGTGAGAGTGTCTGTTTAGATCCCCTTGGCCGGTCTCTGCCGCAGGAGTACCTCGACATCGTCTCAAGCATCATAAAAGAAGTGGACACCAACAGCCTTCGGCTGGAGGTGGGGCCAACCGACATCCCAACCTCGTCTCGCACTTCGGCAGAGTCCGTCCACACTCTGGCGGGAATCCCCGCGCTCCATCGATTCGCATCTGCCCCCTGTCTTCAGCCACGCGGTCCCCGTTTGATGCCCGTGCGTAACTCCGCAGACAGTCTGTGGTCGCACCGCAGCCACTCGGAAAGGCCATTTCGCCCTCCGACGCCCGGGCCTAGTGCGGCGACGGGTGTATTGGCGCTAGCGTTGGCATCCGCTGATGGGGCGGGACAGCGATAAGGTTCCTTCCACATGAAATGTGCAGCTGTAATAGGACTTTCGTGAATCATTAACACCGACTGAAATTTTCATGTAGTCGCTGGGCGACGAGAGTCCTGTCACTTACTCGGATCTTTCCTGTAATACTAAAAATACATAATGCTATATCTTGCTCTGAGCACGTCCGCTCAAATGCTGAGAGGCCGGAATGCTTCGCCAGTCACGTGGATGTCTTCTGCAGTCACGTGCATACCTTCCGCTCCGAACATGCCTGGGGAATATCTTCTTGAATTCAGATGGCGATCCACAGAGAGCTCGACGCCAGGATCCATCGATTTTTCCTTGGACATATCCCACGCTCACACAATTCTGGATACGACATGCGTTGATACGGGCCTCAAAGAAGCTCGAGGGATGATCTCCTCGCGATCGGCTTCCGCTCCTCTGGGATAGATGTCATCAAGACTTCCAAAGTCCGGGTCCCGTGGGCCAGTTTCATACAGAATGTCACGCGAGTGTGAGCTGCTCGCTGCCAAACGGGTCCCTCCTCGGCTAATGGACCGTTTATATGCCAATTGCATTCTGTGGCTCGAGCACAGCTGGTACGACGTTCTCTGCACCACACTCCTCTTTGTCTGCCGCAGACCGCTCCCTCCATCTGGCAATCAACGAACAAAAGTTGAAACTGTCTCGTCGTACCGCATCTACATGCCCATCTTTCTGATCCTACAGGGAATCTTCAGTCTCAGTGGCCCGTCCGTCCTATAAGTAGGCTGAGTCTCGGGAGTGGCTGCGATGCAGGGCTCTGTCGTACCTTCGATGTCCAGCAATGTCTCCAACCCCTCATCCACGGCCGTGTCTGATTCACCCACTTCCTCTGGATCGCCGGAATCTAGCTCGAGTAAAGCTCTCCTGTGCGCCTATCTCTCTCTCGCTCTGTGCACGATCCGGTCGCTTTATTGACTTCGCACCGGTAGTCTGGTCGGAATCGTGTTCTTCTTCTTCCTCGTAGTCGGTTTCATAGCTCTCTATCGGCGGTACTGCCCGGAGCCTCCGCGACAGCTCACACCATCGGAGAAAGCGGAGAAGGAGAAGCCCGTCCTGCACGACTTGCAGCTGGCAGCTGAACTGGAAGACGGGAGCGCAACAGGCCAAACATGGCATAGCATCCAGGTATATGATGATGATAATCGTTATCCTCTCCATCCTCCCGGCTGACGGTCGATTGCCAGCCTCTCGCTGTGCAGGTGACACCGAGTACCGTCATCCGGTCACCCGGGTCTCCCAGCTTCAAAGCACTATCGTCGTCCATGTCTCTCGCGGCCTGGACGTCACCACCAAAACGGCACCCCATCAGCAGTTCCTCGAGCGACGCATCTCTGTACGCCTCAAAGCTTCTGCAGGACATGCACATCACATCGGCATCAGCACCGGACGCGTTAGGACGCGGATTGCGTGTAGCGGTCATTATCGCGATGCCCCTCGCGCCAGAGGAGACTGGCATGGACTTGAACGTCGGGATGGTATCTGCTGTACCATAGTCCCAGCCCTCGTTTACGGTAGAGTGTAGCATTGCACAGCGGCATTGAATCTTTTTATACGCGCAGATCTTCATCCCACGGCTTTTCGATCAATCTATCCGAGTCCGCGAGGTGGTACGCATCTGCAAAAGTTGTCCTGCCGCAGATCAGTCAATAGCAGCAAGAAACACTGGGCCTCTCGAGTCTAAGAATAATTGGGCGAAGTCGTGGTTCCTTTCGACACTTATTCGCACCGTCTTGATTGATCGTTAGCCGTGCACGACCAAGTCAGACTTTCTGTGGGGAACGTGACGCCTGCAGAGCGCTGAAGTGAATTCGAGGTGTCTCCAACGATTGGGGTCGTCTCTTGTGCTTCCAGACTACTACTACAGATCACTGAGCTAGGCTTCGAGCATATTCGACCAGTCCCCTGCGGTCGCGCACATTTAGAGAGAGCATGGGGCAGATGAAGACAAGAGACGAACCGCACAGAACTGCCTGTCATACCACGGCCTAAATACGCCGTGGGACGTGTCGCCTGTGCACGTCGCCTGAGAGAACCAAATACGGTGCAGACTAGCGACTTACTTCCATGGTTCCCGCAATGTCGATGTGAGCCCACTCGATCGGTGCTTTCCCATCCTCTGGCTCAAGCCCATTTACAAAAGCCTTGAGGAAGAGCGCAGCAGTACAGCTGCCGGCTGGCCGACCACCGGTCTGGGAGCGGTATTGGTCAGTTCTGAAAGCCACCGTCTCCAATCAGCGATAAAACACACGTTCTGGAGATCCGCGTTCGAAGAGTAGATCTGGGGTCCGTAGTCTTCGTCGATCGGCATCCTCCAGAAGCGGTCGTATTCGGATTCTCCCGCAGCGTGGAGCTTTTCCCACAACGCATCAGACGACGAGAAGACTCCGCTGAACACTTCCCCCAACGCAATGTCCATCGCGCTGATTCGCAGTCAGATACTGCTGCGGATACTGGCCACAGAAACACGCACCCAGTGAGTGTCGCGACGTCGATCAGGGTGTGTGCATTGAATTCGGTGGACCCGTAGTACATGGCATCTGCTGATGTGAGCGGTTTCACTCCCGTGACAAAGGGCACATACCAGCCAACACCAGTCTTCCCTCGGCATCTGTGTTGTCCACTTCGATACTCTTGCCGTTCATGGCATAGATGCTGCACGCACGCCGTCAGGTTTGTGAAGACAGAAGACAGATGATGCACTGACATGTCGCCGGGTTTTGTCGCAGTACCACTCGGCATGTTCTCCGAAAGAGGCGTAAGCACCACCACATTGATGCTGTAAATGTATTAGTTTGGAGCGGTATGTCGTTGAAGAAACGCACGGAAGCTTGAGTTGTGCGATAGCCTTGAGGGCGGCAACAACAGCCGCAGCACCACCTGTTGTAGGTGTCAGTGAGCCATATTCTTACTGTTCAAGAGCGAAGCGCAAACCCATGTCTCCACGCATCAGTTTCATAGCCTGCGTGGTAATCAAGTAAGTCAAGCGATTCTCGGAGAGGAACGCACCGCAGAGGGCTTGATACTGATTCCACCAGTGTCGAACGTGATACCCTTGCCAACGAGCACGACGGGTTGTGCATCGGGCGAAGCAGCACCTTTGTAATGTCTGCACGGTCTCAGTATTCGCGTTATGTTGGAGAAACAGCGAGGCTGACATCTCGACCAATTTCGCGGGTTCGGCGCTGCCGCGGCTGACAGAGAGGAAGGTCCTCTAAAAGAACTGGGTTAGAAAAATGTAGAGGGAGAAGGAATCGCCTGAACCATGCCCTTGGCCTCAGCCCAAGCTGTAAGCATTGAGTAAGCGCGAGCAACAGTCGCATAGAGACGGACAGACCTTCGTCGCGGACGATGACTTCGACGTTTTCGAGCCCGGCAAACTCCTTCACCATGCGCTCGGCAAAAATCGTCGGTGTCATCATATTGCCAGGCAGTTCCATGAGCTTTGACAGTTCAGCAGTGTGCGCGCGTGAGCATAGCGACTCACTGTACGCGCGAAGTTTTGCGCCTCGGCATACACGACACCGCGCTCCCAGTCCGGAGACCCCTGCGCGGGTTTGACCGCGATCTTTTCTGCGACGGGCTCGACGAGGTTCGGGTTGAAGCGCGACGGTGGCTCCGTTTTGAGGGAGAAACTATACAACGCCAGATGCGCAGCGACGGCTGTCGTACCGATGAGCTAAAGTCGCACTCGATGGCCGGGCTGCATACGCACCAGCGGCATGCGGATCCGCCTCCGCGTCCACGACAAGCTCCGTCACTTCGTCCGCGACGCGCTTGACCTCATTGACAGCCCCGCCGACCGACCTGCGCACGGCCTCTCGTTTCGCCACCGTGCCCTTCTTTGTGTAGTCCGGTCCGAGGGAAGACAGCGCAGTCACCCCGGTGTTGTTGAAGAACACGCGCGTGGCCCCGACTTTGGGAGCTTTCGCTTTCGAGGCGGGCCATAGATCCGCGGCAGACGTGGAGGAAGGCGATTTCGGGTCGAAGAGATGAATGGACGCGGAAGTAGACGACATTCTGTGGTGGGAGCTAACGCGGAGGCGTGATCTCACACCCAGTCGGAGCATGCGCTGTGCTAAATTCGGATGAGTTCCGCGTGATAACTGCAGCAACTCATGAAAAAATGGGAATGGAAGAAACCAGAAACTGACTTTCCGGAATGCCGATACAACTTTGAGGGGGGGGGGATTCTCGCGTGAGACGGAGAAGGAGAATGTACGAGGTGCGGGACGCAAAGAGTTGGAACTAAACAGGCCCGAGTGGGCCGGGCGGTGAGGTCGGTAACTAGAGTATGAGCCGGGGCACTACAGTATGGCACAGCAGAGCAATGTACCAAATTCATAAACCGTACTTGTGAGAAGGTCTTCCATCTTAGATGGTCCAATGGTTAAGATTTCCGCCTGTCAGTACTTCTGAGTATCGCGGGCGACCGGGGTTCGATTCCCCGTCTGAGAGCGTTTTGCTCCACCGGCGTAGCTCTCCATACAATTCAAATGCGTCAGTCATTTTCTTGTCGATCATTCACTTTCCCCGGTCCACCTGCGAAGAAGTTGCAGTAATTTTTGCCAATCTGGTCGTTTCGTCTCATCCGGAGCACATGTACGCTCGTTGGATCTGCATGTTTTCTGTTTTCAAGCCTTCATCAGTACATCATATGTACATCGTCATTCATCAATTCGAATGACCGCGACGCATCATGTGACCGTTTCCTGGGCTTAACTCTTTCTCTTTCACCAAGCAGGCATGTACGGCCAAAAAGCCAAGCGAAGGACGCATGTACGACCAGAGCTCACGGAAGAGCAGAAGCAAGAAATCAAAGAAGCGTTCGAGCTATTCGACACGGACAAAGACAAGGCGATCGACTACCACGAGCTCAAGGTCGCGATGCGCGCCTTGGGCTTCGACATGAAGAAGGCGGAGGTTCTCAAGCTTCTGCGAGACCACGATAAATTCGGGCAGGGACTCATGGAGTTCGAGGACTTTGCGAAGATTAGTGCGTGGCTTGCGCGTGGCGGGATTTTGCCGCGTTCTGACCACCTCTCAGTGAGCGAGCGAATCCTGGCCCGAGACCCCATGGATGAGATTCGACGGGCGTTCCAACTATTTGATGAAGAGGGTACTGGGAAGATTACGCTGAAGAATTTGCGGCGAGTGGCGAAGGAGGTGGGGGATCGTCTTGAGGACGAGGAGCTGTGCGGGCTGCGTGTCATTTCTCTGGAGCTTGAGCTGACTGCTTTCTTTCAGGCAAGCTATGATCGAGGAGTTTGACCTCGACCAGGACGGAGAGATCAATGAGCAGGAGTTCATCGCCATAATGACGGATGATTCATGAAGATTTACGACTGGCGCATCTGTACAATATATTCCCTGCATTTACATTTTTACAGTTAAAAGCACACGTTCAACATGCTTTGACTTAAACCAGTACCCAAGCCGTGTCTTTCCCCTCCCCACCGATACGGCGAACAACCCCTTCCCCTTCCAACTTGCGCAAATGCAAGTCAACCCCGTGAGCAGCAGGAAGCCACAAAGATTCGGGGTACGCCGCGTAAATATGTGTCACGATTGTCCAAGTCGTCCACGGGCCTCCGCTCAAGGGCGCGGTCTTGATCACACCGAGGATCTGCGCCTCCCGCTCGAGCCGATGCTTGATGTAAGTTTCGATGACCTTGCGACCATCGGAGATGACGGGTCCGTGCCCCGGATAGAGTGTGGAGATGTTGTGCGTGTTGACGAAATCGAGCATCTTGCGTAGACTGGCGATGTACGTGGCGAGGTCCTCGAATACGGCGGTGCCCTGCCCGAGAACGGTATCGGCGGTATACAAGGCTTCGTCTTGGGGGAAATAGATGCAGATGGAGTCGACGGTGTGTCCCGGAGTGTGCAGCACCTGCAGGCCAGATACTGTCGATCCATCTGTCAGCGGGTGGAAATGCTCCCCATCAGCTGCGGGGAGAAACGCTCCCGCCGGTAAGGATGCGAATATCGAAGGAATGTGATCATTCGTATGGCCCGACCCAGGGAACTTGTGTAACCGCGGTGGCTTGAATGGAGCAGAGACATTGCGCTCGTCCCAAAGCCGGCGCAGAAGTGCTAGCACCGACGGGATTCCTCCGACATGGTCTCCGTGCCAGTGGCTGATGATGATATCGGAGATGTCGGGTTCTGTCGAGCCAGCGGGACTTCCAGCATCGCGAAGAGCGGATTCGAGGATGGGAATGTATTCATCTCGACCTTCACCCGTGTCAACGAGCGTGAAAGGCCTCTGCTTCCCAAATACGTAGGTATTCGTTCCTGTGAGCCATTTCAGAGATAAGTTCTGTGCTTGTGGGTGAAATTCGACCTTGAAGCGTAAACTTGCCGGGATTCTGTGCACGCAGGATGAGAACTTGCTCGTGGGATGCAGAGGGTATTCACCTGGCCCAAGACCCGGATGACACTCTCGCTCAGCTGTATCTGACTCAGCACGTTGTCTGTTTACCTCTGAGTTGTTCACACACGCGCGTAATGGATGCCAGAGTTTCGAGTTTCTCCATGGGTGGTGGTTGTGAGATAAGTCACTAGATACGATCGTGATCGGCTCCGGCCCGGACATCGCTTCCTCTCTTTGTGCCATGTCGAGTCGACGGGTCACATACTATTACGATCGTACAGAGTCCCACCTGCACGATTGGCTCCGCTGAACCTGTTACTGCAGCCGATGTCGGGGCGTATTCCTTCGGATACAACCAATACATGAAACCCCATCGCGTCAAAATAACGCACGACCTCGTTTCGGCGTATGGGATGCTGGATAAACTGAACGTACTGGTACGCTGACCGGCTGTATCCCTCTGCCCTTCTCAAAAGGCATCTCAGAAACCGAATCGCGCAGGGCCAGGCGCGTGATTCCGTCTACGACAATTGGAAAACAGCTGAACCAGAGAACCAGAGGCCATGACGCGTTTTCACACCGACGAGTACATCCAGTTTCTCAACAAAGTGACACCGGAGACATATACGAAGCTAAGTTACAATGGCTCACGCTGTGCGCGTCCTCCGTTCCTATCCGGGTCGCCTACTAATCGCCACCAGTCCTGGTCGGCGACGACAATCCACCGTTTGAGGGTCTCTTTGAATTCAGTTCCATCTCTGCAGGCGGGTCAATCGGTACGCTTTTTCCTGCTCCATTATCCATCCGCAGATATATGTCTCCATCAGCTGCCGCGGAACGACTGAACGACGGAGCGGCGGACATCGCGATTAATTGGGCTGGGGGCCTGCACCACGCGAAGAAGAACGAGGCATCCGGCTTCTGCTACGTCAACGACATTGTTCTCTGCATTCTCGAGCTCCTTCGGAGTCTCCCCCGCGTGCTGTACATCGACATCGACTGCCACCACGGTGACGGCGTCGAGGAGGCGTTCTACACCACGGACCGGGTGATGACATGCAGCTTCCACAAGTTCGGTGCCTTCTTCCCCGGGAGCGGTACCCAGGAGGATCAAGGTCGCGGCTATGGCAAAGGCTATGCGGTGAACGTTCCGCTGAAGGATGGGATAACGGACGAAGCGTACAAGAGCGTGTTTCAGCCGGTGCGTTCTGCTTCATGCGCTTGACTCCCGCCTCGAGCAGATCCCCCAGGTTATCGCTAAGATCATGGAGGTGTTCCGCCCTTCCGCGGTGGTCCTCCAATGCGGGGCAGATTCCCTCGCTGGGGACAAGCTCGGCTGCTTCAATCTGACGATGCACGGACACGCGGCCTGTGTGCAGTTCCTACGGCAGCAGAACGTCCCGCTCGTCCTCCTGGGCGGTGGCGGGTACACCGTGAAGAATGTCGCGCGGGCCTGGACGTACGAAACCGCCTGTGCGATTGGGATGGAGGCGGAAGTCGACCCGCTTCTGCCGTACACGGAGTACTTTGACTGGTTCGGGCCGCGGTTCAGGCTGGAGGTGCCTGCGAGCAACATGGACGACGTGAATGTGCTGGACGGCTCGCTTAATGTGGTCAGGTAAGTTTTCGTGCCGCTTTTGTCTCAGTGCATCGGCGAAACGTTGTCCACAGGGAGAAAGCTCTGCGACAGCTGGCTCAGCTACCCCATGCACCGTCTGTCGGCCTCCAAGATGTCCCCTCTGAATCGGTCGCAGAACATCTGAGACGGGGGATGGACTACGATGAGCTAGATATGGAATTAGCGCGTGCGTGTGATCTCCTATGCACTCGAGCTCACCACAATCTCACAGCCGTGCAGAACACATCCGGTATATCAGCCACATGCAGGACGAGGATTCTGAGACCGAATCCGAGGACTCGGAGAACGAGTCGCTCCCGCCTCGGAAACGACCGCTCATGAGCATCATGACGAACGAATACTACATGCCGCCCTCGGCTCCGGACCCGACGCGCAAGTTCTTCACGGGACTGAATCCGTTTCGCGCGGACCGGGAGAACGTGCTGGTCCATGCTAGAGACGATGCGAGGCTACGGATGCTGTGATCTATCTGCTACCTGTTTTCTTATCTTGTACTCCTTTGTAGTCGATAGACGTGATGTATGATGCACTTGCGCTTGAAAAACTTGGATTGTTGCAGTTCGATTTGGGGTTCTGGTCTTGGGCATGGAACTGCGTAAGAAGCGTAGGAGCTTGATAGAAATGTCCAGCTAGAAGGAACAGATGGAAAGATGCCGCAAAGGCTAAAAAGAAGAGAGCTCTCAGACGGGGAATCGAACCCCGGTCGCCCGCGATGATCAGAATCTAACTGACAGGCGGGAATCTTAACCATTGGACCATCTAAGATGCGATCAGAATCAGCGTTCAAATAATTAGACCTCACTGGTTGCGGATGCTCTTTGTAACTAGCCACCTCCACTACTCCTCAGTGTTGATCTAGTATCAACATGGGGGAAAAGAAGATCGTCAATATTTTGACTAAGCTCTCTAGTCAGCAATGGAGATAAACGAATGAATTTGACGACGCGACTGGGCAGGAAAGTCGCGAGGTACGAAGCGTCAGCAGCAGCTTCCGGAACCAGGCGGGCCAGTCCCATGAGTGGAACCTCGACCGCGTTCATTCTCGTTGTACGGCCCCGTTCGTTCATCGTCATGACTCGTGCGCTCCAAATTCGCGCGACCTGGTCAGATTCTCAAGCTCGGACACCGAATCAGGGCATACTGATACATTGAGTTCCTCGTGTGGAAGCTGATGCCCGTCGTGCAAGGTTGGCTGGCCGAAGCGGAGAAGTGCGGCAGCAGCAGCAGCAGCCCCATGCTTGCACCCCATGCTACGACGCTCGCCGTGAAGCCCTGCCATCCGATCCCGTGTTGCTGGCAAGGCTGCGGGAGCTGTATTTGGTAATATGGGAGAGGTGTTGGAGGTGCAAGCGAGATGAAGCGGCTGGCTGTCGGTCCGTTGCTTGACTTAGCGAGCCCTGCGCCAGTTCGCTAATTTGCATCGCGTCGAGAGCGGAAGTCGGCCGAGGGAGCGGCGATTAGATGGGCTGCGCCGTCGTATCTCGGCCTTCGCTGACAGTGACACTTTCCCACACCCCGGCGGCTTAGTCTTTATCAGAGTTCCCCGCCGAGGCTTCTGCCTGATCGTCGGTGCTGTCGGCAGCGCTTTGCCGAATGGCGTGCATGGGAATGACAATCGCTCTGAGAACATGTCCAAGTATGGGTGATGAGTTCTCTCCGTTGGTGGTTTCTCCCAAGCTGATTGTTGCGACGTAGACGGGCTGACAGAAGTCAGAAGGAGATAAGAGTACTATGAAAGTTTGGAGCAGCGAAAGTGAGGCTGGTGAGTTGAGTGTAAACAGGATGCCTAGTCTCCGTCTCTCAAGGCTTTGCGCATGAAGATAAAGCAGACCAGGTTCGTAAAGTTCATTGAGTGCGTCCACCGGTGTTCAGAATTGACTTGCCGGAACGGTCATCTGAATGTGCACCGATCGGCTTTGCATTGCAGGTGTGCTGGGATTGACCTGAACAATGTCAACATATAATCTGTAGTGCCATCCGATGGTCAATACGACGTACTGGCCTTCAGGGACGTGAGGACATGGTCGAGTCTGTGTACGTACTGGGTTCATTCGTGGACTTACTCAGCTACATGACATATTCAACCGAATGAATTGGACTGCCGGCTCCACGGGAGAGTCAATAACTGTTCACGGGTTCAATCGTGTCTCTGCGCCGAACGTCGGATGAAAACAGCTTAGCGTTGTCAGCAAACAATGCGTTGATACAGGGGCTACTACTATTGGAGCGGTCAGTGGAGAGAGCCGTGGAGGCTAAAGGGATGCGGAGAATGCGATCGACGTCGGGTCCCACGGGGAATTTGGATTTGAGATAGGGTCAGTGGTGCATCAGAATCCTCCGGACGAACGTTCGATCCCAGACACTGGGCGATATTTCTATCACGCCTTCGAGCGGTCAACAGTCTAGCCACATTACATTCTCTACGCGGAGGGCCCCCAAATGTAGACTCGGAATGAAATTTGAGGTCGTTTGCCCCTACTTTAAGACTGGTGCTCCATCACGCAGACCAACGAACAACAAAGGCGTGGGGTCTATTTGGACTTACTGGTATAGCCCACATGAAGCGTAGTGATTACATGAGCGCGCACATGCACCACCCCATATGATGGTCGCACGATGTCCGAGGACGGCATTTGAAGGCGTCCGGGAATTGCCTCGCTCACTTCCGGATCGACACGCACAGGTCTGGGCCATATGACAGATGGCAGGGATGGCGATGCAAAAGTCTTGGAAATGGGAAGGAGGGGTGTCCAGGAGGGTTCCCGAAGGCGAGAAGGCAAGAAGGTTAGCTAACCTTGATAACAAGGGAAACCCTAGAGGGATGCTAGAACGGCGCCAGGAGCCTGGAGCCAGAGAATACAGAAGAAAGGGTCTGATGCGGTAGTCGTGTGGGTACTCCGGCAAGGCACGACGACGGGACTAGAGGGCGGATTCGGGATACCCTGTGGGGACAGCGACTCGGCTCAATTGAGGGTGCGCTTCAATCTTCGAAACAGAACGCGGGCCGTTTTCTTCCATTTTCAAAAGTGGGGGATGTGAGACAGTCGGGGCACTGCATTCATCGGGATTGTTCGGACTTGGCGGGTCATGGTCGACTGGGAGAGTACGGATCGAGTGAGCAGACCGCGAACAGTGGGCACTGGACGTTGGCCGACGACGACGACGACGGACTGGGAAAGAATATCTGCTTGATAAGGGAGAGCAAAAAATGAAATGACTTCTCTGGTGTGTCGGACCGAATGGGGTACCCAATCTTAGATTAGGATCGAGGAAAAAATACACGGTGAGCAAATCACTTTTATTCAAAGGCTCGGCTTATCTTACCTCCCTCCCCCCACCTCCAGAGAGATCCTCGTCCCTCCCGCCGGTGTGGGCCAGCATAGCGAGTGCAAGGCAAGGTTTCACCAAAAAGGAGTGATGCGCTATTGACGTCACTGTCTTGCATTCCAGCATTTTCCAGGGACTTTGGTTCACTTTGGTCTCCCGTCGGCTTTCATCCCCTTGCCAGCCAGCTCCCTGCACATCTCTCCCGTCCCAGCGGCGCGCGTGCCATCCTCCCCACCGTCATCTTTCACGAGTGGTCTTTGTGTATCTACCTTAGGATGCCCTACAGCAACCCCTCGCATGCCCCCGTCCAAGCGCTCTCGGCTCCCACTTCCGCAGCGGGGGCTGGAAGACCGAATCACCGCCGTGCATGGACGCACCACTCGTACACCTTCGCGGCAGACACGGGCTCGTCCGGCGCCTTCGCCAGTCTGGGCTCTCTCCCGCGTCGCCAACCTGTGGCCCGGCCGCGCTTCCATCTTCATCAGGAAGACGAAAGTGACAACACGTCGAGTGATACCGACGAGGGTTCACGGCATGCGGCTGCTGGCGTGGAGGAGGATGATGAGGATGGATCACCGCCTCCGCTCAAGTTACGTGTAGGCGGCGCATTCAAGCTTACGCCACCTACTCCTCCTGGACTGGTGCACCGGCATACGCACCACGGGCATGTTCCAACGCATGGGCCTCAGAAACGCTCCCCTCTCGGCTCACCGCGAGTGTCGCCAACGCCTTCTTCCGCGCAGCTTCAATCACAACAGCAAGCCCCGCCTCGGACCGAAAAGGAGAAGCTTGCCGTGGACGTGACAGCTGTTCCGTTTCCCCGCTCCTCACCTCTGTCGTCCCCCTTCCCAGGAGTGGAATCGCCCACCATTGCTGGTAGGTCCACTTTCTTGATCTTGTTCGCCACATCCCTTTCTTTGATCTTGCGATCCACCCGTCATCCACAGTCCCTCGTGCCCTCGATCGACGTTTTACTGATTCCAGTTTCAGAAGCCCCGGCAAGGCCGTCCCTTCCGCCACGCACCTCGTCTCACCCTATCATTTTGTCGAACGGCAAGCCGCTGAAATCATCCCTGAAAGGGTCTAGGTCCAGCTCCACGCCCAACATCCCGGCAGTCCACCTCCGTTCACGATCGGCGCCAGCGACTCCATCCCTATCATCATCGTCTCTCTCTGAGCCGGGAACCCCGGATGAAGATGCATGGGAGACCGCCAGCCAGGACTCGAGCACGCCCAAGGTGGTGCATTTCCCGGATGCCGGGCTCGAGACGGTTCTCTTGTTCAAGCGGAGCGCGAGACCGGCGAGCGTCAGCTTGCCGATTGAGGACGAGACTGAGACCGAGACGGATACTGATCGCGACCTTCCGCGCTGGGCTGGTGGAATCGTCGTCAATGGCCCTCCCACTCGCAAGACTTCCGCCAAGAGCCCGCTGGGTCCTGGACAGGATGCAGAGGGCTTGGCTTGGCGATATGTCATTCATGCGCCGGATGTGGGCACTCGCAAGATGGCGGAAGACATGGTTCGTCTGGAGAAACTGGATCTGGTCGTACCTGGCGAGGTGAGTGGCGTTGACCTTTCTTGTCCGGATATGGGATCTTGCTTGCCTTTTTGGTGTCTGGCGTTCTGTTCGGGTCCGCCACGTACATTCCGCCTGTCATTCTGCCTCTGGCTGTGTCGCTCTGTTTGTTCCTTACTCACACTCTCTCATCCAGGATGGTTCCATCTCGCTCTCTGGCACTTTGGTCGCCCGCAACGCGATGTTTGAAAAGCATCTGTTTGTGCGGTTCACACTCGACGCGTGGGCGACTACCTCGGAAGTCCGCGCGTCGTGGATGGAGGCTCTCCCCCACGTAGCTGATGAGCCTGGGCCGAACTGGGACCGCTTCTCGTTCAGCATCCGGCTCACGGATTACGCTTCGGCGACGCCGCGAGGTGTGTTCCCGCCCTTGCCCCCGCCTGGAACAACGCGGGTCTTGAGCGGGGAAAAGATGAGCGCTCTCGGCGAAGGCCGAGTCGGTCGCGGGCTGGCGGGACGGAGCATAGTGCTCGTTGTCAGGTACTGGACACCCTGGGTCGACGCAGCTGGTGTCGCGCCTTACCAATGGGTGAAAAGTGAGTGGTCGGCGCGCATACAGTCAGTTGGAGTGCTTACCCGTGTATGCAGACTCCCTGGCGTACCCTGAATCCGAGGCGATCAAGTCTGCGGTAGAACCGAGCAGCCATTCGGTGCCGGGCAAGTGGATCGGGACTGGAGGCGCTGGTCCTGGCGAGTGGTGGGACAACAATGGGGGGAAAAACTACGAAGTCGGGTTCATTGTTGAGCATGGTGAGTCTTGGTGTTTCTTATATCACTGGATGCCTCGTGTTGGCCATGCAGCTTTTTTGGAGCAGATCGCTGACTTCCATCAGTGTCGAAACCCCTCGCTGTTCAAAATGCGATTCCGTTCCCGAGTGCGCCTGAGGAGGCACAACATCAGCACGAACTTATCAACGGGCATCCTGTTTCTCCCGTTGCGTCGTCGCTGAGGGCACTGCCGATCAAGGTCCCCTCGGACCCGCCTCCTCCACCGGCACGCACGGCTCATGCACAGGCCCTTGCGGCCAAGCTCGGCCGGCTCAACTTGCGGAACTATGCAGCGCCATCATCCATCGCTCGGTCCAGTTCATTGCCGGGCGGATGGTCACCCGCACAGTCGCACCTGCCGCCGCCTCAGGTGCACTCGCCGCCTGCAAAGCAGGCGGAGACTGGCAGCGGCAGCCTGCCTCGTTTCTGGCCATGGGCGCCGAGCACGTCAGCCCCGGTCCCATCTCTGCCCGCTGTCACACCCGAGACGGTGGCACGAGAGGCATCGACGGATTCGGTGTCTTCGTCTGCGGACTCGAGCGACGAGGAAGACGCGCCTGGCAAGACAGAAGCAGCAGAACCAGATACACCGCCGACGTCGCCACTGGGTGCAGCAGGTCTCTTGCCCGCTATTGATAGTCTCAGCATGCCTGGACTCGACTCGGACGCAGGTTCTATCAGCTCGGCTTCGAGTTCACCACCGATGTCGTCCTCGCCGCCATCTCGTTTCTGGAGCATGGGTACATCTGATCCTGCGGCTACACCGATGAACAGCAGGTCGCCGACGGAAAACCTGACACCGCTGGGAAGCCCGCTGTCGCCCGGTGTCGCGGATTCGTCATCCAGCCTTTACGAAGCGTTTGTGAAGCAATGGTGTTTCGCAGGGACCCCCTCATGAACACTCACGACCGATCTCACGGCACGGCACGACAAAAGGCCCCCGACATATACGGAAACGCGTGGCCACTTTCTTGAAAAAAAAACCACCATGCTTTTAACCGCTTTCCCATGCGATGCATCTTGTTGTGTTGTGTACATTTTTACTGTCCTTACCTCACGGCCACCCTCACCCTCATCATCCTTCATCTTCGTCGTCTGATTTATCTTCTCCGTTGCCTGTTACGGGCGATCGGAGCGTGTACATTACTGTAAGTGTTACCTACCTAGCTACCGTCCTACCATATCATGACACGCACCCACGGACACGCGCACGGACACGTACGAGGCATGCATAGCACGGATACAACCACATTTAGATCGTGTGTCCCAGAAAAGGCTGCTACATATACATACTTAGACATCATTGTTGTACCTACCACGAACGCAGCAGCGTATTTATTCGTCTTTATCCCCCTTTAGAGTTGCTTTTACGTAGGGGTATTGAACATCTCGGAGAGTTGCATTCGCGATGCGATGGAAGAGCGTGTATGGATCAGAATGTACGGTACCGTAACGTACATGACGAGAGCGAAGCCGAGACATGGTTCTTCCCATTCGACATCCGTTTGCATTGGCAAAGTGTTCTGTCAGAAGCTGTGCGTGCGCGTCCCACGCCCCGCCACGGCCGGGATCTGATGAGATGAATGTGCGACGACGGGGGCTTGTGGATGTGGAGTTGATTGACAGACGTGTAGGCCGGAGGATGACAATGTCCGTTTTCCGTTGGGCGCGGCAGCGGCGGCTCCGGCAGATACTTCAAGGTGGGACTGTATACTTGTAGCCATACGGAGGGAGGTTCGGCCGACGATCCGCAGAGAAAGAGAGTCCCACGCCGTGCGATGGGCATGTTGGTGCCGGGTCGTTTGCTCGGATGAGGTGGCCTTTAGATGCGCAGCAGCGGATGATTGGATTGCACATATCATGCGACCAGGGGGGTCTCGGCTATTCCGATATATGCATTGTATGAGCGGACAGCGTGTGCAGTGTTATTATAAGATATCCCGACGATCTTGGGAAACCAATGAATCTCGGAGTCCGAAATAGTCTGTGTGAGCGTAGATTGAGAGCGGCTCCGTTTGTATCCCGAGCTCCCGGGGTGAGAGCTAGCCGGTGTACCGTATCCGCAATGGTTACAGAGTAACCGTTCGCGCGGCGGTATCGAAATGGGAGACGCGGGTGCACGCACAGTTTCCAGCCTGAGCTGATGTCGGCTCCCAGAAGGGCATGGCGTGGGACAACATCCCTGACCCGTCGTCGTTCGCGGCCGTCGTACCCCGTCGATTTAGCGACAACGCAGCGGTGAGCGGGCGGGCCCGCTTTCGTGTATGGCCCAGGGTCGTGTAAGAAGGATAGGATCGCTGAGCATCGCTGCTGGGTACTGCTGCGCTCCAGAGTTGACAGAGCGCGGCCTGTCCTTAAGCGCAGTCTACGCGGGGGGCTTGGGAGATCGACGCGGAAGCTGCTCAGTGATCATGTCGGGGGCGCCGGCAGTTGAGGCCCCAGAGGCCAGGATCTCTGCAACTCGCGCTCAGTGGTGGAACATCGAACCCGCATTGAAACCGTTTCCGCGGAGCTTTTGGGGACGGTCGTAATTCCTTCTGAAAAGCTGAACCGCTGGCTTGTGAGAGGGTCGTGGTACCGATCAAACGAGTCTAGTGTCACGCGTCGAACTATTTGCCTTTGTTTCTTCGCGTCGCTTTACATCACATATGATTTTCTGCGCTTTGACATTGAGGACTCGCCCGCCAGCTATGGGGGGTTTCAAAGACGTGCAAACGAATTGACGAAAGTTGGCGCCGGTGTCCTCTTCGACAAACTTCCTACGAGCGCATCCGGCATCGATTATAACGAACAATATCTCACCACAATCTGAACACTTCAGCGTAATCGAGTATCTCGCATGTACCCATTATTCCGGTGATTCTTGCTTCATCATTTTGTTCCTGAGGGTTCTGTGGCATCGGCTTTCTCAGTTTCCATCCGTGCGTGTTCGCGCACGGCTCGCCGTCAATCAAGACGAGCACTTGTTGCGAACAAGTTTCCAAAGGAACCAAAACTGCTCATCATTTTCTACCCGAGGGTGTTGTGACATCGGCTGTCTCAGTGTAGCTCAGTGTCCACTGTCCATCCGTGTTGTTCCCGTCATCGAGCGCAGTTTGGCTTCAGAAGCCTTGGTATACAATCCTGCAGAATACGGTTGTCCATACAGGACATGGTCTGTTTCCATGATGGAACACGATGTAGTGCTCGGGGTCCTGGCACTCCGTGACAGGATGGCTCATATGCGCTGACTGGCAGGTACATGATGACGTAAGAGGCGGTGCTAAGCCGCGTCGCCGTCGGTGATCGCGTCGGGGGAGCGTAACTCTACAATGGAGGGTAGTCCATATTCCCGGTTTTTTTTTCATAGGTGATTCCTACTGGGAATGCAGTGTAATCCCTTTGTATCATCCTTCAGAGCGTCAGCTGTAAAGACAAAAAATTTAGCCATCGGATGAGTTCGGTCCGATCATTTCTGATGATGTTCACACGACTTTACATGCATGTGACCAATAGTCCTCTCGAAACACATGCATGGGTTTCTGTGCACACGACCGCAAGTGCTCGCGGTCGTCGTCTCAGATAATGAGCTCATTTTCATCTCCCTCTGCTACCGTCGTCCATTAGGGTCAAGGTCTGTTTTAGGAAAGTGTGATCATGATTCGATGTTGGGGTCCAACCAGTGATCTCCAGTCACACCGTGACCCCTCCCTGATGTGTCATTCGGCGTTGCTCATCGCCCTCGCCATCTCTTCATCTCGTCGTTATCTCTCGCGTCGCGCTTGGACCGGTGCACTCCGTGGGTTCTTTGCATGTACAGTGCGCAAAGGCACCTCTCTTTAATAGTGATTTGATGAAAATAAATTTTTGTACATTTTTGTAGTTTTTTATAGGAAGGAAACGCCCAAATGAACGCGACCACAAAACTCATTTTCCCCACGGTGTGTCACTTGTTCGGCGATCGGAATTCCAAAATGTACCTCCGCGGATTGATTTGGATCGCTTGAAACAGCAGGCGGCTGTTCGTAGGAAGGCCACACAGCGTGGGGCAGAGATATCTGTTGTCAATCCTGATGCGGAGAGTCTGGTCAATGATCCAAGCTAAGTACAATCCGGATCCCAGCCAATACATAGCGCAAATGAACCGGAGACTACCGGAGATCATTGCACGTGCCAACAAGGCTGTGCTTAGCCCTACCTGAAATGATAGTTGACTCGACCATTAGGGTTTGTGTCCCTTGTTCGCATGCAAATTTCACGTGCTTCATACGTTGCACTCCAATAATCGCCGTACAACAGGAAAAAACTGGCTCTGCAGTCTGAAAGCACTAGAAGCCGCTATCGCCATCAACGACGACGACAACACTTACTATACCGAAATATCACCCGATATCACCTTACTAAGCAGATATGAGGCATATGGTCACGGAGTGCCAGGACCCCCAGCACTTAGTCAGATCCTGGCATCAAGATAGACCTTGACCCTAATGGACGACGGTACTCTGCTTCAATCCCTTGCCGCGTGCCCAAACCCAGGCCCACCGGGATGGCCCTAGGCAGGGGAATTGGTGGCAATGCTCTGATAAGCGTGTTGCGATGGTGGCGAAGAACACTGATCGAAGCTATCTACGGAACAAACGGCATGTCTACAGAGCCAATCAGCACAGCCACCAATCACCCCTCCCGCCCCACACTCACCCGGATCGTCGCGCACTCGATTTGTGAGGTGTTGAGACTGATCTGAGTGCAGTTGTTGCACGGGCGGTTAGAGATAAGACCATGAAAGAGTGTGCCACACTCGGTGCAGGGAGGCATGAATCAGAGATGTGGGACACAAGCAAAACTGAGGGAGTCAGGGTCGAAGTTTCACGGGACCGTTTCCCTGCACACGTAAGCTCTGATGGCGGTCTCGGAAAAGTGCGTGTCGTAGGCAGTATAACATACCTGAGTTACTCGTTGGCGCAAACTCATGAAAACGATTCGCATATGTTGCCTGCAGCTGTCAGGAGTCCCAGGTGAGCATAGATTACTGTACGCGTTCACTGTGGCCTGGTCACGTGACGGTGAAGACCAAGAAGCGAGCACTACTGACGTGTTCCAAATGACGACCAGAGATCATGTCACAGTATGTCACATCCATCACTAAGACCCCCAAGCTCAAATCACGATCGCATCTATCAAAACAGACCATGTCCTTAATGGCCAACGGTATGCAGAAATCGTGGGTAAGGTTTTTGCCTTTTCCTGGCGAACCTGTCCTTCCGTTGTTTCAGTGGAGACGAAGAGATGTTCTCGCGAATAATATTGGTACAACAATAGGAGGAAAGAAATAGCGCGCAGGCTCAATTGAATAGGAATCCACTTCCTAATAGACCAAATCCGGCCTTGGCCGCTCCCCTCATGAGAGCTGCATTCGCGTGGGTACCCGCGTTGCCGGCACGCAGTCCGCCGTACCGGGCCCCGCCGCCCAACGCCGCGCCCGCCATATCGCGCACGCCCTGCTGGAACTGCAGCTCGCGCGCCGCGGCGTCGGGGTACGCGTACGGCGGGAAGTCGGAGCGCTGCATCTGCCACGGGAGCTGGATGTTCAGGCCGCGCAGGACGGCGCCGACGTGCGCGTACATCTCGTCGGGGCCCGCCAGGATCTTGTGCGCGAGGTACGTGTTCCAGCCCTCCCACGTCAGGACGTTCGAGCCCGCGCATGGCGCGCCGATGGTTAGGTCTGCCCCGGAGAGAAGTCGTCAGCACGGTGTAGGGCCGGGAGGGAAGCGCAGGCGCGGATAGACGCACAGTAGTAGGGGAGGACATGGGTCTCGAAGTACGGCGGGATCGATTTCCCGGCGAGCCTCCTGAAGAGGCTGACCTTGCTGGGCTCGATGAGCTGCGTCCCGCTCGGATACCCGCTCCGATCGAGGCCCATGAAGATTTCCCGCGATATGATGTGGAATGCCTCGAGCCGGTATCCCTGCGCGCCGAAGAGCGCCGTCGATTGCTGCTGCTGCGGGGCGGGCGCTGGTGCAGCGGCAGGCGCGGGTTGCGCGATGAGAGTGGCGCTTGCGGATACACCGCCTATCGTCGTTGTCGAGCTCGTCCCTCCGGCGCTGGTTCCACCCGCAACATTTGTTCCACCCAAGATAGCACGCCCGACGCTCGTCCCCCCCTCGCTCGCCGCGGCAGCCACACTTATTGAGGAGGACCGGATACTCGATCCTGTTCCTCCCGCGCTAGTCCCTCCAGAGATTGATGGTGATTTCACACCGGGGGCGGCAGCCGTCATCGGTGCCTCGGCGAGTCTCGCACCGCATTCGGTGCAGAAGCGGCCGTCGCCTTGAGTCCCACATTCGCCGCAGAACACCATGGTGGTTGGGAGAGAGAGGACGACGGGTGCTGCCAGGATAGCAGCATGTCACTGGGGATCGGAGATGGACGTGATAAATGTTACGCTCACGCGAGACGTGCCTGTGACAGGGAATGACACGTCATTAGTCCCGCTTCTGTTCCGCACACACACACCAAGACATCGCAGGTGGACGGACTCATGCCGTCGCTGTGCGCGAGAGAAGTTCATCGAACCTTTGCTTGACGCGATATTCGAGTGAGAATCGTTTATTGATACAATGTACAATGGGTACGTCGTCGTGAAGGTACATGAAAGCTCGTCATCATGGATCACACGCTGGGCCTTTTCTCGTTGCTCACTCGCACATCGTCCGCCTTTTCGGATTCGTGCTGGTCATGCAGATGCGGTCTCCAGCCTGCCGAGTGCCACGGCTTCACGCCAGACCGGTACAGCTCGTCGACCTGTAGCAGTGGATCAGTCTTCACAGCGTATGCCATTCAGTGCACCGGCAACCGCACCTCTTCCAAACTCAGTCCCTTGGTCTCGGGGATGCAGAAATACACGTAGAACCAACCTGTGCGAATTTGTCAGTCCTGCGGCCGCATAGACGACATCGACTGCAACGCACCGAAGAACAGGGCGCCGAAGAAGATGAGCCAAATGAGGGCGCCGATCTTGTTCGCGATGCGCGGGGCGAAGAAGCCGAGCAGGAAGTTCCACAGCCAGTTCGTCGCGCTCCCTAGCGCGATCGACTTGGACCGCACGCGGAGCGGGAACGACTCGCCGAGATACACCCAGGGCGTCGGGCCCCAGAAGATCGAGAAGAACATAACGTGCAGGACGGCGAACGCGATAAGCGAGTCGCCGCCTGCCTTGTTCCGCGCCGTCAGCAGTTCTTTCGGGGTGCCGGCCTGGGATTCAGTTGGTAAGTCTCGTATCGAAAGCGGTCGATCGATGCGAGATGACTCACAGGTGCGACGGTGTAGTGGCCGACCAATCCGCCGATCAACGCACAAGTTGCTTCGAGGACGGCACCAGTCAGTAAAGAACGACGTCTGCCCCAGGCCTTAAACCCAGTCAGCGGGGCCAGTCATGGAGGTCGTATGTGTAGCACACCTCAATCAAGTACAACGCAGGGACCGTCCCAATCACCGAAACACCACCGACGATGACTTGAATGATATACGGCGACAGCGAGGTGCCCGCACTGGCGAAGAACGTGTCTCCGTAATAGTCTGTCGAGCCCCAGAATCAAGACCTGCTTGGACAAGAGAGTTGCACAGCACTCACAGAAGAAGTTCTGCCCGTTCAGTTGCTGGATGAACTGCAGCATCATCCCGTTGATCGTCCGCTTCCACATCGCGTTCCGGCTGGAGAAGCATTCCGCCCAGGTGGCCTTCCCGCCCTCGTTCTCGAGCCCGATGGCGTACTGCAGCTCGTCCACGGTGTCAATGACGACCGGATCGTCCAGAGCGACGCCGTTCAGGTCAGCGATGACGGCGCGCGCTTCCTCGACCTTGCCGTTGCCCAGCAGATGACGGCTGGAAGGGCGCGTGGTAAGCATGTGTTGAGGGAGATAGGGAAGGAGACTCACGGAGATTCGGGCAGGAAGAAGATGCCCGAGAGAAGCGCAAGGCCCCACACCATCTGCAGACCGACGGGAATCCTCCAGGAGGCGGAGTTGTGGATGGTGTGTGTTCCGAGGTCGATCACGTAGCTCAAAAACAGACTGCGGCGCAGGTCAGCGGGAGAGTGATGCTTTGGGAGAAACCACATGCCCGACGATGATCTGCAGCTGGTAGAGGACGAGGAACGTTCCGCGGTACGCCTTGGGCGACGTCTCTCCGTTGTAGAGCGGCACGATAGCTGGCCGCATGTAAGCATATAGTCACTGGCCAAAAAACACGGTAGCGCGGACCTGAGAGAGCTCCCACACCCAGTCCAGCGATGAATCGTCCGACCGTGAGCTGCGCGAGCGAGAACGTGGTTCCTGTCTGGATTGCGACGCCAACAGTGAAGATGCCCGACCAGATGAGGATGGAGCCCCGTCGACCCATTGAGTCGCTGGTAAAGGCCTGTCCGAGCGCGCCGACGAATGTGCTGCGACGATTCAGCGCGTTTCCTGACCAGAGTGTCGTCGCACACGTACCCGGCAGACAAGAGTGAGGTGATGATGGACTGCCGTGAACTCGAAAGGAACATGGTCCCGTCAGCTCCCACTTCTCCAAAGCGATTGATGAAATCTGGCATGATGAGGCATCCCTGCAGCGAGGCTTCAGAGGCTGGCTCTGAGATAGGCAGGGATTTGGACGAACTGAGATGACACCAATGTCGTAGCTGGTGGGAATATTAGCACACAACCATTGAGCAGCTGGTCACATTCAGACTCACCCGAACAAGAAGCCTGGCAGAATAGGTAATGTATCTGGTAACGATGTTAGCAGATGCAGATAGAGAACGTGATGTTTGACCCACCAGCTCGCGCTCTCGGCCCCCCAAACTACCCAAACGCACCTCCTTCACCCTGGGTCAGCAAACACAACTCAGCGCCCAACACACGGAGACGCACCAAAGGCAATGAAGACGGCGAGCAGGACCGCTCGGGGAGTTACAGTTGCGTGCGCATCCGCCATGGGAGAGTTGTCGAACAAAGTCGAGGGACGGTTGACACGAAGAACTTGCGAAGCATGGAGGATGGCACATTTTATCCTGTGGGGCTGCTCAGCTGACCGCACGGTCCGCAAGACGGTCCGATATGTTGTCGCGGCTCGCAGAGGGTGTGTCCGGGAAGCGAGTGCTTCGATGATGGGGTGTGGAGCCCCGCAAGGCAGGTCTTCTCCGTGGAAATGCGGGAATCTCCCACGCGGGCGCGCAGAGGCTGATCGTGAGGTCATAGCAGTGGAGCCCTCGGGCCCGAGCCACGCGATGCGACCCATGCAGGCTCGCGTTCGCGTCAACTGGGATGACATCACAGCCTCTGTGGGCCGCAAAACACGAAGAAAACGATACCGGCGTGTCTACCCGATCAGTCATATGACCTCATGGCATTGAAGGTGTGGGTTTGCCATCTCTGTTCTCCGTGGAAGCATTCCATGATAATCACCGACTTCTGGGCCGCCGGTTTGAATGGGGTGATATTACAACTTTCCGATGTTGCGTGTGAGAGCGCTGCTGTTCCCGTTTGAGACTAATATGAGCCATATTGCTGATAATGTCCTTTTAGCAGATGCAATCGCGTCTAGTGAGTGCACACTAAAACTGGGACTGGTTTTTGCGGTCGGGTAAGTCCAGTAAACGAAACCGCCACTGTCAATCAATCAATCAAACACGTGGCGCTTCTTCAGGTCATGTGATGTTGCCCCTCTTGATCTTGACCGCGACCACGCGCATGTCACAGTCAGACGACTCCGAGTACGCGGCCTACAATGATTTCGAGGGCCTCGAGGAGGCAGACTTCGCTTCTCTTGATGCCTCAACCTCTGCACACTTCGCCACGCCCCAGGGAAAACCATCACCCGTGTGTCAGCCAGCTGTGGAGGAGCCGACAGCGACCAGTCCTTTCCGACTGTTCAGAAAGAATGGCACACTGTCTGTCACCGACCTGATCTCACTGTCGTGGTATGTCCGTGCGTCTGGTCTTGATGTGTCCTCATGCCAAGGCAGGTGCGAAGTCCAGTACGATTATGGACTGCGGCAGCGCCGTTCTGCGAAGCTCGAGAAGCGGCCAGCATCATTCAAGACTGAGAAGGGCAAGGAAATCACGGTCCGGAAAGACGTCGCTGCGCGGAATGACCGGACCACGAAACGAGGACAGGTGTGATCCGATCGGTCTCGCGCTCTCACTCTGGTTGATCTCGCTAGGTCATACACAAAGAGCTGGAGAGAGAGGTCAAGCCTGTGGAGATAGAGGTCCTCATCGCTTCGGACGAGGAGCGTTGGGCTCTTCGGTCCGTTTGATGATGGAGTTCTTAACGTTGCGTTTCTCACCACTCGTTCAGGATTCTCAATTTGCTCGAGAGCCTGTCGATACTCAAGTTGGAGCCGCGGACGGTAACAGAGAGTTCTCGACGCTTTCGAGTCTGATCTAAACTCAGCGTGAAATCCCGGTTTTCGGTATGATAGACAACGTCGTGGTTGTGGGAATTGTGGTAACTCTCGTTCTCTTCGCATCGTTGCGTGGGGCTATCTTACCCTGTCAGCTAGGATGAGCTTCAAAACATATCCATCGCCAGTTCCCCCGCATTACGTGTGATTGATACGAAGACGCGGATATCCAAATCTCTGCCTTCTGACGCCGACGCGGAACCAGCCAGGTTGCAGGTGATGCTGTATCACTCGCTTTTGACACGACTGCTGGATACATCCGCTCCCTTCGACTTTGAAAGTCTCTGGCGCATGTCAAAAGTCAACAGGAACACTGAACTCTCTACTCGGTTCCTCGAACAGGTCGGCCTCTCCCTAGGAACGAGTTCCCCTACATCTCTGGTGGAGGTGTCGACTTACTACCACCGGAGAATAGTAGAATTGGATCTTCCTCCCCTCGACGATGTCTTGCAGGTCGTCTATCGACCCCAGAAAAAAGCGATTCTAAGGTCACTGAGGCCAGCCCGTCCTACACGAGAAGCAGAGGATCTGGCCCGCGCCATTGAATTGAGTTTGGCCGATCAAGCGGATGCCGATCTCGCCCAAGCTCTGCGCGCCAGTTTGTGGGACCCCGGCACTGGTATTCCAGAAGACTCCGCCCCCGTGCAGACTGGTTCTTCGAACATCCGACGGGAGGACATCGTACCTGCCGCTTCTGGTTCTGCCGATGGTGGCGGTAAGCTGTTGTTGTATTCCAAATTCACGTGGATTCTGATCCCGTTCGATCAGGCGTGGAAGGTACAGTGGATGGTAATACAATCCTCGGGACCAAAGAGTTCGTTTTCGATTCACCGACGCTCAACGTTTATGTCAAGAGCGCCATGCTGTGGTGGAAGGGCCGGCGAAAACCGCGTGGGGTTTCTGAGTCGCAGACAAGACGGTGTTTGTGAGTGGCTTTTTTGTTTGTGATCTCGCACTGCTTGAGCAGCTTGTTGGCTAGCTCCTGCGAATACCGCGAAGGGTGCGAGTGGAGAGAGGAAAAGGCTGCTGAGGCCGAGGAAGATGTCCTCTGGCGCCAGCTTGGAGACTGGTGAACTCGAAATAATCGGGTTCAGGTTGTCTGTCGATGTTGTATTTTGGGCGGTTTCAACTTATCTAACAGATATATGATGTTCCATTATGATGTGAAGAACATCGCACGGGGCGATGGCAATGTTGAGGGAAGCACTTGACAAATCCATCATGGTCGGCCAGGTGAGCCATATCAAATCCATCCAACCAGTCGTCAACCAATCCGAATCACCGGTCACGAGTCAATGAGCCGACTCTACTTGCATATAAGCGGAGCGGCAAATCCCGAGTTCACTTTGGTCTGTACGATCCCTGTCATCGGCGAACATCTCGTTCTGGCTAGCAACAGCCGCCTCACTGATGTAGGCAGGTAGGTGATGGTTTCCCGCTCGATCAACACCCTGACATCATGTGAAGCCTTTCTCCTCGCACCAGTCACTCGTTTCGCGTGTCTTGTGACGGACCGCGCTTCGTTGACCCTGTTCCAGCTTTTATTTTGTTCGGCAGTTGGATCCCACGGGAGTCCATGACATGCAGCTGGCTGGTTTCAATTCCTATGAAGTTGAACACGAGAATTGGACTGAAGCTCTGGGATTCTTTTTAGTTGCGACGGGATAGCAGACCGGTTGCATCATGGATCCGGGATTTCACGAAATGAGAGGAAACCGAGGGAGCCCAGCTGCTGAAACCCGAGTGCAGATAGCCTGCGAGCAGCACGATCGCTCATGTACTTGCTCTCAGTGGCGGAGGCCTTTGCGATCACGGGACAAAGCAAGCAAAGGGCGTCTGAATGACCAGGCTTGAACTTGGCATTTTATGCCAGCGGGCGCGTGGTATCTTTCGATGGAGATTCTCCGCTCCCCTCCCTTGTTGAGCGGAGAAGATCAGGTCACTGCCCCCGTGGCCAATAGTTCATCAGATGCGAATGTCGGTCGTTGTTCAGCGCTCAGCACTGAACGGTTGGCTCCAGGGGAAGTCAGGTTGAAGGTGGTAGGTGCAGGTGAATGAGCGCCTTGAATAGACATCTGAGCACCGCATTTCGACATCACTACTCCTGCATTACGTGAACATTTGAACGACCTTACTTGTTCGGAAAATAGTTACGGCAGATGCGCTCGGCATGGGAGAAACGCTCGAGTATGGAGTTGCTTTGAAAGCGGCTTTCACTGCGTCGGGATGAACCTCCTGCCGATTAAGTTGAATGCCCAGCCATTCCTGAGCCACATGGTCGGTGCGCGCTAGATATCGCCATGATGTTGCAGTGCTCCAGACTCCGGACCCCGGATTCCGGACTCCCGCCTGCCTTGGCGAGCGCTTGACTAAGCCCTCCCGTTCACAGCTATTTCCGACTTGTGATGCGCACAGGCGTCACAAGAGACCGGAATAGTTCCCGCCCGTGTGCAAAAGAGGCTTCTGCTCCACGCAGTTTCTCCGGTTTTGAGATCAATGTTCACATCATATCAAAGGAAGCTTTTTTGGAATTTAGTTGCTTAGCCGCGAGAAAGGCGACTTCTGAACTTGGCCATGCCGAAATATCTAAATCGAGAACATGTGCATATCACTATTGCAAGCACAGCAAATAATTCAGTCAGAACGAGTCAAATAAAGAAAATGGAATCGCGCGAAATGTTTGAAATTTTAGTTTCAGGAAACGGTGATTCCAGACCTTTGAGCTGGTGAAGCTGCCGTTCGGACTACGGCCGGTGAAGCTGCCGTTCGGACTACGGCCAAGCTTATCAGATTGTTCGGATCATCACGAGCAGACCACGCCTGCCAAACAAGTTTACACTTGGCACTTGAGGCTCTTCATCTTTGACTACTCCCTGGGGAGCGATTGGAGAACGGACGACTGCCTTGGCACGAACGAACCCGTACTTTTCACGGCATCGATTCGGCACTGGATATCTCGGAATTATTGTCCATGCAGCACATGAGTTCGCGCTCGTCATGGGTGCGGGCACTCGCAATATAAAAGCAACGGCGAGCTCTCTGGAGACTCCAGTTCTCTCTCAGCGAACACAATGCCTTCCCTCGCCACTCTCCTGCAACTCGCTACCTTGGCTGGTGTCGCATTCGCGCTGCCGAGCAATGTGACCGTCTCCCGCACGGAGACGGCGAAACGCGCGACGTGCACGGTCAACAGCGTGTCCAGTTCCAAGAACCTGAGCGGATGCTCGAGTGTCGTCATCCAGGGATTCACTGTCCCCTCGGGCAACACGATCACCATCGCCGCAAGTGCTTTCCACAGCTGCTCGGTCCGCCGTGGGCTCAATTGATCGATAGGCTGCCAAGGGTGCGACGGTGACGATGGCCGGAGATGTCATCTTCGCGAAGACGTCAAGTAAGCTAGATTCTGTAGGGTTATTTCTCGTCAGTTGACTGATCCTTCCAAAGCCGCCGGACCCCTTTTCACATTCAACACCCCGGGAATCGTGTTCAATGGCGGAAACCACAAGATTGACGTGAGTCTGAAAGTTTTGGGGGACATCCAGCGCTGAGACTCCGACAGGGAAACGGTGCCTCCTATTGGGATGGGAAGGGCACCAACGGTGGTTCCTTCAAGCCTCACCCGTTCATCAAGTATGCGATCCATGATTCTCGTCGATGTTTATGAATATCTCACACTCGTTGCAGGCTCAAGGGCTATGGATCGTTCACGTACCTTACTGTCTTGAACTCTCCGGCCCAGGCCGTCTCCGTCGGTACCTCCGGTGGCAAGGCCGTTATCCAGCACGTCACCATTGACAACTGTGAGTCGTCGTCGGTGCTTCACATGGGCCACGAACTCCCGCTCACTATTCCTCCGCCAGCGCTGGGTGACTCCAAGGGCGGGCACAACACGGACGCGTTCGACGTGAGCGCATCGGACGTGACGATCTCCGCGTGCACGGTGCGCAACCAGGACGACTGCCTCGCGCTCAACTCGGGGAACAACGTGCTCATCGAGGACACGACGTGCGACGGCGGCCACGGGATCTCCATCGGCTCGATCGCGTCGGGCAAGTCGGTGACGAACTTCAAGGCCGCGCGTAACACGATCACGAACAGCATGTACGGGCTGCGCATCAAGGTGCAGGCGTCCGCGACGGGCGCCAAGGTCGCGGGCGTCATCTACGAGGCGTGAGTAGTAGTACACTGCGGTTGTGCGGGAGCTCCTGGACTGACGCGAGTCGTGTTCCGCTCCCTCCAGCAACAAGATCTCGGGCATCACCGGATACGGCGTGCTCATCACGCAGAGCTACCCCGCGAACAACGGCACCCCCGGCAAAGGCGGGCCGATCTCTGATGTGCGGTTCACCGGGGGGACCACCAGCGTCTCGACGACGAGTAACGGGTACGGGCTCGTCATCGACTGCGGCGCTTGCACCGGCACCTGGGACTTCTCCGGTCTGGATATCACGTCCAGCGGCAAGGGGCATTCGCTTGCGCTTGATAAGGCCAAGGTGTGTTGGCAAACATGCTTGCTTTAAGGTTGATCTGTGTTGATGTCGTGTTCTCCAGCTGTCCGGTGGTCACTATTAAGCAACGAGAAACTGTACCAGTATATTAATATATTTCGCTTTCTACTCTTTTCCCTGAGCGAGCGATTTGTGTGGTGAGGGTGATCGCTCGGGGTTAACAATTGAGTCGGATCCCCGGGCCGGACCGCCTGTGACAGCTGAAAGCTGTGCCGCTCCCTTTCTTCTCTCGACCATGTCCCTTTCTCTGCGCCTCGCGACACTTGAAGGCTTCTGGAAGATTTTTGCGCATCTCGCATAATTTTTTTTTCAGTTTTCTACCAGATCCTCTGAGGACTTGAAACTCAACCAGAAGATGGAAACTCAGTCACGAACGAAGAGAGTCTGAACCAAGGACGCATTTTTCTACACCATGTCTAGTTTCCTGCGATGAAAATTGTCGGCTTTAAGCATCAGACTGAGTCTGGGGCTGATGCTTCCGTCATCACAACTCTCCCGTATGAAATGGAGTCCGCCCTCCCTTGGTTCAGTCGTCCGGGAGATACCCCTCCTTGCAAGATATTTTCCCGGATTCTTTGTGTCCAGTGGAGACTAGATCATGATGGATTTTGATTTACTGACTATTCATTGTGTTAAAAGTACAAGTAGTGTTCTACAGGAAACATGTTAGGCATTAGCGTACAGTGAATACACGGATGTGATGCTTCAATTCTCGCTTCTGACTCATTCGGGCTCAGTACGTCCCACCGGTGATCTGGGAGTCGAGACTCAACAACCGAATCAACGCGAGAGGAAAACCACCTACCGCCGCGCGGTCCGCCGCAATGCTGTGCCCCTTGCCCGCCGAGGTGACCATGAGGCTGCCAAAGTTCCAGTTGCCGGAGCACGCGCCGCAGTCGATGACGACGGACATCGCGCCGCTGTTGACCGCGACGGTCGTCGTGCTGCCGATGAACTGCACGTTCGAGATCGGGCCGCCGGTGCCGGGGGCGCCGTCGTTGGCCGGGTAGCTCTGCGTGATGAGCACGCCGTAGTCGGTGATGCCCGAGATGATGTTCCTGGGCGGACGCAGCGATCAGTTCATTCCTGAACTGGGCAGAGAACAAAAAAAGCGGAGGACGCACCCTTCATAGGTCACACCGGACACCTGCGCGTTCTGCGCGTTCGCGTCGACCTTGATGCGCAGGCCGTAGAGCCCGCCGCTGATGGTGTTCCCGACGGCCTTGAAGTTCGTGACGGACTTGCCGCTCGCGATCGAGCCGATGGAGATGCCGTGCCCGCCGGTGCACGTCGTCTGCTCGACCGTAATCGCGTTGCCGGAGTTGACCGCGACGCAATCGTCCTGGTTGAGCACCGTGCATTGGGCGATCGTGACGTCCGACGCGCTCACGTCGAAGCCGTCCGTGTTGTGGCCGAGAGACGCTCCCACGGCTGGTGGGGGGGGATGAGACACGCCGACAAACGTACAGGAACGAGCTGTGGACTCAACAGTTGTCGACGGTGACACGCTGGATAAGCGTGACACCCGTGGTCCCGACGGAGATGGCCTGCGCGGGGGAGTTGAGCACGGTCACGAACCCGAATGTTCCCGAGCCCTTGAATCTGAGAAATTGTATTCGCGTCAGCTCCAAGACAGATCAACAAGAAGATGACATACTTGACGAATGGATGCGGCTTGGCCACGCCGCCGTTTGAGCCCTGCCCGTCCCAGTACGCGGCCCCGTTGCCCTGTGTGAATGAGTATCCAAGCGGTGGAGGAACATGATTGCACAGAAACTTACATTGATGTTGCGGTCGCCGCCGTTGAAGTTGATGTTCGGGGTGTTGAACGTGATGAGCGGGCCCGGCGCTGCAGAGACAGACACCTTCAGCATCGTGTCCAAGTTGCCAACAACGGTTATAAGTGCTGACATGTCGTCTTTGCAAAAACAATATCCCCAGTCATCCACACACTCGCGCCACTGGCAGCCTAGAAGCAAGCCACGTTGAGCACTGCACTCGTGTGCGTCACCGGCGCAAACACCCACCGCGATTGTCACCGTCTGGCCGGAGGGCACGGTGAAGCCCTGGATCTCGACGCTCGTGCAGCTCTTGAGGTTAGCGGCACTCGCGACGCTGTTGACGATGCACGTCGCGGCGCGGGGCATCGTGATGTTGCTGGGCGCCGCGAGGGCCACTGTCGCGAGAGCAGCAAGCTGGAGGAGGGAGGCGGTAGCGATCGGGAACATCTTTCGTGCGTGCGCGTTGAGTCGAGTCGAGGGCTGCTGGAACCAGAGAGGGCCGAGCGCTCTTTATACTTTGGCATCCCATTCCGCTATCTCGAGCCAAGCGGTCCGCAGCGCACCGTCCGGGCAAGTCTGCACTCGACTCTGGATTTGGGATACCAGTCACGGCAGCGCGCCCTGGCCGAATTGACACCGCGCAAGGTGGCAGAGAAGGCCCGCAGATCATGACGCCTTGGTTCGCTCACATGGCGAGGACAGGTTCCGGTCCGAATCGTAGCATTTTAAGGTTCAGACGCCCCCAGCACTCGGCGGAACTCCTCACTTGTCGACTGCTACTGGCTAGGCAAGCGGGTGGTAGCCTGGAAAGTATTTTCACCCTGATCGAGTTGCCCCTATCTGGGCAAGTTGCGGATTTGCTTTCTAAGCAGTCTGACGCAACAATGTAACATCAGCTCGCCAGTTTCTGGTAAGCGTTCATGATGCAGCCAACACCCCGAGTCCGAGGCCTCTCCGAGTTGACGCGTTCATCTTCCACAGCCCGAGAGCCACCGTAAACACCGACCACAGATTCCGAGGCCACTTGGGGCCGTGTTTCGGGCGTCAACCTAAAAATAATCTGAACACTAAGCAATGCATACCCGGAGCAAGGTCATGCGGGGCCCCACTCCCCAAATTTCGCCGTGCTCTGGCACACAGGAATGTCGGCGCTGCGGCTAGGTTTCGGAAATACTGGTCTCGAGGCCCAACTGCTTTGATGCCGCGACCCGCGCGTTCCGAAGCAGAATAGGAATCCAGGACGTGATGCATCAGCGACGACGATGTATTTTTGTCCTGTCAAAAACAACAAGACTCGGACGACCGACTGCCTTGGCGCTCCGCGGAGCCGAGGTCCCGTCGGCGGCCGAGGGCGTCTGGTGATTCTCTAGAGCTCAGCAGACTGGCCGGCCTACCCACATCGGCGTGGTGTTGCCCTGGGTGGGCTTATCGCAGATGGAGCGCGCGTGTACGGGGATCCCAGTGCTTATTACGAATCAGTGTTTCAGCCCGTTTGGGCATGGTCGAGAACTTGAAGGCTCGGTCTTCTGTATTCCCTCCGTGATTAACTTCCTCAGAGCATGCGGGAGGGGAGCCAGGTGTGGTATTGGAGTTCGATAGAAGTACAATTCTGAAGTATTAATTCCGGCTGAGCGTGTCGGATAAAACAGCGCTCAGAGTTCCGTTGTAGAGTTGTTGCGGCGGACGGTTAGTAGTGTCCACCAGAGATCTACGAGGAAAAGAAAGAAGAAAAAAACAGAGCTCAGCGACGCCTGTTTCAGACACAGTGAACAAGGCACAACACACCTTGGCATTGTTCGCAGCGATCTTGTGGCCCTTGCCGGCGGACGTGACGTCGAGCCCGGAGAAGTCCCAGTTGCCGGAGCACGCGCCGCAATCGATCACGACGGACATCGCGCCGCTGTCGACCGCGACGGTCGTCGTGCCGCCGATGAACGCGACGTTCGAGATCGGGCCGCCGGTGCCGGGCGTGCCGTCGTTGGCGGGGTAGCTCTGCGTGATCAGGACACCGTAGTCGGAGATGCCCGAGACGACGTTCCTGCACGCGGATGTGAGTGTGAATACGAATAAAAACGCGGTCGGCGCGCAGCGGCAGCGGCTTGCACTCACGCCTCGTACGTGACACCCGACACCTGCGCGTTCTTCGCGTTCGCGTCGACCTTGATGCGCAGCCCGTAGAGCCCGCCGGTGATCGTGTTGCGCGCGGCCTTGAAGTTCGTGACCGCGTGGCCCGACGCGATGGAGCCGATCGAGATGCCGTGGCTGCCGGTGCACGTCGTGTCCTCGACGAGGATGTTGTTCCCCTTGTTCACCGCGACGCAGTCGTCCTGGTTGATCACCGTGCACTGCGCGATCGTCACGTCCGACGCGCTCACGTCGAACCCGTCCGTGTTGTGTCCCAGCGACGCGCCCGCGGCTGGTGGGTCGAGGTAGTGAGAAGACTCGCTTATTGCTTGGCTGTTGACTACTCACAGTTGTCAACCGTCACGCGTTCGATCACGGTCGCTCCGGAAGTTCCGACGGAGATGGCCTGCGCCGGAGAGTTGAGAACGGTCACGAACGAGAAGGTTCCCGAGCCCTTGAATCTGCGCCCGCTGTGAGCACGCGCCGTGTGCAAGATGAAATGAGCAAACACGAACTTGACAAAGGGGTGGGGCTTCGTCGACCCGCCGTTGGTACCTTTTCCGTCCCAGTAGGCCGCACCGTTTCCCTGCACCCATGGTGAGACCGTTCGCCGCAAAATTCTGGTGCACTCACGTTGATATTGTGGTCTCCGCCGTTGAAGTTGATGTTGTTCGTGTTGAATGTGATCAAAGGACCCGCAGCTGTGCAAATGAGAGCGAGAACTGCTGGCAAGAGAGGATGTCATACACGAGGTCTTCGCAAAGACGAGATCTCCAGCCAAGGTCACGGAAGCGCCGCTAGCAGCCTGGTGGAGGGGGTGGTCAAAACGTGCGTCGAACAACGACGAGGTAGCGAGACAGCAGACCTCGATGTTGAGCGTATGGCCCGAGGGCACGGTGAAGCCCTCGATGATGACGTCGGTGCAGCTCTTGAGGTTCGACGCGCTCGACACGCTGTTCACCGTGCAGGTCGCCCGTTTCGCAGTCGCGGTCCGCGTCACGTTGCTGGGCGCAGCGGCGGCCACGGAGACGAGGGCGGCGAGCTGGAGGAAGGTAGCAGGAGAGAACATCGAGGTGCTGCAGTGGAAGGACTGTGGGTCGCTGAAGCTCAGTGAGCCCCAGTCGGAGCCTTTTTATACAAATTCCAACCTCACGTAGAAGTTGAGCCGTGAATCAGGCGGCCCGCTCTGTAGGATAGTCACGGTCCGCTCGGTCGCCAGGTCCAGGACCCCCGATCACACCAGACCAGCGTCCGCTGCGTCTGCCGAACAGCAACCGCCGAGGCATCCCTGCAGTTTCGACTGAATCAAACTTGTTTGTTAGTCTTCTTGGTTCGGAAATGCGCACATGCTCACGGGTGAAAATTTATCTCTCAGCATCCGCGGAGAAAAGTGGAGTATCAGCCGAGGAGGGCTAGGTAACACGGCGGGGGCTCCGAAGAGAGACCAAGTTCTGCAGACTTTTTGCGTGATCGGTAAAGGATTCATCCAACGTCTCAAGACAAGTACGTCTGGGCAGCCAGCGCAGAGAGCCACAGCGAGCTGGACGCAGCCGGGCGGGCCAGCCGAAAGGACGAGGAAAGTCTGCTCTTGCTTGGCATCGCGAAACCCGGGAACAGGTACCGGGAGAAGTGCATTTTTTCAGGCATGACAGGGCATGACGTCGCTACTCCGGATTCTCTCACCTCAAAAACGTGGAAAGCCGCCCGAGAACGGCGAGATGCCTCCCGCCGAGAATCGGCATGTCGGATAGGACTCGGAAATACTGGTCTCCAGGCCAGAGGGATGCGCAAGGTGGGCGGTTCTCGCTCCACCACAATGTCGCACGGGATCGTGTTTCCGACACGTACTAAGAATAGATCGAACAAGGCCGCCGAGCCCTGCGTTGTCTGTGCGGGGGAGGGGGGCTGGTTTGATGGCCAGTGGGCACCCGGATGTGGTTTCCATGAGTCAGGCGATGGCAAGCCCATGTCGATGCTGTCTGCCTCGCTGAGCGAAGCAGTTTAGGCTCGACGGAACCAGTGGCAGGAAGTACATAACCGTTCTGCATCAAGTCGATGTCGTATTCTTGACACAGATGCGCTGGGTTACGTCAGCTTGATCTTGCGACTTGATGACATAGATTGATTATCAATCATGATGTAAGCCAGCCAGACGCTGAGTACCTCACAGATCGCTAACTGAGTGTTATTCGTGGGTCGGAAAACAGGATAGGATGACAAGAACACTCGAATGACTGGATTAATTCAACCTGAAACCCATCTATGACTTGTCGTGTGCTTTTCATCCATTAAGTGCCTATCCTGCGGTTCATTTCCAGCCAGATCCCGCGTCTGATGAATAAAACCAGATAGAAATTGCTGTAGGTTTACTAACACATTTCAAGAAGGGCTTTTTATTCTCAGGGATCTCGGTAAAGCCAACGCTCATGACTCTTCTTATTCTGCTTTCTCATCGAGTCTCCTCGACAAATTGTCCAGAATGTTTTAATTTCACAAGAATATGTCCATTGTCCACTGATCCGAGACAATAAAAAAAATGAATAGGGAGGGTATGAACAGTACAGCATGATATAATGGGACGAGTTGTCGAGCCAATGCACTACAACATAGACATTAGATTCGCTGGATCAAACTCTATCATGGACGAATCTCACTCACAGACATATCACCGACCCACAAACGAGACCTTGTCCGACGACTTTCTTTCCCTCCTGATCCGGAAGATGGAACGAAGGCGGAGCAAGGACTTGCGCGGAAGCACAGGCCCCTTTTGTGAGACCTGCCCCCTCTCGTTGCCAACGAGAGGGACTGCTTTGGCTGAAACACTGAGTTTCGACTTGTGTCGTATACTCACAGGACGCGCAAGCCGCAAAATGGCTCGCTTGTATCGGAGGCAGGACAAGAATGTTTCGCCTGAAAGCGGAGGTGAGTGGCTGATGAGACGCTGGAGTGACTGAGGGTGTGGTATACCTTTGTGCCCACCGATACTGATATCCGGTCTGCAGTTCCTCCTGCTAGAGATACTCGAGGCGAATCCAGTGTTGGACATCTCGGGTACCTCCACGGACAGGGAGGAGCTGAACATGGAGGGGGTAGCGGACTCGGGAACGATCTCGTCCTCATACGCTTCAAGGCCATGCGCCGGGGGCTGCGGCAGTGCCAGTGAAGGAACGAGCGTGATCATGAGAACAGAGAGCGTGCTCTGTAGAGGAACCGTCAGAAAAGACTCAGGAAGCGCACCCTGAGGAGCTCACCATGATTATCCCGAGCATCATTGGCACGAATGCCGAGAGCCGAAGCCACAGAGTGATCTTTTCCTCCGAAGAGGTGAACGACTCGAACGTGGAGGTCGACGACCGCCGTCTCCTCCGCCGAGTGGGGGCGAGCGAGGCGGCGATGGAAGAGGAGGAGGAGGAGGATATGTCACCATGCGAGACCACAGAGGATCTGCGACTGGAAGCGACGGAATGAGTGACCGAATTCTTCCTCCGGGGACGGCACGACGACCGAACCGCCCTTGGGAAGGCGCCTGGCATGGACGTGGAGGTAGAATGCTGGATGCTCATGGTGGTTTTAGTGCAAGTTATTGCAGCGGTCGATTGTAGTCCTCCCTGGAAACTTATACCTCCTTCGCCCCTGTCTCAGTGATCCGCTTCTCTTCAGGACTCGCTCTTGCTGAAATTTCCGGAACACGTGCATAGCGCTTGACTGTAACCATTGAAGAAGGACTCACGAGAGAGGACTATCTGGGTTCAGGTCTCTGCCTCGACCTCAGAGTAAAGAGCCAGTGGGCTCGGCGCTACAAATGCAAATAGGGGCTTCCAATTAGAACCCGCGGATCGCTCCTTACGCTTCCGGTAGATGATGTCATTAAGAACAGAACAACAGAGGCTATAACGATCCTTCCGCGACATCCTGGGCGTAGCATATCCATCTTATAGCACACAATGACATCATTACCCCTGTTCGTGTATTACTGACCAGTGGCATGGCCGCGCCTGACTTGCGCAATTGAACACTCTGTTCTCTGGCATGGCTACCCGGTGGATATTACGCGGCGAAAAATACTTTTGAGGGAGCTCAGGGAGAGTCTTTCGCTCGCCGAAATAAATACAAAAAAGGTAAAATCTTGTGTTCAGAAAAGCTCAGAACGAGAGATTGAAACGGGAAAGATTGAGTGTGGTCGCCTTGTGAGGTTGACGTAGCTTGAACATGACCAAACGATTAGGATACTCATCTGGGTAATGGCCCATAAGGCGAAGCCAAGTGCGACACCCGAGGTTTGTTCGAAATTCCGGTCCCTGCTCAAACTCTCGCACCCAGCCTGAAACCCCATGAAACGACACACGAAGCCAAACTCCTGGGGTCCAATCTTCGCGGGACGGCGAAAAAGCATTCGCTCGAAAATGATTCAAAGGGTTCAGAAGGAAATAATTTTCAGAGGATGCTAGTCCAAGTACGTTGTAAGTAGTAGGGATGAGCCAGATTCTAAAGAGAGTATGAGGCAAAACTAGTAGGTACCGCCCGAGATCTACGAAATGGATGAGCGATGCAATGACATGCACGCAAGAGATGGGCACACCTTTGCCTGGTTCACCGACAGCTTGTGGCCTTTGCCAGCGGAGGTCACGTCGAGACCGGACCAGTCCCACGTGCCAGAGCACGCGCCGCAGTTCACAACCACGGAGTATGCGCTCGAGTCAACGGCGAGAGTCGTCTTCGCGCCGTTGAACGCAACGTTCGAGATCGGCCCGCCAGTCCCGACAGTGGTGCCGTCCTCAGTCGGGTAGCTCTGCGAAATGAGGATCCCGTAGTCGCTGATGCCGGACAGAGTGTTGCTGGGGACCGAAGGTCAAGAAACAGATCGCGTGAGCCACAAGACACAGGCGCGCACCCAGAGTACGTCACACCAGACACCTTCGCACCAGACGCGTTCGCGTCGACCTTGATCCGCAGCCCGTACTTGCTGTTGCTGACCGTGTTCCCCGTCGCACGGAAGTTCGTCACCGACTTGCCCGACGCGATCGAGCCAATCGAGATCCCGTGGCCGCCGGTGCAGGTCGTGCTCTCGATCGTCACGCTGTCGCCCGAGTTGACGGCGACGCAGTCGTCCTGGTTCATCACCTTGCTGTTGGTGATCGTGACGTCGGACGCGCTGATGTCGAATCCGTCGGTGTTGTGGCCCTTGGCGTTGCCGGCAGCTGGGGAAAGGGTCAGTCAGCCGCTGCGCGGTGACACAGCGAACGAGCAGACGAGGAAACTCACAGTTGTCGATCGTGACTTGCTGGATCGTCGACTTGCCCGTGGTGCCGACCGAGACCGCCTGGGCTGGCGAGTTCAGAACGGTGACCGAGGAGAACGTGCCGTCGCCTTGGAATCTACAGCGCATGAGCGCAAGTATCAGAAGCGACGGGCATTGGCACCCACTTGACGAAAGGATGGGGCTTGAACGATCCTCCGTTCGTGCCTTGTCCATCCCAGTACAGAGCGCCGTTGCCCTGCATCCCGGATGTGAGCACACTTCAGCAGAAATGAAAACCAAGAGACTCACGTCGATGCGGTGGTTCCCGCCGTTGAAGTTGATGTTCTGCGTTTTGAACGTGATGAGCGGCCCGCTCACTGCACACGCGTAAACAAATGAGACAGGGGAGCGATAGAGTACGACGGACCGGTGGTCTTTGCGAACGTGATGTCGCCGTTCATGGTGACGGTCGCACCACTGGCTGCCTGCAGAGATCGTCAGAATGAACCCTCGGAAAACACTAGGTGCCGAATCACGGACCGCGATCGTGATCGTCTTGCCGGCGGGCACAGTGAACGCCTCGATCACAACGTCCGTGCAGCTCGACAGATTCGACGCGCTGGCGACGCTGTTCACCGTGCAGGTGGCGCGCTTGGCGGTGTCGGTCTGCGAAGGAGCGGCCGAGACAATCGCGGCGAGCACGACAAAGCTGAGGAGACTGGAGAAGGAAGGCATTGCTGGTATTGAGAGAAGAAGGATTGAGTTGTTGAGTCGATGCTCGTCCTGCTCAGTCTGCCGACCTTTTGTACCGTGTCGACATCTAGGTCCTGCTGACGATGTTGTCAGGCTAATGGAGTCAACAGGCACCGTGCCCGCATCTCGCACAAATGCCCAGGGGCACAGAGACTATCTTTAGCTGGTAGGCGGGCCGGCGGTGACGCGGAGGGGAGGGTCATTTTGCGATTGAGCGGGAGTGCACGAGGAGGGAAGAGAAAGAAGCATTGATTCGGTATCATCCGATCACAAATCTCGTCTTAAAATGGACCTGGGCTGTCGCGGACCCTCCGGGTTAAACATAAAATTGGGACGAGTATGCTCTCATAGTTCCGAAAACTCATCAGCAATTGGTTTCCAGTTTCAATCAGGGTATGTCATATCGGATTTCATACGTGCACAATGCTCAAGGCCTAGCTGTCGTTTCGGCTGCGACATATCGCTGATGGCCGGATTGATTCCAGTCTATTTGCACAGCATCCGGCGAATTGCTGTGTAGAAGTGACTCGTCACCTGATCTAGTCTTGTAAAACTGAGAAGATTCGCGGTTTGCTTTGAGGATCAAGTTTAGGCGATGGACAGGATATCTGCCGACTTGGCGATCTGAAGAAACCTCCGACAATGCTGGGAGAATCTTCTGTTCTCCTGTGGAGATGAAACGTTGGGTAAAGTAGTTGGCTCATAGAAACTAAGGGAGCAGAGATCACAATCTGAAGGAACGAGCTCGAAGCCTGTTGATTCAATCGTTGACGTAGCCAGGATTTGATCGACCGGTTCGGATGCTCTACAGGGTAGAAAGCGGCAAAGCGGAGACCGGTGCAACACCGGAACGAGCTGGCCCAGCCTGGAACTGGCGTTTGACCGATTGTGGGATCCACTCGGACAATGCGGGGGGCACGTCAGTCGCACTGACAAACTATCCGCTGCCCGCAATGATGAGCCTTTTGGGTGCAAGATATCTTTCATGGAGGTGTTTCTTCTTGTGAGGAGCACAGTTCAAGACGCTTGAAACAATCGGAGTCTATGGCGCGTTTGCAGATCTAAAAAGAGGCGCAAAATGAAGTCAAGGATCCTTGCCTCCTTGACGACCACTCTTGACCCACTGGATGGAATCTGCTCTGGAAATAACTCAGATCCGATCAAGGTGCATATCTTTGTGACCGCCACAGCCCAGATCCATTTTAACCCGGAGGGTCCGCGACAGCCCAGGTCCATTTTAAGACGAGATTTGTGATCGGATGATACCGAATCAATGCTTCTTTCTCTTCCCTCCTCGTGCACTCCCGCTCAATCGCAAAATGACCCTCCCCTCCGCGTCACCGCCGGCCCGCCTACCAGCTAAAGATAGTCTCTGTGCCCCTGGGCATTTGTGCGAGATGCGGGCACGGTGCCTGTTGACTCCATTAGCCTGACAACATCGTCAGCAGGACCTAGATGTCGACACGGTACAAAAGGTCGGCAGACTGAGCAGGACGAGCATCGACTCAACAACTCAATCCTTCTTCTCTCAATACCAGCAATGCCTTCCTTCTCCAGTCTCCTCAGCTTTGTCGTGCTCGCCGCGATTGTCTCGGCCGCTCCTTCGCAGACCGACACCGCCAAGCGCGCCACCTGCACGGTGAACAGCGTCGCCAGCGCGTCGAATCTGTCGAGCTGCACGGACGTTGTGATCGAGGCGTTCACTGTGCCCGCCGGCAAGACGATCACGATCGCGGTCCGTGATTCGGCACCTAGTGTTTTCCGAGGGTTCATTCTGACGATCTCTGCAGGCAGCCAGTGGTGCGACCGTCACCATGAACGGCGACATCACGTTCGCAAAGACCACCGGTCCGTCGTACTCTATCGCTCCCCTGTCTCATTTGTTTACGCGTGTGCAGTGAGCGGGCCGCTCATCACGTTCAAAACGCAGAACATCAACTTCAACGGCGGGAACCACCGCATCGACGTGAGTCTCTTGGTTTTCATTTCTGCTGAAGTGTGCTCACATCCGGGATGCAGGGCAACGGCGCTCTGTACTGGGATGGACAAGGCACGAACGGAGGATCGTTCAAGCCCCATCCTTTCGTCAAGTGGGTGCCAATGCCCGTCGCTTCTGATACTTGCGCTCATGCGCTGTAGATTCCAAGGCGACGGCACGTTCTCCTCGGTCACCGTTCTGAACTCGCCAGCCCAGGCGGTCTCGGTCGGCACCACGGGCAAGTCGACGATCCAGCAAGTCACGATCGACAACTGTGAGTTTCCTCGTCTGCTCGTTCGCTGTGTCACCGCGCAGCGGCTGACTGACCCTTTCCCCAGCTGCCGGCAACGCCAAGGGCCACAACACCGACGGATTCGACATCAGCGCGTCGGACGTGACGATCACCAACAGCAAGGTGATGAACCAGGACGACTGCGTCGCCGTCAACTCGGGCGACAGCGTGACGATCGAGAGCACGACCTGCACGGGTGGCCACGGGATCTCGATTGGCTCGATCGCGTCGGGCAAGTCGGTGACGAACTTCCGTGCGACGGGGAACACGGTCAGCAACAGCAAGTACGGGCTGCGGATCAAGGTCGACGCGAACGCGTCTGGTGCGAAGGTGTCTGGTGTGACGTACTCTGGGTGCGCGCCTGTGTCTTGGCTCACGCGATCTATTTCTTGACCTTCGATCCACAGCAACACTCTGTCCGGCATCAGCGACTACGGGATCCTGATCTCGCAGAGCTACCCGACCGAGGACGGCACCACTGTCGGCACCGGCGGTCCCATCTCGAACGTTGCGTTCAACGGCGCGAAGACGACTCTTGCCGTCGACTCTGGGGCATACTCCGTGGTTGTGAACTGCGGTGCGTGCTCTGGCACGTGGGACTGGTCCGGGCTCGACGTGACCTCCGCTGGCAAAGGCCACAAGCTGTCCGTGAACCAGGCAAAGGTTTGCCCATCTCTTGCGTGCATGTCATAGCATCGCTCATCCATTTCGTAGATCTCGGGTGGTACCTACTAGTTCACTTCTCAGTCTTAGAAACCTGTTTCTGCTCTCATCACCTCTCCGTAGACTAATGTCCCATGCTACTATTCGTATCTTCATCCCTTAGACTCTTTGAAACATTGCAGGAATGCACATCTATACTTAACAGTCCCTCACCGGTGAAGGTGTGATTCCTGGAGGCCGACGGCTCAGAATTCGCCGGACAGTAATGCTTGCACTCCGAGAGCATCGATGATTAACAGGTCAAAAGTAGCTGCGATATTCAAGAATCCGTGGGTGATAATGTCCGTCCGTCCGCTAGAGAAAAAAGAGAGTGCAGCCGGTGGCCCAGTGTTTCTTCCTCCCTGTCACCTCCGACCTCGCCGCCTCTGTCCGGGCTCGTGCGCAACAGGCACACAAAGGGTCGTCCCCGGCATGAGGTGCTCGCACTCGACATCCGTGTTGATTTTCCGCAGATCCTCCAGCGAGCACGAGTGCGTCTTGGCGATCTGCCAGCACGTATCGCCCGGCTCGACGAGGTATGGCGTTGCGGCCCTGCCGTATTGCACGCACGGGCTCAAGGGGGGTTCCAGCCCCGGAGAGAGGATGAGGCGCCACACGAGGAGCAGCACGACGCCGATGATGAGGAAGAACGGGAAGAGGGTGCGGTAGGGGAATGCGGTGCTACTGGCGAACGCGTGCTCGCCGTTCTGTGGGTCGTTGGGCGTGAGGGACGAGGCTTTATATGTGGTTGATTGGAATACCCACGGCGCCGGTAGCGAGCGACTGGTAGCCGTCCGCCCGCCTCGGACCCCTCGTCTCCGACTCGAGATCGTGGTCGACGTCGTGAGGTGGGTACGCGTTGTCCCCGTCTGACACTGAGCACCGTCGTTCAGTAGTGTCTGGGAGAAACGAAGAGCAAACGAACCCCTGGTGAGTGGACCATACTCTGAGCCTTCGGGGCTCTGCCATACCGAGCCGTCAGTATCCCGGAAGTAGTACCGCTGAGTGTCCGCATCGTATCCAGTGCGCTGCATACCGTCTGGAAGCCGGTCCGAGTCCTGCAGGGTGAAGTTTACTGCTGCTCAGCATACGTATTGAAAGAAGAGGGAAGCAGTGCAGACATCGTCTGTCCACCGACTCATGCCGCGGACACTCAAAAGCGAAGATGTGGGGAAGAGATGATGGGAGATACGTGGAGATGGGCGTGGGAATTTGGTCTTTATACGGTCATGCACTCTTCTTCGGCAACAGTTGAACTTCAAGACGTGATTTTCCGCAATGCCACGGCCACAGAACGCCACAGATCGTCGGTCTCAAAATTCATGGACTTTCGACGGCCTATCAAATCTTCATGAGACTGCTTAGAGACCTAGGCGGGAAACTTGAGTGAAATTGTCACTTTTGAAGACCCTCTGCATGGCTGTTCATCTGCTGCAGATGTCTTGGACAGTTGGTTATTCCATGTGGCAAGGTTCCCAGGTCGGCGGCCTCTTCTGTGCCCGCTGACGTTTTCACCTGCTTTTCCAATGTCAACCCCAGGTCAGATGATTCTCGGTCGCGTGGGGCTCAGTTGCTTCCAGTTCTTTGATGGTCTCGCTCATCCTTTAAAGGCAGAGCGGGAAGGCAACTGTCATGCCCAGGAATCACTCGTGGTAAACCTCCCTCTCGGTCAAGAATGAAGTTCTCGTCTACGATCTTGGGTCTCGTCTCGGCTGCGCTCTGCGTTCAGGCGGCGCCTTCGCCCGCTGGGAACCAGCTCGAGAGTCGGAATCTTCTTGGTGAGATTATTGACGCGCTGGGTTTGGGATTCGTCCAGAGTATCAATGCGACGATTACGGTGCGAGACGTGCCTCGACCCTGTCCGGTTCAAGCTGACTCTGCAATCTCAAAGCTCGACACTCTGACCGATAATCTGCTCAAGTGGGTGCTAAATGTATGAAAATCGCTTTTAGGCACTGATCCGGCGCTCTCAGCATCACATTCGAGGGTGAGCCGTAACATGAATCCATGCTGTTTTCTGGCCGGATTGTTCTGATCATGTCCCCAGCAAAGAATTCGCTTCCATTTGAGCTCACTCTGGAATCGGTCAAGAGCTCGGCTGGGATCAACGGCACGGAGTACGCGTCATTCGCCTACACTTTCCCTAAGCCTGTCGTCATCCCTCCATTCGGCTCAGCCAGCTCTGGAGAGATTCCGAATGTGTTGTTGACGCAAGGAGCCACCGCTGCACTGAACATCATTCCCTTGGGCTTCTTGGACTTGCTGGATGTGGACATCACACTCAAGTAAGTTGCATGTGCTCCCAGTCTCGCCTAGATTTCGACAAACAGTCTGACTTGACGAAAATTAGGGCTTTGACCATCGATGGTCACTTGGGAATTCCTCTCAACATCACGGGGCTGAAGCAAAACAACATCACGACGAGGTATGTATCTGGAAATATCACGAGGTCTTCGGTCATTTGACGCGCTTCCTTCACGTAGCTACACTCTTTCATTGGTCTAGCCACATCACGGCTTCGCGAAGTACTGATGGTCGCACTTGAATTGTGCGCACGTTCACGTTTTGTATACCAAATGTATCCCGACGAATATTGTCACGCGGTTTTACCCGACCACATGTGAGGGCGAGTCACTCGCCAGCTGCAAAGGTGACCGATCTGCGAGTACTCATTTTCCCGAAACCATAAGGATCCCGTTTAGTTCGAATTTGGACCACTCGGGAAGCAACTCGAACCGAGGAATGCACGGATATCCGTCTCGTAGGCCTCACTGAGATTGCCACCAAATTTTGGGCTTGAAGAAATTCACTTCTGCCAAGCACTCTCAGAACCGATTTCGGTTTATACTTATGGGTGGTCATTCTGGGTTCTTGACTCGTGATACTGTGCCGCTTCCAATCATTGAAAGGACCAATGCATCAATGATCGTGTTAATGATACTATAGGTGACTGTGATCTTGGCCACCTAAGGCATCTGAGCACTCTGGACCATGCACAAATGGACGTAGTACCTTGTAGAGTGGTTGAAACATGACCTAGGGTCTTGGGAGCAAGGTCCAACCTGCCACTCAATTTTATCATCATGCGTTCTCTCTCACGGAATATTTTCCCGCGACCACTGTCGAATCGGGTCAACCGGGCTAGTTGGCCGGGCGTGGGAACATCACGTGTGCCTTGTTCCCTCGCACGACTGACACGTTTTCTCGCCCACTCCAGCTGGTATTCACTATTACCCATGTACACACTTGACAATATACAAGTATTTTTTTATGCATTTGAGGCTGTGAGGGATACACGGTGTCGGCAGGGTGCAGAGAATTGGAGCGGCACACGGTGTTTTTGCGCTGGGTGTTGCTGGTGCTCTTGCTCGGGTTTGAGTTCATGGTGGGTCGTTTTTGAGTATGATACGTCTTCAGCCATCTTTAAGACCTGTCCTGAACTTTGCAGACGCACCTTGACCTATGAAGCTGACCCTGTGCACCCAAACCCAAATCTCACAAGGCCGCCAATGTGTGTAGATTGATACAACGTCTCTGCCATTCATCATGGACATTTTTCTTATCCGTGAAAGTTCCAGGGTCATTGGAGAGTCTAAAAGAAAGTGCGCCCATACCGTTTGCCTCATTTTAAGCCCACTAACCCCAGATCACATGGTGATGATGCTCATCATTGGCGGCGATGCGGTGTGGCCAATAAAATGCACAAAATTGCCAGGGCAGTGAATATCAATGGCAAAAATAGTGTATAACCACCGTACAATTTTCGGGGGACAAGTTGACCTTGTTCCTTCTGACGGTTGTCTGCTTAAGGTGATGTTTTCTGCACTTTTCGGCCACATGTCGCAGCAGTGTAACAGCGACAGGGCCCCGCACGGGCATCATTAACATAGCAAAAGGTTCCCTGAGTGAAGCCTCGGTACTCCGGCGTTGAACGAGTACCCAATCATTGCTGACATCGTGGAGAATAGTGAGATATGAGTCATATGACCACCATCCCAATAAGGAATCGGCCCGCACGCTCCCAAAATCAGTGACAGATCACGTCGCAAACATGATCGACAGTAGCTATAGGCTGGTGCTCTCGTCTACAAGGGCATTCTGAATCGCTCTTTCATCCTAGAACAAAAGAATGTCCGAAAACTCCCTATTTCTGCTTCGAAACATGAAATGGCCAACTAGCTAGGGTGGCCAATTACCCAGTCGGGTATAGTAGCACGTGATACGGGGGATCCAACGACTTTCGGTACCGTTTCCCACCATCTTGTATGTTATGGACCATTCTCTCGGAATCCCATAGATCGCTTGATGTATCAGTCTCCTCTCAGTCGGACCTGTGTATCTTGCCATTTATTTGAGTCGGATGCTCCATTTCCATGATCTGGCGGTTCGAAATCTAGACTGCACTGCCACCTACATGTGTTCGTCATGGAATGAGGTACAAAATAGATCAAAGCTACGATTGAAGCTGCAGCAGCGCTTCATTCGAGTACCGCTGCCCGACCCTCGGTCACCGGGAGGAATTAATGGTCCAAGTCGGAGAAAGCGAGGGCGAAAGGCCAAGGCGGAGCAACTAGTGCACGCGCAGGTCATAGATTCTCTCATAATTCCGATGACATGTATTGTTTTCCCTCCCAGGACCGCGTGCGTTCCCGATTACAGAATAGCGTTGGTCGTCCAGACCTAAGGCGCGGTAACCACCCGACAAATCCCTGCGCTCGTCTCGGAATACCCGGGTATCGTGGCTAATCGCTCATTTTCGAGCATGGTGGATGGAAGCGAGCCTAGATTCAGTATCATGTTGGCACACTTAATCGATTTTTTCTTATTATCGCAAGCCGCAGAACCTAGCCTGGATGCAGCGTCTCAAGAGACCATCTGAGCCCTTGCGAATCGTTCTCAGCACTGGCCAGGCCTTGTGGAGTGCGTTCAACTCGTGCGATAATCAAGATCCAGACCAGGATTTCGGATGAAATCCCCGTGCTTCACTGTCCAGACCGCCCGGCCATCCAGCGGGCTTCGATTCTCCGACCTGTGAACTCGACTCGGTTGCTGGTGAGATAGTTGATCACTATTAGACATTGATGTAGTCACACACCGCCACATTGACATTACTTCATGGAGGTAAACCTCGTTGATAAGCACTAAGCAACCCTTGTGAAGGCGAGCAGCAGACGACCATCGGATTACGCAATAGACAGAAAGTGTCTCATCCCAGTCTGGAATGCAAGGGAAACATACGTCACACCAAGAGGGAATTATATTCATCTTGGTTCCATCTTTTTATGTCGAAAAAAAGTCGCAACCAAGGTCTCCGGAGGCAGAACCAAATGCGATCAGGCACAAATTGAAGTCAGGAGATCCCGGAGCTTTTATTCATTGGGGCAGTGGACTTGCGGCAAACCTCGGATTTTCTCAGTCTCGGCTTGGGTTCCGAAATAAGAATTTGCTCAAGAATCGCTTACCATGGTAATCGTCGGTGTTGGGCCTTCTTTTTGGCGTTTACGAGATAGCCAGATTTTTACTATCGATTACCCAATTTCCTGCTCCATAAACGCGATTGGCGCTGTCCCGTCAATAGGGTCACATTCTTGGAAATGGCTCGCGCAGGTTGACAGAATTGAATGCGAGCGATTAGAGAGAACTCCAATAGCCGTCTAAGTCGCTCCTTCGAAGGTTTGTCGACTAGCCATCCAAAGGAATTCCAGGTCGAGACTTTGTTCGGAGAGACCGGGGAATCTAGATTCCGAGTCGAAAGCTACTGATGCTCCACAGAATCAAACTTGGATCCGTCTCAAATCAAAGAAGTCTTTTTGGCGCGTCTCTACCGCGATTGACCGCCGGATTTTCTCTCTTCCGGGACCGACGACCTGACCAACCACTGCGATTTTCCGAACTTTATGCAGAGATGCTCATCGCCGAGAGATGATCTGACACAAGCAAGGAAGTCCCAGAGCACTGGATATGTCTCTCGAGTAGAGTTGTCATAGTCAAAAGTTAGCCAATGGAACTCTGGCAGCTATCGATCCGCTCGACAGTCCAGATAATTCCCGACGACGGCGATCGAGCGTATCACGCAATGACATAGTCTTCGGTGGTGGCTGTACATGCACGTGTGCGGAGGCCAGATCAACTCCTGGCAAAACTATTCCCTCCCTCTTTCGGAATCAGTCGCGACGCAGCACATGGTTGCCCAAGATCGACTACGGCCAAAGGGTCGACCAATTCGCAATCTTCGCGGGCCGCGGTCCAGCAAATTCGGTATAAAGACGACAATGGGTTATCGAGGGACTACAGTTCTCTCGCTGTGGACAACATGCCTTCCCTCGCCACTTTCCTTCAACTTACTGCTCTCGTCGGTGCCGCGGTGGCTCTTCCAGGCAACGTCACGGTCGCGTCGCGCACCGAGACAGCGAAACGCGCAACCTGCACGGTCAACAGCGTCTCCAGCTCGAAGAACTTGAGCGGATGCTCGAGCGTTATCATCGAAGGATTCACTGTTCCCGCCGGCAACACAATCACCATTGCAGTACGTCGGCCGCCTGTATCTTCTCAATCCCCACCGTTGATCTCGCATTTTATCACAGGCTGCTAGCGGTGCGACTGTGACCATGGCTGGTGACGTTATCTTCGCGAAAACATCCAGTGCGTGCTTAAGCACCGTTGCTCGAGAGTGCTTACTGATCCCCTTCTCATCAAGCCGCCGGCCCTCTCTTCACCTTCAACACTCCGAACATCGTCTTCAACGGTGGAAACCACAAGATCGACGTGCGTGGTGCCGTCATCGAGAGATCAGGTGCTGAGACACCGACAGGGAAACGGCGCCTCATACTGGGATGGTAAGGGCACCAACGGAGGTTCATTCAAACCCCACCCCTTCATCAAGTGTGTGCTTCACTTCTACGATCAACTGCCTACTGACCGCGACACAGGCTCAAGGGCTACGGGTCGTTCAAATACCTCACCGTACTGAACTCTCCTGCACAGGCCATCTCTGTTGGCACCACAGGAGGAAAGACCGTCATCCAGCGCGTCACCGTTGACAACTGTGAGTCGCTGGGCCTTGAGCCGAGCAGAGTTGTGCTGACCGTACGGATGTAGCCCTGGGCGACTCCAAGGGCGGGCACAACACCGATGCCTTCGACGTCAGTGCTGACGACGTCACCATCTCTTCCTGCGTGGTCCACAACCAGGACGACTGCCTCGCGCTCAACGCGGGGAACAACGTCCTCATCGAGGACACCACCTGCGATGGCGGACACGGCATCTCCATCGGCTCCATGGCCTCGGGCAAGTCCGTCACCGACTTCAAGGCCGCCCGCAACACGATCACGAACAGCATGTACGGGCTGCGCATCAAGGTGCAGAAGTCCGCGACGGGCGCCAAGGTCGCTGGGGTAACCTACGAGGCGTGAGTGTTCCTCCGCTGTCCGTCCCTCGCTCGCATGTCGCTGACGGGGATGTCGTCTCCAGTAACAAGATCTCCGGGATCTCGTCCTACGGTGTGCTGATCACTCAGAGCTATCCCGCCAACAACGGCACCCCTGGCAAAGGCGGACCCATTTCGGATGTCCAGTTCATCGGCGGAACGACGACCGTCGCCACGACCAGCAGCGCTTATGGTCTGGTCATCGACTGCGGTGCATGCACTGGCACCTGGGACTTCTCCGGCCTCGACATTACGTCCAGCGGCAAGGGACACTCGATCCAGCTCGACAATGCCAAAGTGAGTACTGGGGAACTCGAGTTCCTGTTATGTCGTGTTGACGGATGCATTTGTTAGCTCTCCGGAGGTCACTACTGATCTGAATGGGAGTGTATATCCTAATCTCAATCTCAACCGTAGTACTTCGCTCTCATGCTGCAGTGGCAGCGAAGAACTGTACCAATATAATTTGTTATGTTTTCGAAATCGTGCATGGCTTGGACTGTGACGACGGTCGCTTGGCAATCAGCGCTTTGAATTCACAGTGAAGGCGACCGCACCTGTTGACCCTGCGCGATTGTAGACATACCTACCCATCTCGCAAAGCGGAGAGTTTGCACGTGACATGCACTCATTTTCTCAGGGGCTCACGTCTATGTTCGTCGCACTGGTTGTGCAAATTTCGGTTGCGCACACTCTGGCTCTCAATCGGAGTCCCCCCTCTTCCGCAGCGGCCGGCGTTCGAGTGCAGGGACCCTTTCAGCACGTTTGGCGGGGCAAGGCTGGGTCAGATAATCATTTGTCTGCTAAATGGAGAGACGATGGTAGATTATAAATATGACATGGTACGACCACTGATTTACACTCTCGATATCCTCATTGCCCTCCCCGATTTCACGACAGTGCAGTCGCAGGTCAATGCCGACAGCGGGAATAAAAGCGCAGGAGATCTTTGCTTCCGCACGGCGATTCCAGCTGCCTTGGACGAGTATGAGGTACACAGGACTACTCACGGACGCTGCGGCGAATCCTCCCGCTCTGCCGAGTATCACTGTGGATAGGGACATTTCCAGCCTTGGATCGGGCCGAATGCCGGCCGGCAAGCCTGTGTAACATGTGAAGGATACTAGCCACGAACGGGCAATTCCTTTGTGAATTGAGCTACTCCGCTACTTCCACACTCAAGGAACAGTCAGGGTTGGAAGCAATTAGGCTCTATTCAATTATATAATGTATTCGATGAGTGCAATATTCGTAGAGAGTGTAAGGCTTGGATGAAATCAGTAAGTGCCTCCAGAGATCTGCAAGAACGCGTCAGTCGAACGCAGAACATCGCGGCACCAACAGGGCGCACCTTCGCCTGGTTCACCGACAGCTTGTGGCCTTTGCCAGCCGAAGTCACGTCGAGGCCAGACCAGTCCCAGGTCCCAGAGCACGCACCGCAGTTCACGACCACGGAGTATGCCCCAGAGTCTACGGCGAGAGTGGTCTTCGCGCCGTTGAACGCAACGTTCGAGATGGGACCGCCGGTCCCGACAGTGGTGCCGTCCTCGGTCGGGTAGCTCTGCGAGATGAGGATCCCGTAGTCGCTGATGCCCGACAGGGTGTTGCTGTGGATCGAAGGAAGGTCAAGAAACAGATCCCATGAGCCACAAGACACACGCTCACCCAGTGTATGTCACACCAGATACCTTTGCACCGGATGCGTTTGCATCGACCTTGATCCGCAGCCCGTACTTGCTGTTGCTGACCGTGTTCCCCGTCGCACGGAAGTTCGTCACCGACTTGCCCGACGCGATCGAGCCAATCGAGATCCCGTGGCCACCCGTGCAGGTCGTGCTCTCGATCGTCACGCTGTCGCCCGAGTTAACGGCGACGCAGTCGTCCTGGTTCATCACCTTGCTGTTGGTGATTGTCACGTCCGACGCGCTGATGTCGAATCCGTCGGTGTTGTGGCCCTGGGAATCACCAGCAGCTGTAAAGGAGTCTGTAAGCGACTGCGCAGTAACACAGCGAATGACCGAGCTCACAGTTGTCGACCGTCACTTGCTCGATCGTCGACTTGCTCGTGGTGCCGACCGAAACCGCTTGGGCTGGCGAGTTCAGCACGGTGACCGAGGAGAACGTTCCGTAGCCTTGGAATCTGGAGAACATGAGACGAGCACCGGAAACACGACCATCGGCACGCACTTGACAAAAGGATGGGGCTTGAACGAGCCTCCATTCGTGCCTTGGCCATCCCAATACAGAGCGCCGTTTCCCTGCACTCGGGGGTGAGCAAATTCAAGAAGAACAGAGAAGCGCACAGACTCACGTCGATGCGGTGGTTCCCGCCATTGAAGTTGATGTTCGGGGTGTTGAACGTGATGAGCGGGCCGCTCACTGCAGACCCGTCAACAAATGAGACTGGCGAGAGAACGAACACGACGGACCGGTGGTCTTTGCGAAAGTAATGTCGCCGTTCATGGTGACTGTGGCACCGCTGGCCGCCTGCAGATCTCGTCAGAAAGGGCTGCGCCCTCGGTAACCGCTGGTAGCCACATGACATACCGCGATCGTGATTGTCTTGCCGGCGGGCACAGTGAATGCCTCGATCACGACATCCGTGCAGCTCGACAGACCTGACGCGCTGGCGACACTGTTCACCGTGCAGGTGGCGCGCTTGGCGGTGTTGGTCTGCGAAGGAGCCGCGGACACAATCGCGGCGAGCAAGACAAAGTTGAGGAGACTGGAGAGGGAAGGCATTTTGGAGATTGAGAGAAGAAGGATTGAGTTGTTGAATCGATGCTCTTCCTGCTCAGCCTACCGACCTTTTGTACCGTGTCGACATCTAGGTCCTGCTCACGATGTTGTCAGGCTAATGGAGTCAACAGGCACCGTGCCCGCATCTCGCACAAACGCTCAAGGGCACAGAGACTATCTTTAGCTGCGAGCTAGGCCGACGGTGACACGGGCCCGGCCCATTCTGCAACTCAGCGTGCGGATGCGCGGGCAGGGAAGAGAAAGAAGCATTGATTCGGTATCATCCGATCATCAAACCCGTCTCAAAATAGAATTCGGCTGGTACGGACACACACGCGATCCAGGGCGCTGACGCAGGTCAATCGTGCTGCGGCATATCACGCATTTTCTTCGGAGCTCAGGCCGCGCCTGGGATGAGGTCAGGTCCATTCCATGCATATAGACGTGTTGCTTAGGAGGCATGCCCTCCTGACTGTAAGTTGCGCTTTTTTTAGACTGGTGCTGACAGGACGGGATTCCATTGTTTTTGTTGTGCTAGGACAGCGCTCCGCGCGGAAAAATCGATCTGTCTCTTGCAAGCCTTTCCGTCTAACTGCCTCGTCCGCTTTTGCACCCTTTTGGTTGTCATTGAGACTCAGGCACACGCTCACATTCATCCACATTACCCGACTGTCAAAGTGGTTGCCACACTCGGACAAGTGCTACATAGTTCTAGGTTTGGCCCACTCGTTTCATATCGGCAGCGTGATTCGTCTCACGAGTCATCAATTCTGACAACCTTGCGGAGAGGGTGGCTATTCCTCCAGCTCTTCAAAACGCTTCCGAGCCGAACCTCGCACTTTTAGTTGACTAAGACCAACAATATCAATTTTCGCCTCTCAATGCCCGCGACTCAAAAGGATTGGCTCCTTTTCTCCGGCATCTTTGAGAGCATGATCCTGTTACCGAATATTGTCCCCTGATATATTCTCTGCCGAGGTGGACAGCAAAAAACCTTTCTGTCCTCAGTTTCATTCCGAATGTATCTGCTCTTCTTGACGATACTTGATTTCACGACTGGAATAATGAACTTCGGACGTCAGATGCAGTCAGGTGACTGGTATCAGCACCAGGTTGTAACTGTGGCTCGGCATTCACCGTCACGGCGTCAGATCATGGGCTAGTGTTTTTTCCGGTCTTTATCACAAAGAATAAGAATGGAAAGAACATGGATTCATCCAAGCTCAAAAAACCTGAAATTATTCATCCTTGAATTCAAGCGTTCATATTTGAACATGGCTGCTGCAGAATCAACTGATCAAAAGAAATCAAACATCAATTGCAAGATCCAATAAGAGCATCCTCACCATTTTATAATTTAAGGATATTGTCAGTGGAACTCCCTTGGAGGTCGCCCTGAGAAGAGGGGTTCCCCTGACGGAAATCATCAGTCTTTGTAACAAGGGAAAAGAGAGCTTGCTAGCTTGCTGTTCTCATTGAAGCGTGTAGAAATATTAATCAAAAACTCCAGGATTTGTTTTGGACAGAGTTGCACCCTGTAGTGTTGTGCCCTCTGTCCTCAAAAGGTCATGCAACTGTGTCCGGCCCAACAAAATCTCGTGAATCCGGTTCGTGAACCAAGAATTCTGGGGACCTAATATGAAGTTTCTGGCATGGGTCATGAATCTTGATAAAGGAAAAGTGTGTTGAACGACCTGGAGGCGATTTAGAAAGCCGTGGGCATGGCAGGTCAATTTTTGTGCTAGTCAACGTGATGACTAAGGGGAAACATCAGAGCTGAAGTGAGTGGTCCAAGCCTGGAAGTCGGACTTGTCCGAGCGTGGCATCCACGACGGTCGGAACAGGGCGGGCCTATGATAAATTAGTTGCAATGACAACCTAGATATAGGTTGCAAACGATGCACCTCAGTTACCACCGCCATCACCCGGTTGCACCCCCGCGGGGGTCCTCCTGGGTACCCTCAGACGTAGCTCTGAGGGTACCTAACAGGTACCCCCCTGCGGGGCCCGCGGGGGGGATTTGGTCCATTTGGGGGCGGGGGCATATGCGGGGGTCAGCAGGGGGGGGTCTGTACATGTCATGTGATTTATCATTGGGAGCGGGCAGGTGGACGCAAAAAAAAAAAATGAATCACATGACACATCCAATGGGCGGGATGGCGGCTGATGGCGGGGTAAAAAAATCACGTGATGCACCGCATGAAAATTATCAAAAATGGCTAGCAGGGGTTGGCGGGGGTTGGCGGGGGCGCTACTGGCCCCCCGCACACCATGGTGGGCAGTGGGCGCATTATCACGTGACTTTTGGGGCACCTTTTGTGCACCATTCGGCATGATTTCGGAGGTGTTGCTTGATCCATTGCATGCTGTGGCAGACAATGGGCGCATAATCACGTGATTTTCCGCCCAAAAAAATGGAAGCCTTCCCCAAATCATCCTGGTATCATTTCTATTGGTAAATACACTAGTTAAGCATGAATTTGAGCTTAGAAAGCCCAAAATGCACCCTGCACAATGGGACTGGTGATGCACTTGATCCCATCATTTGGCGGGGTCTGCTGCGGGGGGTGCCACGGGGGGTGCTGCGGGGGGTGCTGCGGGGGGTGCCGCAGGGGGTGCCACAAGGGGTGCCGCAGGGGGTGCCGCAGGGCCCGCTGTGGGGTCAACCACAGGAGCAGGGGTAGGGGTGCATTGCATCATATTTTGATCTATCTATTCTCGCTGTGGTCATAGCATGCAGCATAATTATCCTTCATTTTGCCAGGAGTTTGGAGGCTGTGTCTGGGGTTGGTCTGCAGCTACAGCCATGTGACTCCCTGATGCTTCGGCAGGGGCTGGGATATCAAAACTGTGCAAATTTACCTAAATCTTTTGGCTTGGCTTGGGGCACTGATATATATGACTTGGTTCATTTTAGCATGGTCTGCTCAAGCTGTCAGGTCAAACTAAAAATTTGAAAAATGTGCAACTTGATTTGTTAGGCAAATCTCCCAAGTACATGCTCCAGGGACAGCCAACATCATCAACAAGAAATGGCTAATGTTTCTTTTCTCTGTCTGTTTGCTTCAGGTAGTCTGTCTGCACTCAAATTTTTCTCTCCATTTGCAGCATATTCCGTGGAGGTGTCATAATTGTTGATTTCCGGATTTCATACTTCTTGTCTACACACCATTTGGGCCCTCTACTGAATCCAATAATACTGTAGACTCTTACAATGGATTGAGCAGGACATTTGTCAATTAAATCCTTGCAGGGGTTGGGGGGGGGGTCAACCACAGGGGGTGCCGCGGGGGGTGCCACGGGGGGTGCCGTGGGGGTGCACAAGCATCTGCCAGCCTACCAAATGTGGATCAACTACAAAATCACTTTCCAAAGCTTCTGTACTGCAACCCAAGTGACTTCTAGGTAACCTTTACCCAATCCCAGTGAAACAACTTCACTGCTCTTGTTTCTGGGTGACAATTGATTTTATGAGCTTGAGTGTGTATGCACCCTTTTTAGTAGGAAATGAGGCCATGTGATGAGAGGTAGGGCACCGAAACATTGTAAAATACTATATTCAACATGACCGGTGGCCCATGTCTCTTCAAACCAGCCCATATCTCATGTTTATCAAGACCCTATTTTTCGGACTCATTTCAAGTTTTTGAATAGTTCCAGGGTCCAGGGCTCTCAGAATTTGTTTCAGACACTGCCAAAGAGTATATCATTCAGCTGTATTGAATTGCTTGTGTGTAGAAAAAATATTTTTTGCCATACCCAAAGTGAACCATGTTGAACCATTGTCTACATAGGAACCTTGAGCAATGGTGAACTCTTTTCATGTTTCGAATTTTAGGTGGACAAATGATATGAAGTATCTACATATTCAATAAGAATAGCAGAAGGAGACCTTATTCCGATGGTTTTCAGCTGCATAACTGTAGGAACAGTGTTAGAAGAGCAGTAAACACTTAGGTACGACGTTTATACAGGTTCTGATTGGCTAGTGACTTGACGTGTTCCGAGCTGTCAGTTTACATAATCTTACATATAAGAAAATCACGGGGACAAGGCACCGGTGCAGCGGGGGGTGCTAGACTGGCGGGGGTGCCAGCGGGGGTGCCGGCGGGGGTGCCAACAGGGGTGCCGGCGGGGATGCCAATGGGGGTACCAGCAGGGGTGCAGGCAGTGGGTCATGGCAAGGATGTGTGCAGCCCCAGAGGTAGTAAAAGTAACCATCTATGTCTCTACAGTCTATCTTGCAAATATACGAGCTCTGAGTGCACAGAGTGTTGTATATGAAATTTGAAATTCAAATATTACCAATCTCTGACTATTGTGAGGCAACTTGCTGGTGAATCCATTGTCTCATATTCCACCTAGGAATCAATTCAGGGCATGTCAAATCCACTCTATTACATCTGTTCATGTTGCAACTAAAGCAAACTGCTTGTAAAGTAACACAGAACAGATGAACTTCAATGAGTCCCAGACAGGAAGTGTGACATTAGGTGCATAATTAACGTGTGGTATTATCCACTGGGTAAGATTAGACTGTGCCTACAGCATGATCAGCTTACCAATGGGCATGTGTATAGAATGAGCAGACGAAACAATCAATGAGTTGACAGTGGACCCGATGCAGCCCATGATGTCAGCCCACCTACCCTGCCAGCCAAAAAATGAACAAATCACACTTTCTTTTTAACCCTACATGCCTGGATTATGCAGACAATATTGCACAGTTTTGATATCCCAGCCCCTGCCGAAGCATCAGGGAGTCACATGGCTGTAGCTGCAGACCAACCCCAGACACAGCCTCCAAACTCCTGGCAAAATGAAGGATAATTATGCTGCATGCTATGACCACAGCGAGAATAGATAGATCAAAATATGATGCAATGCACCCCTACCCCTGCTCCTGTGGTTGACCCCACAGCGGGCCCTGCGGCACCCCCTGCGGCACCCCTTGTGGCACCCCCTGCGGCACCCCCCGCAGCACCCCCCGCAGCACCCCCCGTGGCACCCCCCGCAGCAGACCCCGCCAAATGATGGGATCAAGTGCATCACCAGTCCCATTGTGCAGGGTGCATTTTGGGCTTTCTAAGCTCAAATTCATGCTTAACTAGTGTATTTACCAATAGAAATGATACCAGGATGATTTGGGGAAGGCTTCCATTTTTTTGGGCGGAAAATCACGTGATTATGCGCCCATTGTCTGCCACAGCATGCAATGGATCAAGCAACACCTCCGAAATCATGCCGAATGGTGCACAAAAGGTGCCCCAAAAGTCACGTGATAATGCGCCCACTGCCCACCATGGTGTGCGGGGGGCCAGTAGCGCCCCCGCCAACCCCCGCCAACCCCTGCTAGCCATTTTTGATAATTTTCATGCGGTGCATCACGTGATTTTTTTACCCCGCCATCAGCCGCCATCCCGCCCATTGGATGTGTCATGTGATTCATTTTTTTTTTTTGCGCCCACCTGCCCGCTCCCAATGATAAATCACATGACATGTACAGACCCCTGCTGACCCCCGCATATGCCCCCGCCCCAAATGGACCAAATCCCCCCCGCGGGCCCCGCAGGGGGGTACCTGTTAGGTACCCTCAGAGCTACGTCTGAGGGTACCCAGGAGGACCCCCGCGGGGGTGCAACCGGGTGATGGCGGTGGTAACTGAGGTGAAACGATGGCGAGTTCATAGCGCGTGGGATAGATGTGAGGTGAAATTCCATATTTGAGGGAGTACTACGGAGAGTCCCAGAAACAATCGAATCCCGCGCCGTTTTCGCTATTCTGAAAAAATGCAGGTTGCACCTGAGGGTGCATGGCACTGCATGACTCCATAACGACCGCTCGTATCACACTGGATGGACACGGCTCCAGGCGCGGCCTGAGCTCCGAAGAAAATGCGTGATATGCCGCAGCACGATTGACCTGCGTCAGCGCCCTGGATCGCGTGTGTGTCCGTACCAGCCGAATTCTATTTTGAGACGGGTTTGATGATCGGATGATACCGAATCAATGCTTCTTTCTCTTCCCTGCCCGCGCATCCGCACGCTGAGTTGCAGAATGGGCCGGGCCCGTGTCACCGTCGGCCTAGCTCGCAGCTAAAGATAGTCTCTGTGCCCTTGAGCGTTTGTGCGAGATGCGGGCACGGTGCCTATTGACCACATCAGTCTGACAATTGCCTGAACTAGGAGGACGTAGATGTTGAGACTGTATAAAAAGTCGAGAGGCTGAGCCGGAAAAGCATCGATTCAACAACTCAATCCTCCTCTCAATCTCCAAAATGCCTTCCCTCTCCAGTCTCCTCAACTTTGTCTTGCTCGCCGTGATTGCGTCCGCGGCTCCTTCACAGACCAACACCGCCAAGCGCGCCACCTGCACGGTGAACAGTGTCGCCAGCGCGTCAGGTCTGTCGAGCTGCACGGATGTCGTGATCGAGGCATTCACTGTGCCCGCCGGCAAGACAATCACGATCGCGGTATGTCATGTGGCTACCAGCGGTTACCGAGGGCGCAGCCCTTTCTGACGAGATCTGCAGGCGGCCAGCGGTGCCACAGTCACCATGAACGGCGACATTACTTTCGCAAAGACCACCGGTCCGTCGTGTTCGTTCTCTCGCCAGTCTCATTTGTTGACGGGTCTGCAGTGAGCGGCCCGCTCATCACGTTCAACACCCCGAACATCAACTTCAATGGCGGGAACCACCGCATCGACGTGAGTCTGTGCGCTTCTCTGTTCTTCTTGAATTTGCTCACCCCCGAGTGCAGGGAAACGGCGCTCTGTATTGGGATGGCCAAGGCACGAATGGAGGCTCGTTCAAGCCCCATCCTTTTGTCAAGTGCGTGCCGATGGTCGTGTTTCCGGTGCTCGTCTCATGTTCTCCAGATTCCAAGGCTACGGAACGTTCTCCTCGGTCACCGTGCTGAACTCGCCAGCCCAAGCGGTTTCGGTCGGCACCACGAGCAAGTCGACGATCGAGCAAGTGACGGTCGACAACTGTGAGCTCGGTCATTCGCTGTGTTACTGCGCAGTCGCTTACAGACTCCTTTACAGCTGCTGGTGATTCCCAGGGCCACAACACCGACGGATTCGACATCAGCGCGTCGGACGTGACAATCACCAACAGCAAGGTGATGAACCAGGACGACTGCGTCGCCGTTAACTCGGGCGACAGCGTGACGATCGAGAGCACGACCTGCACGGGTGGCCACGGGATCTCGATTGGCTCGATCGCGTCGGGCAAGTCGGTGACGAACTTCCGTGCGACGGGGAACACGGTCAGCAACAGCAAGTACGGGCTGCGGATCAAGGTCGATGCAAACGCATCCGGTGCAAAGGTATCTGGTGTGACATACACTGGGTGAGCGTGTGTCTTGTGGCTCATGGGATCTGTTTCTTGACCTTCCTTCGATCCACAGCAACACCCTGTCGGGCATCAGCGACTACGGGATCCTCATCTCGCAGAGCTACCCGACCGAGGACGGCACCACTGTCGGGACCGGCGGTCCCATCTCGAACGTTGCGTTCAACGGCGCGAAGACCACTCTCGCCGTAGACTCTGGGGCATACTCCGTGGTCGTGAACTGCGGTGCGTGCTCTGGGACCTGGGACTGGTCTGGCCTCGACGTGACTTCGGCTGGCAAAGGCCACAAGCTGTCGGTGAACCAGGCGAAGGTGCGCCCTGTTGGTGCCGCGATGTTCTGCGTTCGACTGACGCGTTCTTGCAGATCTCTGGAGGCACTTACTGATTTCATCCAAGCCTTACACTCTCTACGAATATTGCACTCATCGAATACATTATATAATTGAATAGAGCCTAATTGCTTCCAACCCTGACTGTTACTTCAATGTGGAAGGGCAGCTGGAATCGCCGTGCGCAAGCAAAGATCTCCTGCGCTTGTAGTCCAGCCGTCGGCATTGAACTGCGCCTGCACTTGAAGCAAACGTACTGCATTTATCCATTTCTCTGTCGTGAAATCGGGGAGAGCAATGCGGATATCGAGAGCGGAAATCAGTCGTCGTACCATTTTATATCTATTATCTACCATTGTCTCTCCATTTAGCAGACAGATGGTTATCTTAGCCAGGACTCAGCAATGCCCCGCCAAGCGTGCTGAAAGGGCCCCTGCACTCGAAAGCCGGCTACTGCGGAAGAGAGAGATGCCGATTGAGAGTCAGAGTGTGCGCACCCGAAATTGGCACGGGTGACCCAGTGCGACGAGCATAGACGTGAGCCCCTGAGAAAATGAGTGCATGTCACGTGCAAACTCTCCGCTTTGCGAGATGGGTAGGTATGTCTACAATCGCGCAGGGTCAACAGGTGCGGTCGCCTTCACTCTGCAGTCAAAGCGCTGACTGCCAAGCGACCGTTAACGTTGTCACAGTCCAAGCCATCTACGCTTTCGAAAACAGAAGAAATTATATTGGTACAGTTCTTCGCTGCCACTGCAGCATGAGAGCGAAGTACTACGGTTGAGATTAGGATATACACTCCCATTCAGATCAGTAGTGACCTCCGGAGAGCTAACAAATGCATCCGTCAACACGACATAACAGGAACTCGAGCTCCCCAGTACTCACTTTGGCATTGTCGAGCTGGATCGAGTGTCCCTTGCCGCTGGACGTAATGTCGAGGCCGGAGAAGTCCCAGGTGCCAGTGCATGCACCGCAGTCGATGACCAGACCATAAGCGCTGCTGGTCGTGGCGACGGTCGTCGTTCCGCCGATGAACTGGACATCCGAAATGGGTCCGCCTTTGCCAGGGGTGCCGTTGTTGGCGGGATAGCTCTGAGTGATCAGCACACCGTAGGACGAGATCCCGGAGATCTTGTTACTGGAGACGACATCCCCGTCAGCGACATGCGAGCGAGGGACGGACAGCGGAGGAACACTCACGCCTCGTAGGTTACCCCAGCGACCTTGGCGCCCGTCGCGGACTTCTGCACCTTGATGCGCAGCCCGTACATGCTGTTCGTGATCGTGTTGCGGGCGGCCTTGAAGTTGGTGACAGACTTGCCCGAGGCCATGGAGCCGATGGAGATGCCGTGTCCGCCATCGCAGGTGGTGTCCTCGATGAGGACGTTGTTCCCCGCGTTGAGCGCGAGGCAGTCGTCCTGGTTGTGGACCACGCAGGAAGAGATGGTGAAGTCGTCAGCGCTGACATCGAACGCGTCAGTGTTGCGTCCGTCCTTGGAGTCACCCAGGGCTATTTATGTACAGTCAGCGGACTTCACACAGGCCGCAGGCTTCGCTACTCACAGTTGTCAAACGTGATTTCGCCAGGAGAGGTCAGTGAAGCGATGCGTTCCTCCAGAAAGCTCTGTCAGCCACCTGCCAGCCTCCGGGGCCGAAAGCCATTGGTATGCAAATCCAGGCTCTGCGTCGCGACCGGTTTACTTCGTTGCTGTTGGTTGTTTTGAGTGAACACTGCGATTGGTACCTTACAACTCGCATGGTCGCAATCAATACGATCATGATCAGGACCACGCAGATCTCGAACGCTTTCTTTCCGCGACTTCGATGAAGGGCCTGAAGAAGAATCTCAGCCTCGTGCGTTGTCGTGTTATATGCGCACCCTGAGGTTCTCAAACACGTCTAGCTCAATAGGAAGGGCTCAAGCTCCAGCTCCAACTCCAGCGATTCTTCGAAGAAATCCGACACAAGGCCGCCTCCCAACACACAGAAACCTCTCCCACCACCCGGAAATGCCGGCGATGGTCCTTCCCCTACCCATCCCGTCCTAGCCATCCCGCGGGTAGTCCCTGAGCCGAGAATCGCACCCCCACCCGTTATCATCGACCCAGCACATTCAGATTCGGACGAGCGCATATCGCCAGCTGAGTTGGCAGCCAGCGGTCACAGTCTCGGCCCACCGCGTGCGGGCACGTCCAGCAACACCCGTTTACGTCCAGGCGTCAAGGATACGATCCCCATCATCGGAAAGCCCCCTCGTCAGCAACGCAGCAGCCGGTTTGTTGTCACCACCAAGGTGGAAATCGAGCGACTACCGTCGTTTCTGGGTGCGTGTTACGATTCAATCGGGCCACGAACTCAGGTCTTCTCAGAGACGACGCCGACGAAGCGACCTCAGCTGTTTATCGACAAGCTTCGCCAGTGCCGCGTTCTTTTCGATTTTCGAGATGCTAGCTCTGAACTTCGAGGGAAGCAGATTAAGGCGCAGGCGCTGACTGAGATGCTGGACTATATTACGACTCAGCGCGGGGTGATTACTGAGCAGCTGTACTCGGAGGTCGTTGGAATGGTATGTGATCATTATCCACCATACTGTTCTCACAGGGTATTGTATAGTTTGCTGCCAATCTGTTTCGGTCGATACCCCCGCCTATCAATCCCACAGGCGAACCCTTCGATCCGGAAGATGATGAGCCAGTTCTAGAGCTTGCGTGGCCCCACCTGCAGCTTGTCTACGAATTGTTCCTGCGCTTCGTCGAGAGCTCCGATTTCAATACTAATCTCGCCAAACGACACATCGACCAGACCTTCGTGCTCAATCTCCTGGAGCTCTTTGATTCTGAGGATCCCCGCGAGCGAGATTTCCTCAAGACCACGCTGCATCGTATCTACGGCAAATTCGTCAGTCTCCGGGCTTTCATTCGACGCTCAATAAACAACGTGTTCTTCCATTTCGTCTACGAGACCGAGAAGCACAACGGAATCGCGGAGCTTCTCGAGATTCTTGGTGCCATCATCAATGGGTTCGCGCTACCTCTGAAGCCAGAGCACAAAATCTTCCTGACACGGGTGCTGATGCCTTTGCACAAGGTCAAAAGCTTGTCGATGTACCACGCTCAGCTCGCGTACTGCGTTGTGCAGTTTCTCGAGCGAGACCCGAGTTTGGCGCAGGATGTGATGATGGGTCTGCTCAAGTACTGGCCCAAAGTTAACTCCCCGAAAGAGGTTATGTATTTGAGCGAAGTCGAAGAGGTGCTAGATGTGACGGACCCTATCGAGTTCCAGAAGATCCAGGTGCCTTTATTCCAGCAGCTTGCCAAGTGTATCAACAGCCAGCACTTCCAAGTCGCGGAGCGGGCGTTGATGTATTGGAACAACGAGTATGTCGTGAATCTTATGAGTGACAATCTGCCTGTCATTCTGGTGATCGTGTTTCCTGCACTGTACGCAAACTCGAAGTCGCATTGGAATCGGTGCGTATGTTTCTTCGCTGGGCATACAGGAGCTGATGACGTCTCTAGTGCCATCCACGGCATGGTTTACAATGCGCTACGACTCTTTATGGAGATCAACCCTGATCTGTTCGACGAATCCTTGCAGCAGTACAAGCAGAGAAAGATTGAGTGCATGATGCCGTGTTTTCGTGGTCTCATCATCCGCTAAACCACCTCACAGGGAACATGAATCAGCGGTCTATCGGTACAACGCATGGATGAAAATGCGACAAGTAGCGGCTCAGAATGCACCTGGGGGACATCTGCCTGAAGGATATGTTGAACTACCACTCGACCCGCCTGAAGAACCGGCGGAGGAGCCAGACGTTTTAAATCTTGCGATGGAGCTCAACGCCGCATCGATGGAAGACATGTCAGATCTGGACGAACATGGAATGGAACGCGTCCCCATTGCTTGATCTTTGTACGTCTCATCCTCATGGGCCGTAAAAAGCTGCTCATGATGATATCGTACCAGCTTGGGGTGGACTTTGAGCAGCAGGCTGTCACCGAGACGGCGGGCCATATGCTATTTCAGAGGACCCTCGTCGCCCACTAGCGCTTTCAGGCTGGGCTACCAACTCCTCTCAGACTCCTCAACGGGTCATCGAGGCATTTCCCTAACCTTTCTTTGTAAACTTCAAGGATTATACCAATGCCATACATTGTTATCATTTGCAGACTGCGTTACCCATTCACCTAGGGGATCATCACGTGGAAGACCTCCGGTTCCCACGTGCAGACTTTCCGGTTCCCATGCCTTAGTCGAATGCCTTGCTTGAGAACGCTGAGCTCGAGAGCCTCTCGGTGGATACCAGGCCCTATAACTGGGGTTCTGCGTCGTCATCCCCACGTTCGTCGGCCTTAGATGTTCGTGTGAGACCTGTCTCAGTAACACCACTGCACGTGTCCAATGACGAGATGTTTTTCTATGGTCCCAGTGCGTCTCAGCAATGACGCTTGGACGATTCAATGTCTTGATTATAATAGGTATATAAGTCGAGATGGATCCAGTACTGTTCGTGTCCGAGGATCCTTGGCAGGACAAAATAGTGGACCGTATTTTACTAGTGATCGTGAATTCTTCGGTTCATTCCCAATGTCAAAATTGAGAGATATTGGCTGATAGTCAGACACAAGGGAGTGCATAATGGGGACCAGAAGCCTATAGACTGTTATGGAACAAAGATTTGTCAAAGGAATCACACGTGCTTGTAGAATAGGGGAAGCTAACCTAACTGGGCCTCCGGTGGATCTTGACTCTACCCACTCATCAACCCTTGCTCGCCTCTAACGCGCACTTGTTACCTTTCCATTTTCTCATTCGCTTTTCCTCTTCTTTCAAACGAAACCCCTTTTCGCCCTACAAACCGCATACATTCACTACCTGCTATCATTGTCGCCACTTGTAATCTCGACCTCTCGACTACGAGCAGGCCTACTTTAATCCTAACGACGAGCCTTTCTACGAACCCATTCAATTGGGGCTCATACGATTGTGGTGTGGAACACCCGTATTTCATACCATACCACACTTCTTCCTCACGACCTCATCCAACCCATTCACGATGCCCTCCGGAACGAAACGACCAAGGAAACGGAATCCGCAGACAGCGTCGCCCAGCACACCATCTTCATCACTCCCAGAGAGTCCTGTAGCAGCTTCACCGTTGGTCGGGTCGCCTTCCCTGGGTGGTGTCTTGCACGATATGTTGTTCGAACAGGGAGCAGAGATGGAGAGAGCTTCGCCGAGCAAATATCCCACCCCGCTTCCTGAGGACGAGGACGAGGACGAAGAACGTGATGCCCTTCCCATCCGGATGCGAGCGTTTGAAGCTCCTCCCTTGGTAGCCACGCTATCTGCAGCGACAGATGTGCGACATCCAAGGAGGGAAATTGATCTGGGAAGGGAAGAAACGGACGGAGTTTCGCTTATTGATATGGACAAAGTGGAGGTTGAAGAGATGAGAAAGACTGCTGACTCGCATTCGGCGGTCACTTCCAACGGTGCTATCCCGGCAAGGCGCACGGTTGCTACTTCGCAACCAGTGCAGCGGTCCTCGAAGCCCGACAATCAGACCCTTTACAACTCATCGCGCATGGCCAGCATACCATCACCGGCTTTCCCACCGTCTCAGCCAGCCGGTCATGTTCGGAGCGCCGAACCGCCCAGGTGAGTTGTCTGTACATCCGCATGCATTTGTCCTGTCTATCTTCCCACTCTTCGCCCTCTCCTTGTGACTCATATCCCTGGTTGCCGAGCGCCCATCACGTTCTCTTGTCTTCCCGTATCTTTCCGACGTCCTTATCGTTGATACACATGTCCTGACCCCGTTAACAGGATACCATCATCCAGCGCCGCACCTCGTGCCTTATCGGCGCTCTCCGCGACCCTCCGCGCCGTCCAAGCAGCCACCAGCACGGCGACCGCCTATGCAACATCGACACATGCCCACGCAAACACGGGGGCTTCCATGCCGGGGCCCATGTACTCACCATTACCACCTCAGTGGATCGGTGGCTTCTCTGACCACATCTATCCCGGTGTTACCGAAACGATGCGACGACCGAGTGATGAGGAGGATCGGGTCTTGAATGCTACCTGGGCGGATGTTATGTTCCCCGGCAATAGCGAAGGCACCCGACTTCTTACTCTCGTCTTCGAGGAGGGGGTTCAAATTTGGGATGTGACGGACGTTGCTGATGGATCTGGTGTGCGAGAAGTGCTGAATCTGGATCTTTCACTTTGTCCGTTAGGTGCGGCGGATGGTGAAGGTGCAATGTCGGGCCCTGTGACCAGCGCAGTTGTGCTTCCGCCCATGGCATCATCTGGAGGTCAGATAGACCTGGCCATATTGTGAGTCTTCTGTCCTTGATATAGGCAACAATCCTCATACGACACGACAGGACATCGCACTCGTTATATCTGTACGACGTGATTTCGGGTGTTCTGACTGCATCATATGTGTTCCCGTCACCAGCCCAAGCCACCCTCAGCGACTGGCACGACATGGATTTCACATATGGGAGTCCCACAAGACGCGAGTTGCATGTTGCTTCTCAAAGGATCGGTACACCAGTACGCTTTGAAGTGGGAAGAAAGGGAATAGTGGTTGTGAGTCCATTCTGCACGTCACCGGGACATCGCTTACATCCTTGCCCATCGCAGTCAACGAACTATCCGACCGGGCTGGTGATCCTGTCACGGCCATCGTTGGAGCTGCTGCTGGTCGTTCCAGAGGCAGATCTCGTTATTCCTCGTGCCCCACCGTCATCCACATCAGCGAATAGACGAGCCTCCGTTGCTTCTAGTACATCACCCGGAAGTCCGATCATCTACTCGTCCAGAAGGTCTTCGCATTACTCAGGATCTCCGCCAGCTCCCGAGATATCGTCGAGCTCGCCACCAGCCCAGCAACCCATCTTCGCCATGAACGAACGATTACTGGCCTTCTTAGCTCCCGTTCCTGCAACAATGTCCAGTCCGCCGCTTCATGTGGCCGGCGTGGACCCACCCCCAGCTCTGGAAACGCTGGAGAAGTGGGGCCGCAGCATTGGTCGCTTCTTCTCGCGTAGTGCGCCGGCTGCGGCGGGTGTCGTTGGTGCTCTGGTTGGGAGCCCGAGCTCTACTGCGTCGTCTGCTGCATCGGATCACGAGCCGGTGGAGGAGAACGGCTGCATCCGAGTTCTTGATTTGAGGCATCTGTTTGCAGGAACCGAAGCGAACGCGACCCGAGAAGTGCACGTCTTCCATCCAGGCCGTGCTGCTGTCGGCAAGCTAGCATTCACAGGCGACGGAACGGAGCTAATCGCTGTCCGGCGGGATGGACTCGGGGCTACCGTATGGGGTCTGCGCTCAAATCCGACTGCCCCAGCCAACTACTCAACGTCACCTGCGCATCTCTACACTCTTCACCGTGGCCGAACAGCGGCTTACGTTGAGTCGATTTCCCCGGCGTCCGACGGAAGGTACATCGCGTTGACTACGAAGCGGCGGACGATACATGTGTTTGCGGTCAATCCTGGCGGGGGACAAGTCAGTGGAATTGGGCATGTTCATGGGAGAGGCACTATGATGGGAGATTCCAGTGCTGATGGTCTCGGATTGCATGCTCTTGTTCGGATGAAGCTGCCTCCGCCGAGGAAGGTGACTTCTGAGACTGTTCACGAAGAGGTCCACCTCCTCACTGGAACTGCCTCGACACCGCCACCTCTTGCCGTGACATTCTTACCACAGAAATCAAGCCCAGGCCGCACCAGTCCTCATTCGCCTTCACCTCCTTTCCGTAATCAGCCTCTGCACGGCACACAGGATATGCTCGTCTTTGACCCGCTCGACGGTGTTCTCAGTCTACGGAGGATTACGACCAGCCTCGAGCCGCATCTCGGAGGAATTGATATTGGGCTGGGCTCGATGAAGGTGCCAGTCCCTGTGAGCGTTTCGTTGCCAGCTGCACGAGCCCTGGGTCTCAGTAGCGCGACGAGTGTCAGCGCTAGTCCACCGCTTCCCATCCAGTCGTTTGGTTCGCCGGGTTCATACGCCAGTAGTCATCACCAGCATTCTGCATCGGCTGGATCGGACCTAGGAGAGCTGGTCGGCAAGGAGATGATTGTGGCAACGTGGAGATTGGGACGGAAACGTGGCTGGGACGAGGTACGAAGTGCGGAGCGATTGCTGAAGTCGGGCAGCATCGAGGCCGGCAAGCAAGACGAGTGCGTATTCTTATTAATGATTGGTTGTCTTGGATTGACTTTGTTAGCTGGCTTGCGCAAGCTGAGCTGTCTACATGCCAATATACCCGCCCGATCTACCTTGCGCATCAGTTCTCGTTCTACCGCCTCGGTGAAGACTACCACGCGCTCATTCGACGGTATCAGCTGGGCATCCGCGGCAAGCGCATCCAAATGCGCCGCCCAATCGAGGTCAGCGCCGTCGCGTCCGGAGGAGGAGGGGAAGCTTTTGTCGAGGGATTCGGATACGACTTGCCAACTAACGTTGAGAAACGTCTTCGGACGGAGCGCCGTCAGACCTCAGCCTCGTTCGATGAACCCCTCGCGAGCGCCTTGTCCGGAAGTACACCATACAGTCTGCCGACACAACCCATTCTACCGATGCTCCCCAATGGAGATGGTCGACGACGAGGGATACCGATCAGAGCGGTTACACACGGGCTGGGGGATGGAGTTGCCGGCGGATTGGGCCGTTTGAGGCGGGAGATGAGAACTCAGACGCGAGTCTCCCCTCCGGCAGCCCAATACAATGAAGACATGTTGTCGGTGCCACTCGAGTTCGACGATGAAGATGAGGATTTCGCGGTTCCAGAGGACGATCCATCGCACCTGCAATCGGAGGACCTCTCAAACGTGTCGACCCCCTCGACGGCCATGGCTGAAGTTGAGGAAGCAGAAGATCTGCAGAAAGTTCAAGAGGACGAATCTGCGTTTGGATGGAATGCGGAAGATGCCCAAGCGGTCGAGGAAGCCGAGCGATTCGACACCATCTCGGTCAAGGGTTTTCTTGAAGAGGGAGAGATCGATGCGGCTGCCACAATCGTGCTGCCGAAACGAAAGAAGAAGGCGAAGAAGTGATCCCTTGCGAGGAAGGAAGGCATCTTGCATTGTCATATCTATTTCTACCAAGTATAGCAAATCAAATCTACAACGCAAATGTATAACTATATGTCACTTGTACGTTCAGATGACCGTCTTTCCGTAAGACACCAGAAAGTCATTTTACTGGAGTTCAAGTGAGTAATACGCTCACAGAAGATATGGTAGAGAGTCATACCGATCGTTCGGAGTTTCGCCGGGTGACAATTCTTAGGATTGAACACTATCCAGATTCCAATGCTGACCCATTGAAAGTGGCTGAGCCTGTGGATACCTCGATTTCTGGAGGCGTCGCGCCAGTCCTGGGTCAGGTCCAGTGACGTCAATGTCACCCCGTGACTTCATGCCTCATTCTCCGACCGCATTTCCCGATTCCCGACTTGGACCGGTCAATCCGCATATACCCCGAATCGCCCGGGAAATACTCTATTGCGCGCCCTGGCGCATTCACCGGTGGATGGGACCGCCTGTGCCTGGAACGAAGATGACGACGGGCTTGGCTAGCTATATAATGGGACGATGAGGATGAACCCTGCAACACATCCGAATCTCGATGACTCTTGGACCCACCTCCACCGCTAGCGACGCTGTTGAGGCTCTCTCCTCCCAGATTCAAGGGAAAAACGGTATGCTCCTTGTGCTCTTTTGAGAACTCTATGTATTGATGCGCCGCTACGTAGTGCTCGTGACGGGCACGACAATCGGTGGCCTCGGATTCGAAACGGCGCGCTCAATCGCCAAGTACGCGAATCTGGTAATTATTACAGGATATAACGACGCGAGGTGCGTTCGTCCCCCTTGTCCGTTGCTTCCCGCTTCCTGACCCCCGCCCTTGTCACCAGACTGAAGGCTGCAGCGGATGCGATTAAGCAGGAGTTTCCTGGGACGGGTGTCCGCACGCTCAAACTCGATCTGACGTCCTTCGAGGATGTTCGGCGTGCGGCAGCTGAAGTCAACGCGTATGACGAACCGCTACATGCAAGTTCTGCATCAGAACATGTCGTCGATGTCTAACGCTGCGCAGGTCCTCATCCACAACGCCTGTGCCCCGTTTGGGCCTCTGGTGCTCACCCCCGACAAGCTCGAGCGTCAGATGCAGGTCGCGTACATCAGCCCATTCCTCTTCACCAAGCTCGTCAAGGATAAGCTACTCGCGGCGAAGACGGAGACCTACGTACCCCGCGTCGTCGTGCTCGGCAGCTTGGCGCACAAGATGGGCAAGGGTGAGATTAAGCTCGATGGGTTGGCTGCTCCCCTGGAAAGTGAATACGACGCGCACGGGAGATATCAGGAGGCCAAGACGGCGGATATCCTGTTCGCTGGAGAGCTCTCCCGGAGGTCCCGCGGTAGCATCTCGGGGACGACTCTGCATCCAGGGTGTGAGCATGGTTCTCGTTCCTGTCCACACCACGGGGCCCTGACTAATCGGCAGTGATTCTGACGAAAAACTTTTCGCCGGATTCCGAATCTTGGGACACGCTCAAGGCTCTCGGTATTATGTTAGAAGACGGGTCCGTGAACCCCGCTGTTCCCAAGGAGCTGTTCAAATCTTTGGAGCAGGGTGTTGCGACGTGCGTCTTCTTCCCATCCTCGGTCTCCCGTGTTTTAAATGGCTTGTAGGATCGTCGTCGCTGCTTTCGACCCCAGTCTCGATGGTACAGTACCGGCTCCTCATCTCATACTGCAAATGCTGACACGTGCGCGATAGCGGTCCCCGGTGCCTATCTCGAAGATTGTGTCATCGCGCCGACCAGTCCTGCGGAATTCGCCACCGATCCCGTCAGTGTTCATCTCTCGTGTCTGTTCTGGCCTCTTTGTTCATGCGCTGCAGGACATCGCAGCCAAGCTGTGGGTCAAGACTGAGGAGATCTTGGGCGAGAAGTTTGTCTTCTGATCGGGGAATACTGATTACATTCGTGCATGTTTTATATACTTATACGGCAGTGTTCGATTCTTTGTTGAGAGAAGCAACTGATGATACTCCACGCTCGAGAGAATTCCATAGACTTCGAAGTGAGTGGGTGGAGTGGTAGGTGGTTCACGTTGATTGGGTACAATTCATATGCCTACTTGGTCCGGATTTTCTGACTGAATGTTCAGACTCTGTGCCCTATCCGTGAGCGAAATCAATTGACTTCAGCCAAAATACTAGACGGCGAAGTACAAATACTTAAACAGCGCGACTATGAAGTCAACTGAGAGACGTAAAAGCAAGGTAATACAGTTCCTCGAGAGCGGATAAGACCAGTGATCCACCGCTTCGAGCCGTGCGAGATCGCGTCTATTTGTTGCGGATGGTCTAGAAGGATTAGAAGCCCTCGAATGTCTGTCTTTATTTCAGGAGCTTTGAGTGGCAGAATATCCCCTGGCTCGATCGTGGCCACCCGGTGCAAGGGCGAGCATCGGCCGAAGTGCGATGCCCCCGCTTTCAAGGCATGGTCGACAGACGCTGGAAAGCTTGTGTGAAAATATCCGATCTTCTGCTCTATGTAGAGCTCGTAAGAGTGCTGATCAACTTGCTGAACTTGAGCACACGGGAGAAAAGAGACTCAAGAGCGAAAAGTCCAGTCCAATCCGGATCAAGCGTTGAATCCCGACTCCCGAGTGTGGCATCCCTTGTGACAGTCAGAACATGTGGAACTGACCTCGTGTGAGACCCGAAGTTTCGAGCTGAGATGATCGGCTCCTAAAAGGAAGTCACGGAACCTCAGACTAACAGCAGGAGGCGAAATGTTTTCCATCCTTACGAAACGCGCGTACTTGGAGCCACAGTATAGAACTGGCCCTCATTCTGTTTTAGAGGTGGGATAAGTACAGTCTTCATTGCCGCGCGAGCCTTCGTGACGAACAGTCCCTATGCCCAGTAGAATTTGACTCGGCACTTCCCGAGGGATGGCGAGGTTTCCCGTTTGGGCACATATTGATGATCGGATGGGGACTGATCAACTCTCCTGTTCCCCTCACTCCTGATACGCTTGCGCACTCATTGGTTTTGGAGATAAAAGCGACTCCGCCGGAACGCATTAGGGCTAGCCATGGTCTTTCGAAATTTGCACGTTTGTCCGAGGTTCGGTCACAATCTCTATTGGCCATGACATGCATGAAGCGCATCGCGACGGTAGGGTGGTATAAATGTCCAATGGGCTGAGATAGAGAAGAGAATCAATCCCGCTGTATTTTTCCTCCACTCCAGCGATGTCCTCCCTTTCTGGTCTCCTCCAATTTTTCGCGGTCGCCGCGCTCGTGTCTGCAGCCCCCTCGCAGACCGACACCGCTAAGCGCGCAACGTGCACGGTGAACAGCGTTGCCAGCGCTTCGGGACTTTCTGGATGCACAAACGTCGTCATCCAGGCATTCACTGTCCCCGCTGATAAAACTATAACTATCGCGGTTCGTGGTCGAGCATCGGTGCTTGACAAGCAGCTTGAGCGTGTTCAATTCTGACAAACGGGCACAGGCAGCTAGCGGCGCCACGGTCACGATGACCGGAGACATTACCTTCGCAAAGACCACTGGTCGTTGATGCTCTCGCTGTCGCACATCGGATTTGTTGACGCGTTCACAGTGAATGGCCCACTCATCACTTTTGACACCCCAAATATCAACTTCAACGGTGGAAACCACCGCATTGACGTGAGCTCCCCAGGTTCTTGCCTGTCTGATACCGTATTCATTTCCATGTTCAGGGCAACGGCGCCTTGTACTGGGATGGACAAGGCACTAACGGAGGGACATTCAAGCCCCACCCCTTCGTCAAGTGCGTGTGCATGCTTTTCATTGCAGGTGGCTGCGCTCAAGTTGTCCAGATTCCGAAACTATGGCACTTTCTCCTCGGTGACGGTGCTCAACTCGCCCGCTCAAGCCGTCTCGGTTGGCACCACCGCCAAATCAACGATCCAGCAGGTTACGATCGACAACTGTGAGCTCTTTTCGCCGCTCGTAGCCTTGTCACTGAGAAAACCCTCTCAGCTGCTGGCAATTCCAAGGGCCACAACACGGACGGCTTCGATATCAGCGCCGACTCTGTCACCGTCTCCCAGTGCAAGGTGATGAATCAGGACGACTGCGTTGCAGTCAACTCTGGCGATGGAGTCGTCATTCAGAACACGACTTGCACCGGCGGACACGGAATCTCGATTGGATCGATCGCGTCGGGCTACTCTGTGACGAACTTCCGCGCGACGGGAAACACGGTCAGCAACAGTAAGTACGGACTGCGCATCAAGGTCGACGCGAACGCATCCAATGCAAAGGTGGCAGGTGCGACGTATTCTGGGTGAGTTTTCTTCTCTCTCTTTGTAAGCTGGAGTCGCCTCACTTAGCTTCATTTCACAGGAACACGCTGTCGGGGATCAGCGACTACGGGATCCTCATCTCGCAGAGCTATCCGACGGAGGATGGAACGAGTGTTGGCACCGGCGGTCCCATCTCGGGTGTCTCGTTCACCAGTGGCAAGACTACGCTGGCTGTGGACGCAGGCGCGTTCTCCGTTGTCGTGAACTGCGGTGCCTGCTCTGGTGCATGGGACTGGTCAGCACTCGATGTTACTGCGGCAGGAAAAGGTCACAAGCTCTCTGTCGACAAGGCCAAGGTTCTTCTGTTTCCCCTTCCATCCTGGAGCTTTGACTGATCTATCCTGCAGATATCTGGCGGTGTTTATTAGTTTTGTCTTCTTCACTATGTGGAACCCTGGAATGAGAGATAATGTAAGATCTTGTGATCCAAGCCTCACTGGACTGTCGATGATTCTGTCGTCAACCAGAAACGACCTATCGATTCACGTTCTCACCCGTGTTACATCGTTGACGCATAAGAGACTGCTTATCGATGCAACTTCGGCGCTGTCGTCCGGAGGATGCCAAGCGACATGGGAAAGGTGATGATGATCTGTGATGATCATGCGTGCGCGTGAGCCGGTCCAATCGTGGCTGCGCGGCTATACCCGAGCCCGGATCGCAGGAGTTCCTGTCCCCCACAATGTCTCCATTTGGTGAGATCTTGCCCGCACGTGTGTTCCGCTTCCAATGGACCGACGAAGTAGACAGCAGAGATCTGTCTATCCCTGGATCCGCAGCGTCTTCGTCTCCCACTCACGGCCTGGACTTTACACTGGACTCATTACGTGGTGCTGTTAAACTATTTTGGTACATCCATTGTCCAGGATCGGCAGTTGCTTTTTCGGGTCACGGAAAGCTGACCAGGCTACCCAATATGGCCCTAGCATACGATAAATTTGAGAGGCAAACACCGTGGATTGGGAGGGGGGTTCTCAACGATACGTGCGAACTTGCGGAGCAAAAGAGCGTTTGAAGAAGTAAAGTTTTCAGCCGACCATGAGCCGACCATTCCACCCAGAACCATTCCGTCGTATTTTGGATCCCCGTATCCGATTTGGATCGAACCCCGAACCTCCATGGGAAACGCCCCCGGTTTCAGGCTGCAGCCCGTGAGAGGCAATTGCACATCCAGATCTTAGTATTGAGGAGCACATATTTGTATACCACCCCCCCGGACGTTTCCAATCGTGAATGTATCTCCAATTGTCTGACTTTGGTTTGCCCATCGGGAGAGATTAAGATTGCTTGAAAGCTCCCTCTTGATGTCTATTCTGGGCTATTCAATCTTGGAGCCAATAGGTGCAAGTCGGAATCTGTGCGTTGGATCAGATATTCTCTGATGTGTCGTTAACTTTCAACGCGATCCCGTGACTTGCATTACGATGAGCTCCTTGTAGGCCGCACACGAATCTTCTTCGTCTTCTGATGCTATCTGGTGGTCTCGGTCAGAAGGCATATTTCGGGCAGGATATTTTCATACTTCATCTTGAGATTTCTCCGGCAAACTATACTTATCTTTATCGCATTATGCATTTTCGTCATCGATTCAAGCAAACGCTCTCGATACGGATGTACGCGTCTCAGCGAGTAAGTCCCCGTACCCTTTGAGGTCCCCGAACTCGATCGAACGCCTTGATTTGGAGTTTTTCCCATCGAATCGGTCGTGGAAACATCTGCCCGAGGCAGGCCCGATGACCGAAGTCACATTGCGGCGACTGCCATCTAGCATCCTGTCCGAAATGGATGAGGTCTTCTTCGAAGCAGGAAATCAACATTTATAAGGAACGCACCCTGTGCGAACAAGAACCAGGCTCTCTGCTGCAGGTCCCAATGGCTCATGGCTCTTTTTTCCTCCCGAAGCTCGATGCTTCCCAGAACCTAGGTCGCATCTACGACTTCATTCTAGATAGCAAGAGCACACGCGTCGCATATTCTTTCGCTGCAGAAGAGAGTGACGAGTGCACCGACATCACCCAGACTGAGTTGGTCCGCGCGGCATGTCGTGCAGCTCACATACTCCGTCCTGCGAAACAGGGGGCGGACAAGCAGATTGTTGCCATCCTCGCACTTTCAGATGTCCTGATCTACCAGGCGGTTATCATCGGATGCATTCGCAGCGGTCTCATCGTGAGTTTATCGATCAGATACTGAAATTGATTACAAGAACTGCACAGCCATTCCCCATTTCTCATCGCAACTCGCCAGCTGCCATCGTGCACTTGATCAAAGCGACTGGCGCTCATCGTATCCTCACGACTCATGCATCCTACGGTCATGTCATTGAAACCCTTTGCGCCGACATTGCCGCCCAAGATCCCACGTACGAGCTTTCCGTCGAGGAAATGCCCAGCTTGGGTGCCCTCTTCCCACGGCTTGGACGCGAGTGCCAAGAAGATGCATTTACTCCCTACCCCACCCTGACGTCCCCGAGCACGGACACTGCGCTCATCCTGCACTCCAGCGGGAGCACTGGCTTCCCCAAGCCGATTCCTCTGTCACATAGAGCTCTCATCGAGACCGTCTCTTTCGGTTTGTTTCGCACTCTGTGGGCTTCACACACTGACCCGACCCGACAGGATCACTCAAGTCCCTAACAGATGAAGCTTCACGCATCGCGGTCGGCCACCTGCCGCCATTCCACACCATGGGAAACCTCTTACAGCACCTTCTTCCCGTCCTAATTGGCGCTACGGCGTGCATTTTCCCACCCGCATCGTCTGCAACGGAGTATAGAATCCCACCGGCTGCGACATCCGATTTGGCTCTTCGCGAGTCCCAGCGGGCGCATGCGACTTGTATCATGACCGTCCCATCCTTCGTCCTGGAGTGGGCTCGCAACGCAGAAGACGTCCAGTATCTCAAGACTCTGGACCTTGTGGTACGTTTTCGTACGGAAGCTCGACTTCCTTGGTGACCGTAATCTTCAGGCGTTTGCTGGCGGACCGCTATCACTCAAAGTCGGTGATGCTCTGATTGCCCAGGGGGTCAATGCGGTCAATATCTACGGTTCCACAGAGGGTAAACATTCCGCTTGCACATCCAGCCTCTTGTCTGAACACGTCGAAGGTGGTGTTGCCTCTGTCGTCGGGGAGCGATGTTCACCGGACTGGTCATGGTTCAAGTTCCCGGAATCGAGGGTGAACATCCGCTGGGTCCCGCAGGGAGATGGATCGTACGAGATGCAGTTTTTGGTGTGTATATGCTAAATCCGCTATACCCGATGCGTTCAAACTGGGATCACAGACTGTCGACACACACCACCCAGCGCTCGAGAACCTGCCAGACGTCCGAGGGTACGCGACCAGTGACCTATTTGAGCGTCATCCCACGCGAGCCGACCTCTTCCGTATCATTGGTCGTGCCGACGATGTGATCATCATGGCCAACGGTGAGAAAGCCGTCCCTGGCCCCATGGAGGATATAATCACCGCGAACCGCAATGTCTCTGGGGCTGTCATGTTTGGGCGAGAGCGGAACCAAGTCGGTGTCATCGTTGAGCCGAGCATGAGCTGTCGCGTGGATGTTAAGGACGAAGTGGAGATTGCAAGGTTCCGGAATTTGATCTGGTAAGCGTCAGCCATGCTGGAATGTGAGATTGGCTCCAACTGTCGCTTAGGGACTCGGTCCAAGAAGCCAACGAGCAGGCACCTGCGTTCGCCAGAATCTACAAAGAAATGATTATCGTCACAGGTTCTGAGAGGCCGATGATCCGAGCGGCGAAGGGCACTATCATCAAGAAACCCACGGTGCTTATGTACCAGCCGGATATAGATGCTTTGTGGGTAAACTTCAAAACTGGCCGACATCTACTGACGGTATCAGATATGACGCAGTCGAAGCGAGTTCCAGTGCGGCGGCCGATATCTCCCCACCAACGTCCTGGACCACGGAATCGCTCATTCCCTGGCTCCGAATGCAAGCCACGGCGCTCTCAGACAAAGAAATCGACGTCGGCACAGATCTGTTCGACCAGGGCTTCGATAGTCTGAACGCAACGTTCTTGCGCCACCGCATCGTCGCCATTTTGAAGACGAATCCAGCAGCAGCCAAAGCGGTGGAGCAGAACTTCATATATGCGCACCCAACAATCGTCAGCCTAGCTGCGGCCATATCTAGTCTGATTTCGGCCGGGTCAGTGACTGCTGCGGATCCCAAGGCCGAGATCGAAGCCATGATACAGAAGTACTCCGTGGGACTGGATCGTGGATCTGTGCGGAATGCGAAGAAGGCACCGGCGGATGGAGACGTGGTATTGATCACTGGATCGACGGGAGGCCTGGGCTCGCATCTGCTTGCAGTCCTCGTCGGCGCAGCGTCGGTTCGACAGATCTATGCGTTCAATCGCCACAGTCCTCGTGCTTCCTCATCAGAGCGACAGAGGGAAGCTTTCCGCGATCGTGGATTCAACGAAGCCTTGCTTGCTTCTGAGAAGATTGTGTATCTGGAGGGCAGCACATGGGAGGAGAACCTCGGATTAGGCCGAGACATCTACGAGCAGGTGCCTTCCTTGCTGTGTTTCGCTGGACTGATGCTGACTAACATTCAGCTACGCTGCAGTGTCAGTGTGATCATCCACAACGCGTGGACGCTGGACTTCAACAAGAGTCTCGTCTCATTCGAGCCCCACATCCGTGGGACGCGTAACTTGGTCGACCTCGCAATCGGATCCGGAAACGCGCGATTCCTTTTCACATCCTCAATTGCTTCTGCAAAGAGCTGGGACCCCAAACTGGGACCATTCCCTGAAGAGGTGCAGCTTGATGCAAGTATTGCTGTCGGGAACGGGTACGGAGAGGGCAAATACGTCTCTGAGAGGGTACGTTGACGGAACCATCCGGACATGGGCTTACTTGGATAGATAATACACGCATCGGGACTCGACGCGACGTCCTTCCGAATCGGACAAGTGTGCGGATCACAATCGAATGGAGCCTGGGCCACGACAGACTGGGTCCCGGCGCTCGTCAAATCGAGTATTGCTTTGCGATGTCTGCCTTCCGATCCAGACGGAACGAACGCCTGGATCTCGCCCGAAGCCGTTGCGGAAAGTATCGTGGAGTTAGCTCTGCGTGTGGAACCCCCTCCGTTTTCGATCAATCTCGTCCATCCGCATGCTGTCTCCTGGGATTCAGTCATGAACTGGATCGCGCAAATGCTGGATCTGCCGCTTGTGTCGTTTGAAAACTGGGTGGCGGCTCTGGAAAAGAGCGCCATTGGTGCCGGTGCTGCAGAGTTCGAGCGCATTGTGGGTGCTCTCGTTAGCCTAGTGGAACCCGCGCTGATCGTACCTAGCCGGCGCTGAAGTTGATTGACTTTTTCAAGTCAGCCGAGACAGCTGGACAGTTCTCGACCACAAAGGCTCAATGCCTGGACTCAATGCGTAATCTGCCGCCGATCTCACCAGAGGAAGCGAAGAAATGGCTGAGCTACTGGCGCGGAAAGGGCTATCTCCCCGCCGAATGACCGCAGCGGACAAACATAGATCAGAACGGCATGTACACATTGAAGCGAGACTGACAGTGAACTCGAATCACGAGCTGATAGTGTGAATTCTTGTTGAAGAATAATTGATAATAGAGGATATTGCAATCATGCTCAACATTCGGTCGAGACATCACATCGGAGGAAGCGCTCCGCCGCCCGCCTAGCTCCATCCACAGAGCATGGCTCTTGCAGATTGTGTGCAGGAGTCCCAAGGCTGGGGGCTTAAGTCCCCTAGTGGGCTATGAAGGCGCCAACCATGGCTTTTGCATTATCTTCATTCGATGCTCACAAAGCGGAGAGTTTGCACGTGACCCACTCCCGATGAGTGTGACGCGACGGCTGTCAGCGTGACGTGCCTTTCCGATGCCTCTTGTTGTCAAATGCCTTATGTCCTCTGTATCGCTTGCGCACACACCTTCCCATCCCTCAGTGATTCAGACGTAGAACATGGGGCATGTGATAAGCCGTGTGCGGCGAAGTCTCGAAGTAAGTTGAACGCTATTCAAAGAGTAAAGCGGGAATGGGCATGTCATTTGCATTTGACATCCGGCAACTTGGTCCCTTTCCCGGGGCTCTCCTTCCTTGCTGAAATGCCAGGAAGAGGAAGCGAGATCTGTCTTGGACCCACTAGTTTGTCCCTGACTCCGACGCATGCCGCTGACCCTTCCCACATCTCGACTGAGTTGGGGAAGCGATTAGTAATTATCAGCAAGTATGGTAGATACAAATGCTCATTCTGATGGCCAGATGCAATAGATTCTTCGGAGGTCATGAAGACAAAGCCTTACTCCCCCCTTGATTGTTGATTCGAATACAACCAGAGGATCAAGCCAATCAGCCGTTCACGAATGACCATTCCAGATGATAAGGATTTATGTATGTATCATGTACACGTTCGCTTCGAAGAAGAACTTGTTCCGAATTCGATTTTTCCTGAAATGACCCAGCCAAAACCGCCCATGCATGGTCATCCTTGCACGATCGTCCTTGATAGAGATCAGCAAGTAACTTGTTCGTTGCGAGAGGAATGTTTGTGACTTCACACCGGGTGTGTGAGGGGAACATAACATCGAAATGTCACTTGCGAATGGGACACGGAGTAGGCGCCTATCAAGATGCTCAGCTTCGCACGTTACGCATGCCGTCATGGTGTCGGACGCGCCTGTCCGGAAACTGTTGATCTGGATCCTTACTTCCCACGGTTGTTCTCAATCTGGTATAGCTCGTACGCCAGGATCCCGCTCGAGATTTTGGATCATATAAAGAACAAAAAGTCCGAAAAGTGGAGGGTTAACGTAGAAAACAACTGCGGCAGGCCGTGTTTTATGCTGAGGAATTACTGCCCCCTCTCAGCGAGATCGGCATTTTGAACCATTGTTCGGATGTGATCCATTACAACATGTCCACCAGCCAGACGAACTAGAGATTGAACTGAAGATTGAGTTTTGAGTCAGTATAGGGCAGTTGCAGACATCCTGCCACGTGCTCAGCCTCGGTATCAGAGGAGTCAATATGACACCAATGAAGGCGGCTCGAGGAGCCCAGCGATCAGACAATTATGATCTGAAAGTCTCTCACTCTGGACGGGAAATGAAATAGAATCTGAGTCGTTTGATTATTCATTGTAGCTTGGATAGGCAGTAATATGAGCCATAGACTAATCTAGCTAGTAGGTACCTCCTGAGATCTGTGAAAACACATCAGCCGAATGCGAGGCCTAGCAGCGATGAAGGGACGAACCTTAGCCTGGTCGACGGACAGCTTGTGGCCTTGGCCGGCGGAAGTGACGTCGAGTTCGGACCAGTCCCAGGTACCGGTGCAGGCGCCACAGTTCACCACAACGGAGAACGCGCTAGAGTCAACAGCGAGAGTAGTCTTTGCACCGGTGAATGCGACACCCGAAATGGGAGCGCCGGTACCGACGGTCGAGCCGTCCTCGGTTGGGTAGCTCTGCGAAATGAGGATTCCGTAGTCGCTGATTCCAGAAATCGTGTTGCTGTGAAATGACGGTAGGTCAGCAGGTTCTAAGTTTTCAAGCATTTGCACTCACCCAGAGTAAGTCGCACCAGACACCTTCGCACCAGACGCGTTCGCGTCGACCTTGATGCGCAGACCGTACTTGCTGTTGCTGACCGTGTTACCCGTCGCGCGGAAGTTCGTCACCGACTTGCCCGTTGCAATTGATCCGATCGAGATTCCGTGACCGCCAGTGCAGGTCGTATTCTCGATCGTCACGCTGTCGCCCGAGTTGACGGCGACGCAGTCGTCCTGGTTCATCACCTTGCTGTTGGTGATCGTCACACCTGATGCGCTGATGTCAAACCCGTCGGTGTTGTGGCCGAGGGAATCGCCGGCAGCTGGGACAGTTATGTCAACGTTCATGCTTAGAATCCTGGAAGATCTTACAGTTGTCAACTGTGACCTGCTCAATGGTCGACGTAGCCGTGGTGCCAACCGAGATGGCCTGGGCTGGCGAGTTTAGAACCGTCACCGAGGAGAATGTGCCGTATCCTTGGAATCTGGAATATATCAGCACGTTCATTGGAGTCAACGATCGCCAGGAATACGCACTTGACGAAAGGATGAGGTTTGAACGACCCTCCGTTGGTGCCTTGGCCATCCCAGTAAAGAGCACCGTTGCCCTACCCCCGGGGCTGAGAAAGGTCTACAAGAATATGAGTCTATAGACTCACGTCGATGCGGTGGCTTCCGCCGTTGAAGTTGATGTTCGGAGTGTTGAAAGTGATCAATGGGCCGCTCACTACGAATGTGTCAATGAATATGCACTTGGAGCCAAATGTGCTTGACTTGCCAGTGGTCTTCGCAAAGGTGATGTCGCCGGTCATCGTGACAGTGGCGCCACTGGCCGCCTGCAAAGATGGTTAGAATATGTTGTGCGGTCTGACAAACTGGTCGCAGCAACACGAACCGCGATCGTGACCGTCTCGCCGGCGGGGACAGTGAAAGCCTCGATGACGACGTTTGTGCAGCTCGAAAGCCCAGACGCGCTAGCGACGCTGTTGACCGTGCAGGTTGCGCGCTTGGCAGTATCAGTCTGCGAAGGAGCCGCCGACACAACTGCGGCGAGCACGACAAAGCTGAGGAGACTTGAGAAAGAAGGCATTGCTGAGATTGAGAGAAGGATTGAGTTGTCTGAATCGGTGCTTTCTCTCTTGAGTCTACCGAGCTTTTATACCGTCGTGCCATCTAGGTCCTGCTCAATGCTTTCGTCAGGACGGTGTAGTCAATAGGCACCGTGCCCGCATCTCGCATAGTTTCTCAAGGGTTAGAGACCGGTCTTCAGCTGCGGGCTGGGTCGGCGGTGACGCGTGGGCCAGCCCATCAGACGTTTGAACCGCAAATGGTTGAAGACAGAAGGGAAAGAAGCATTGATTCGGTATCATCCGATCATCAATATTGCAAAACTACCATTAGTCAATATAGTCTGATTTTCCCAAACGATTAGCTTAGAAGCATAGGTACAAAGACCTTTTATATAATGGGTGCGATGTTCGGTGGGAGACTATGAGTGCTTCTCACGTCGAACTTTGCGATCAATGTATCGATTAATGATGGCTCGTCGGGAAACTCATGGAGTTGTCCCCTTCAAACTAAATATTCATCCGCAGGGAGTAGGTCACAGCTACCGTTGAAAACCATAACTCTTTTCAATTTTCACTTGACCGATACCCTCAAACCTGACTGTAGTGATGAGATCCAGCTTGACAACTCAGAGTTTGGTTTCAGTCAAGATTCTGACATAGGATTGATTTTAAAAGTTGAGGAAAGTTTAGGGCAAAAGTCCGAGCGGAATTCGATGATGCTGTGCCGGGACAGTCGTTCACCCTAATCGGATTGCTAGGATTCTGATCTGATCAGGTCGGATTGTTAGCCTGGATACCCATGTCGAGGCTGGTACCCGGCAAGTACCTTATATTCATGACACACCAAAATTGAAAACTTCGGCAGACATCGGGAAATGCCGATTCCAGAGCATTCTAGCGTGCCGAGACTGGTAGTTATAGCAGAACCCTCAACCTGCGCTTCTCAAAATCTTCTCGGAAAGTACAGGAATGAGATTCCAAGTGATTTGCAGACGTCACAATGGATTTTTAGGCGGCCCTGAAGTGTGCTCTGTTATTCGCCCTGGGGCCTCGTGTCAGATCCTAAATACATCTTTCCAATCACAGGCTCATATCCGTTCATGAATTGATCACAAAGCTCTAGACCTTTGACGCTCGCAAGATATAAATATATTTGCCCGAAGAATTCGATATACAGATATTGAGCTCCGTGAGCTGTTCGTTTATTGAGTACTCCATTGATTTCAGTACTGGGCTTGCCCAAAAGTCTTCACTGACACTTTTGTCATGCTGCCAGCCAGTCAGCACTCTGACAAAACCTTGGGACAAATCGCCGGTGTTCAGAGAAGCGCAGCAGGCTTGAGCCGATTCTCGCACTTTCATTGTTTTTATCACGGTCGAGACACAGTGGTCCGCATGCGACCCCACCCGCTCAATCGAAGCAGATTCCCAGAGGTCCCTCTTTTCCATTTATGTGTCTCAGAGCAACATTTCGATCAATGATCTTTGCTCGAGCTGTGAGAATGGCTTGAGAGAGCGAGATCTTGCGCAAAATAAAACGTCTCCACTGTGATGGAGTTGTTGATTGGACGGTAGTTGCTATATTTTTCGCTTGAGACTTGACGGGTAACTGCCCGAGTTTGATGAAACCAGGCGATTAGTATCACAGTGTGAGCCTGGGTCCGGCACTCTCAATGTCCGACCCATCCTACCTACTTACCATTGCCTCTTGGGGCAAAAATTGTCTTCTGCCGCATTCCGATTCTTTCGCGCGTCCTTTGACTCCGCCAGTTCTACCAGCCCAAGGTGAGCATTCTGGATTGGTGAAGTGCATATGGACAGTCGCACAAGGGCAGGTAAAGATTTAAGAAGAGCGAGGTAATTTCTTCCGGATTCGCAGGATTTGTTGTAGAAGGAATAGACGCGTGTTTCATCAGTGACCAAGTTCATGAGGCCTCATATTAAGTTCGTGTAGCCACTCCACCACATAGAGTCCCAGACGGCGCTCACGAGGGAGACGACGCTAATCCGAATTTTGTCAGTCGAAGGGATGCAGCGACACGCTGCAATGCAGAGTGAATTTGAATCGACCCTAAGCCCTACTCTCGGCGTGAGCTCTGCCTGCGTGAAATTGGTGAGGATTGACAGGTTCTGAATTCATTGCATTGGCAGCGAATTTCTCTTGCTAGCAGGTTTTGTGTAGCTCAAAAGCTCGTTTTGGGGCGGAGATTTGGGCAAGAAAGTTACAAGCAGAGTTCCCGCTAGAGTGGAACATGGGTACGGAGCTTGCCGCACAAAATGGGCGCTTTGTGGTGAGTTGCCGTCGGTTACGAGCTGAGCGAAGCGATGTCATGGCCTCGTCTCAACTCCATGTGTCGATCTGATCCAAGTTTTCAATTGAGGTCGAGTCGGACCGTGACGTTTGCAAATTGCCGTGAACGTCCCAGAACGAACCCGCCTGAACTGGCTCACGCGGTGTGACAATTCCCGAATTCGCCGAGGCGTCTGCTGAAGTCACATCGGGATTCGACGGACCTTTCGGAATATCGGGATGGCTCGTTATGATTTGTGTTTTTTCAGTTTCCGGGAAACAGAGCTCAAGACGGAGAAGAGTTGATCACGATGCACATTGAACAGGACTCGAATCTAAACTTAGAATCAGGATCAAAATCAATCATTGATCTGATCTCTGCTCTAACGTATCTCGTCTCTCACAGCCATGGCCAAAACTTCAACCGCGCTCGAAGATCCGAAAGCCCTAATCGAAAGAGGATATGATATAGCGGCTGACGAGTACCTCGCATGGTGCGTACGCTCCATAACTAGCTCTTTCCAGGCATGCAACTCGGCATCGCAGGGCCGGACCGCGACCGACGACCAAACGCATGCGCCTGATCGATGACCTCCTGACTAAAATCCCCGCAGACGCCAGCGTTCTCGAGCTTGGCTGTGGGGCCGGTGTGCCCGCCACTCAACTTCTCGTCGAGCGCGGCTTGTCCGTCACGGGCAACGATATCTCCGCTGCCCAGATCGAGCTTGCGAGGAAACACGTGCCGGGCGCCAAGGCGCTCATCCAGGGCGATATGTTCGAGCTGGAATTTCCCGAAGGCAGCTTCGATGTGGTGCTCGCGTTCTACTCGATCTTTCACTTGCCGAAGGAGGAGCAAGCGCTGATGGTGGAGAAGATCAAAGGGTGGCTCAAGCCGGGTGGATGGATTCTGTGTAATTTTCAGTTTGAGGGAAAGGATATCACGCGGGAGGGCTGGTTCAAGCCGGAAGTGGTGATGTTTTCCAGCGGGCTCGGTGTCGAAGGGACTCGCGAGATGTTCACTCAGGTCGGCGGTTATGAGCTGGTCGTAGATGAAGTAGATATCGAAAAAGTGGGACGCTTCGAGGAGAAATTCCATTGGATCATGGCTAAGAAGAAGTTGACAGAGTAGAATGGATTGGAATGTATGGGTTCAGGAATCGCTTGTGCACCCAATATTTGTCACTGTTAACATCACACCCAGTCTGATGTCGAGTGCATTGATCGATTTTCACTTCCCATGATGCAAACCAACACTTGATCGAAATACTAGCAGTCACGGTACTGGAAGTTCATCGACTGAAGGCGACGTGTTGTGTATGGTTTATATCAGCGTCTTCGTGAGTCGCCATCTGTATTGCTCCTATGACCTTCCTTTTCCAACTGTTTCTCCTCAGAGGCGACACGACATTCATTATTACGCTTGCTGTAGTTGTTGAAGTGATGGTTGACGACGACGACGGCGGCTCTATAGGTCTAGGTCTGGTCCATCAGATATCATACTCGACCACATGAATGACGATTGAATCCACGTTGCACCGTTCGCAGGCCTTCAGTTTCTGTCGCTTGCCACCAATGCTGGGATCATCATGGGCATGTCAGTGCTGGCGCTAAAGGGAAGCCGGACTGAGACAACAGCTGAATTCAGATCAGGTACGGGCAGCCCGGCTTGCGCTTTTTTGAGTCTCCACGATTCAGGTTCCGTGGCACTGGACTTCTCCGACGGCGACTTGGATTTCGCGGTATGCCATCATCTCGGCATCATCCGACAGGAACTAGACCACAACTGGGCGCGGCAAATTGTTTTTCGCGCCCTTGTGAAAAGCACCTCGCAGGTATACGATAGACCCAGGGACCGTGGACAGAATTGGTGCAGCTCTGGTGCCGCTACTGCCAGTGGTAACGATGTTGAGGTGGTTTTATAGCCGATTCAGCTGCACACAGCGGCCAGAGTAATAGACCGGACAATGTCTCAAATGCGTGAGGCAATCCGGGCAAGGGCATCATCCCACGCCAGAGTCTAATTCGCTGATGTGCGCTAGCGGATACACCCAGGCCATAAGCCCGATCGCCATCAGGAACGCTTCTCTGCGTGATGTGCGAGAGATTCTGATTGTGTGGGCGCTAGTTCTGTTGCGGTCATTCTCCGATCGTCGTCGTCGTTTTCGTCGTGTGGACGCGCGCGCCACAAGAGCGAATATTCAAGATGGAACGTTCGTGCGGTGTAAGAACGAATATCTATCCCTACGTGTGGTTCATACGCAGCACGTCGGATGCCTAAGCGCGCTCAAGTTCGCCTACGCGCTCCCTCCGTTCTTCCGTACGCGTGGGCCTTGTCGCCGATATGCCCGACGGTAGTGTTTGCGGTTGTCGTCCGGCTCCGGCGTCCCGGGCAGCTGGGAAATTTTGAATGTGGCTGCTAGCCGACGATCGGACCTCGTTGGACGCGCAACATCAATCTCCGGAGGACGTGCAACCCCGTTTTGAGACAAGTTCTCAGCGGTTCCGAAATCTAAGTCTAGCCCAGTCTCCGGACGGGAAACCGCTCGATTGGCCGGCTCAGATTTCCCCGAAAGGGATGCATATGACTATGTCTGTGTTCCCGGTTAAATTGGCCCTGCATTCAACGCCTGCGCGAGTTTAGAGCAAATTTAGATACTTTCCCACGCCGAGCGAGTAGACTTCATGGACATGCCAGTCCCTGTATGTATCTTCTTCAAACCAGCGCTGTTCGGGCATTTGCAATTAGCCTCGCGACTTGTGCTAAAATAAATTAACAAAATCCAACTTTGTCGTCTTGTCAATGGATCGCAAGGTGCCCAAGTTTTGAATGACCGTGAAGGAACTCGAACTCCCAAACCCACAGGCTTGAAAGAACAAGGACCTCAGCAACAGGAAAAACTGAGTCCGCGTTGGCACAGCTGCCTCGGGAATTATCTCGAGCCCTAGTTCAAGCTCGAGCTCCGTGCCGCTCAAGTTCTAGGTCCTAAACCTGCCAGCCTTCAAAAAAAGAAATGCAACTCAAATGGTCGAGAAATCCATGCGTTCTAAGCGACTATCTCTTTGAGCGGGTTCTGCCATAGGTCCATTATCAAACTTGAGACTGCTTCCCAAGCAGTGGCAGGCCCAGGACAATGACGACAGCTTGAAGGCTTCGGAGCCGATCGGGAAGACACCGGCCAGATGCTGTGCGTATGCTGCCCAGGACCCGGCCATCTAAGATCTGCCAGCAGTCGCCCTCAATCCCAGGGCTTGTCCCAGGCGCTGGGAGACATCGCCCCCCGAAAACGAATGACTGTCAGCTTGTTCACGAAATCTCGAAGGAAGCGGTGCTCAAGTCTGAATTCGACCACAAGTCCCCAATACTTAAGGTCTTCGTTGCGTAAGCATAGGCACCCTTTGGTCCAACAGGCCATGTTTCCCAGATGATCCAAATTTATTCCATCCAATGCACGTATCTGTGTATGCGATTCGCGGTGTAATGTAAGTTACTAGACAAGGGAAGGTAGGCTAGTTAGGAGATGCTTGTAGGGTAGATTGGAGAAAACGAATGTAGGTGGACGACAACAGCAGCGGCGGCAGCAGAAAGAGGTGGCAAACAACAACAACAACAGAAGCACGGCGCCAAATCCAGAGTGACGGGAAACAAAACCATGTAAATATAATCCGGCCTGAAAGAGAGGGAGAGGAAGAGCGGGTATGCAGAGAGCCAAAGAAATTAGGACTTAAACCCGCCCGACAAAGTCCTTGTGGACCCGCATATGCTGGCCCAGGTTGTCGTGTCTCGAAAAGTCCTTGCCGCAGCCCGGATAGGGACATTTGTGCGCTACAGACGATGTCAGCCAAAGGAAGGAGCAGGGGAGAAAGAAAAGACGAAGAAACACGCACGCTTTTCATATGTGTGAATACTCCTGACGTGTCTCTTCAAATGCTCGCCACGCGCGAAGCACTTCCCGCAGCCCGGCACCTTGCAAGTGTACAATCGCGCCTGCCCGGCCTTGCTTGGAGCCCGGCCGCTCATCCCACCGACCCCGTAGAGATTCGCGACGGTCGGCACACGGCGACCACGACTCTTTTTAGTCAGATTCGGCACCGGGACGGGGATCGGTAGAGCAGTGCTCGGTCGGGCACGGCGACGCTGAGGAGGCATCGGCATTGAGGGGACAGTCGGCGCGTCGAAGTTATACGAGTAAGGGTACCCATTGTCTGATGTCTTGGTAAGCCGGGTAAAAGCATATCCAGAAAGACGCGCACGAACCGTACTGCGCATAGTCGTATGGATATCCGCCACTTCCCGATGTCGAGGTGCTCGGACTCGGGCTGTATGCGTACGGCTGGTATCGCTTATTGCTGGCTCCAGCCCTCCGCCGGTATCCGGGTGGAAGAAATTCACCATCGTCGCTATCGCTCCCGTTGTCGACGTACTCCGAATCGCCATCTCCATCCTGATCTTGTTCCGACACGACCTCATCTTCACCCTCGTCCTGTGGAGATGCGGACCTGTCGAGCGACACCACGCTGCGTAATGGGCTATTCTGCGGCTGCGGATAATGCTGGCTCCCGTTCCCTGAAGAAGGACTCTGGCTATGACGTTCCCGGGGGGAAAGCGACAGCGAGACGCTCGACGACGGTGACGTCGGTACGGGTGTGCTCAACACGTATCGCGGGTCTACTGACGTCGAGGACAATGGGGATGGTGGATTCGTTGTGGACGCAGACGCAGGGGGCGGAAACGTCGGTGAATAAGACCCGGAGGAGAATGTTGCAGGATTTGGCGATGGGTTACTATAGGCTGATGCTGACGACGCACTGTACGCTGAGGACACAGAATCAGAGTGTGCCCGGCCGCCGACAAATGGCTGCGGATGAGTATATGCGGATGCGGGCGCCGACGCGGTCGAGTACACGGACGATATGGAGTCGGCGTGCGGTCGACCAACGTACGGAGTCGAAGAGGACGATGCCGTCGTCAGTGCAGAGTGCGACTGTGAATGCGAGAGTGCCGGTGTGCCCGGATGTGAGTTGTGCTGGTGATGATGATGTGAGGAGAGAGCAAGAGGATGTGATCCGTGTTCCCACGACACAGGCGAAGTCGGAGAGGTGGGTGACTGCGGAGGGTGGGGGTGTCCATCGTACTAGAAGGTAGAATCAGTAAAAGGGAAAGAGAGCGGAGCCTGGTAGAAGGTGCGAAGCAGAATCTTCGGTGCCGCGACTCACTCCGCCATGGTACCCAAAAATCGCTCCCGCACTGTAACTCCGCTGCACACCGGATGCTGCATACAGACTTTGATGTTGCGAGGGGGGGATATCGAGCTGGCGTTCCGTCAGACTGACCAATAGAATCTGGGGAGATAAAACGCACCTGGGGGCCCATATACGCAGCGGACGAAGAATAATAGCCCGACCCAATCGTGCCGTACTGCTGCTGCTGAGGCGTCGGGGGCAGGAGCGACCCGACCAATGACTTTTTCCGCTCAGGCCAGTGATACAAGAACGGCTGGGGCAAGGGCTGCTCGTCCCTGTGCGCGTACATCTGCGCCATAGACATCGGATGAGCAGAGGGAGACGGCGTCAGGTCAAACACATCGTCCAACGGCGAACGCAGTGAATGCGAATCAGACGCGGAGCTGCTGATACTGAAGTCGGTGTAGGTGGGGGAAACGGGGGAGGAGAGCCCGGAGGCAGAGGCGGAAGCGGAATTCGACGCGGAAGTCGTCATCGTCGTTGTCCTGCTGGAGCGCGAGGCCGATGTATGGTGTTGGTGCTGCTGGTGCTGGTGCTGCTGAATGCGTTGGGATTGCGAGTGTGTCCTCGCTCGCGGATCCAAGTTCCGGTGCGTTGAGAAGGGAACGGGGAGGGGTGCCGGTGCAGCGAGGGGCCTGTGCATTTGAGGCATGCGCAGGTTTTAATTAAAATAACACAGCTTGGGTTATGTCAGGAGACGGAGGAGGGTGGGATGGAAAAGGCGGGTGTGATCGAGGATGGATCGAGCGGGTGAATTGAGTTGCGGTGGGGACCTGAGCGACGACGACGGTAGACGGCGATGAGAGCGATGAGTGCAAGGGAGCACAGCAGGGCGACGAGCCAAGATGTTGTAGCCGAAGGACGCGTCAAGCAAGCAAAAGACCTCGCGTCGCTTGCAGCTTCAAGTACTTGTCGCGTTGTTGTTGTTGTTGTCCCACCCATCCGTATCCTCCACCACAACCGAAAAAACTCCCGCCAAGAATGGAGAGGGCACCAGATCTCCCATCGGACGAAGCCAAAGAAAGACCAATTGGATTCGATTGACAGCTCGTGACAGATTGTGACACGAAGTACTTGATCCCCATTTGGACGCGATGCAACACAAGATCCCGATCATAGATCGGGTAAAGAAGCTTTCGACGCGCGAAGCGATTCGAGCGGACGCCGGATTGTCTGGGGGGAGGGCGCGCGGAATGTTGGCAGGATGTACAGTGTCCAGCGAGCAAACTTTCCGACTCAGCGGAGACAGTGCGGCGGTAGCACCAGCATAGCCAGCGGACGTGGTCGGCCTCCACGGAACCGTGGCCCCGATCCCTTACCCCACAGCCTGACTAAGACTCCTGGGTGAGGAGGCTCTCCTGGTCCAGGCCAGCTTCGTCTCCTCTGAGCCTCTCTGCTTCCGTTTGCGAGGAGGTAAGACCAGACGCGGAGGGAGCGTTGCTACCCGCGGGCCCAAAAGCCAATCATCGGGTGTATTGCGTTGTGTCTCGTCGACGATCTAGGTGAAGATCAGTGGACAGTGCGTTCATGTCTCCATTGCTGCTGCTGCTGCTCCGAAATCCTCCGACTGATTTCCCGACTCTCGCCTTCAATAAAATATTGACCGCTTCAAGGCCGAAGGAGAACATGCCAATGACGTGATGGCATCAGACATTCAATCAGAAAACAAACCAGTCCACTCATGACCAGCACAACCTGGTTATCACGCCACGCCCACGATAAGGCCTAGAATTTACGCTGGTCATCGACGGTCGATCATCCTCCGCTTCTAATATCAGTGACAGTGCACCATCTGCCATGCCAACCCGTTTTGGTTAATGGGACGTCGCCACCACCACCATCAGCCTGTCCAGCGGTCATGGGTGACGAGTTGAGAAAGCTCTGCGGTGCAACCTGTCCATCTCACGCTCTCTCGATAATCACGCGGATTGGAAATTCATCTTGAGGTCGCGCTCACATCACTCGTTCTAGAAGATCCATTCGCGTCCAATCCCCACCCTCGGAGAAGCATTGCGATCGCGGGATGGCGGTAATTCGCGTTTCACGCCCCGGTTACTCACAGGATACCAGCCGCTCTCCCGCGTGGTGAGGCATGAATGCGAATCTCCACCCCAGAGAAGAGCACTCAGATTGGCAGGTACACCTGTTTAAGGACTAGACCTGAGCTTCTGTACACATCACTCTGTACGGTAGGACCCACCCAAGAGACCGTCTAGAACAACCGAGATTCTACCGGAGATGTCTACCACCCGGTGAGCGAATCCGTCCCAACCCCCGCATCGACCATCTAGAACAGCAATGTCGTTTCGTCTCGTTATTTCATGTGACTCGGAGAGACTTCATAACAACCCGTGTACAGAAGGCCAAGGTCGTCAAGCTTGAGCGGGCCTCTGTAACCTCAGCGACTTGAGTCATCACCTCATGGATTGGACGTTCCGCGGCCCGAGGATGTCTTCCACCACTTGCTCATCGCACTTCCATTTCGGACATCGGCCAGCGGGTGCAGTGATGTGCGCCCTAGCTCTGCGACTATGCCATCCGCCCTTCCAACGCGCATACCGCGAACCGTCGTCGTTTTGCTCGCAGCAGAACAGAACACGATGATATATTTCGAAATCTGCCATTCGGAGATTTAAGAACTCGCTCGTATGAAGTAGCCTTCAGAATTCCCACGGCTTGCGCCTCACATAACTACATCAGACTAGAGCGACCCAGCACTACGACGACAGGATCAGAATGGGGCTGAGGATCGGCATTCTACTCGGGGAGGTAATTGAACAACTGGAACCGACAGCAGATCTCCAGAGCGGGGTCCGGGCGGACAATTACTAGTTCCCCGGCGCTGGTGCTAAATTTATGAACATCTCTGATGAAGTTGCAGCATCCTTCCGTCGTGGAAATGAGGTTCCAGGAACGACTGTAATCCCAGGGAATTTGTGTCTCCATAGGGTCTGTTTGGGTGTACTACTGACCTCGAATTGAGTCTCTCGACAATCCCAGCTAGGATTCCTCTCCATAACGGATGCAGTTTACATGGAGAATTCTGCCAGTCTGAAACCCATGTGGGTGATTTCACAGTGAAGCCGCATCCCCGATTCAATTGTCGCGCATTCCCATGCTGGCATCCGGACCACCGATTCGAACCTCAATTAATCATCGAAATCGCAAATCCGGCTGCCGATCCAGTGCGCTGCGCTGTATTCTTCCCATCACGCCGAGCACATAGGAGCGAAGGTGCTGAATCTTCGAGGAGGTACGGGCATACACAAGCGATCCGATGCCTGGGACCTCGATTGCACTTGGATAGCATGCTGCCGGTCATAGCAGTCCGTGGTGGCGTGGCGGATTGTGCGGCGGGTGTACAAAGTGAGTTGAAATTATTTGGCATATACCTCATTCCTATCATTTCCTCCCGATAAGAACTGGGATCTTTACTTTCAAAGCTTCGCTAACTCGACTGGAGGGTTAAGCTGCGTTGGGCGCAGATCACTGGTGACACACAATCAAATGAGGATCATTTGTGCTTCTGAGCATGTGCGGGCGATCTACTCAATCACACATGGTCAGAGTGAATGAAACTCGGTGCCCGGTCGAACTCGACTCTGTCCCAGGTCGAACATTCAGGCCTCACGATTGATCGGGACAGCGGGTTCAGGGGAGCCTCGGATCATTCATGATCGATGAAACTCTGCTAAATCACTGGTCACCGCGCACCCCATACACAGGAAGCTATGCCACACAGGATGAGCCAGGCTAGATACTTCACAATTTAGCTACCCTCTCTACAGGTGCTTGCAAAAATGTCGAGATGTTCACTTGTCGACGAAGTCACAATCAGCCGAGAGCCTGATCAGCGGATTTGATGTGAACGTATTTAAGTTATTTAACTTGGGCCCCTGAGGGCGCCCATGTAGGACTCAGGACCACGCTTCACCCACAGTATCTGAGTGCCAAGTCGATTTGTTTTTCCTGACACGACAGAATCTGAGTGGTCCAACAAGCAATTCAATCTTCGAACCGAGATGATCTTTGCGCCCGGATCGAGTGGAAAGCGCGCGCGCCGCCGCCAAGAGAGTGTACCAGCAGTGTTTGCCAAGCCGTAATCCATGGCTCGGTTTCTTTCTAGACGGGGAGAATGCGTGCGAACGGTGGTTGAAACCTCTGCAGTTGGGGCCACTTGTCGGGCCATCCCTGTTCCGCAACGAGCGCCCATACGAGCCTACAACTTCCAGAGTGCTCGTCGCTGCTGGGGCCCAGTCTAGACCCTTGCGGCGGCGGCGTACTGAGACGATCAGGGGCTCTGACTGACTGGCGGTGGGCGATCGGAGCGGACGCGCGATCTCCGAAGATGCGCTTTGACAGGAGGCGGTGCACGTTAATTAAACAGTATCAGCACACCACGGGTTCACGTGCTGGGGTGTGCGGGCGAAATGCGCAGGCAGTTTCTTGTGCCGGAGAAGATATGGGTTGAGATAGAGAAGGACAATGTCTGCTTATCGGGAGAATGGAAGTTGAGAACGTCATGCTTGGGGGAGGGCACATGGTGCGTTGCTCGAGAAACTCTCCTACTTTCCAATTCACTTGATAAATTGGGAGTGACGCGCGTTGATCATTCGAGGCAATGCCAACGGCTTGTCACGCAATCAGCATCCGATCTGATCACATCTGTTGGCGGTGGATGCGTCCGTTGTGAGGGCCGTTTCTACAGCTGGAGGAGCACCACGAAATGATCGTTGGAGGCTGCAATGGTTCCAGGGTCGGAAGCGAGCAGCTGCATTCTAGAATATCGGTGCGTGTTCTTGAACCACTCTAACTGACAATCGATGCCAGACGACTCGGATTCGAATGTTAACTTTCCTCAAGTGCTTATGTAATATCGCATCGGGAGCTGGCGTCCCCCCGATGTCAGTCTGTCCGGCGCTAATCTGTGCTGGCATTCGCTGGGGGGGGGAGTCCGTCGGCGGGTGAGATAGAGAGCAGTGATCGTGATGGACGATCACTCGGCATCAAATGTTCCCATTGACAGCATGACCAATCGTTTAGACCAGCTGAGGCGGTTTCAGGGCCTTGCGTGTGACAAGGGGCTGGCAGAATCAGCCGGTCTAGCGTAGACAGGTTGAACGAGTCGCAGAATTCGTGCCTAGCCTCCCTTCCCGCGCTTGGGACTACTTACGTACCTGATGCGTGAACGAACAAGGCACCCGCACCCGCAACACACGAAATGACTAATGGTGCCGGTCTCCAAAACTAAGCGAGATTTGCAATACTTGGCTGTCAACGGGTTTGTGCTAGCCGTTCACCCGCGCCCATCAACACCAGGACGGCTTTCATGGGCCGGCCGTATGAGAGTGGAGAGACTTTCGCTGCGACGCAACGCCGAGATGTCCGACCTGACAGTGGCTCATTCGTTTTCTCAAGCGCGCCACAATCTTGTTTAGGCACCGAATTCATAGCCGGATGTAGATTCTAGCTGGACCCTAGATGGACGAATCAAGGGATGCCACCTAATGCGAACGATTCGTGACAGCCTCTTGGAGAAACTTGTCGGAGCCCAACGATGAGACGGACCGAATGATCCTGGAAAATGACGCAGGCCTGTGACGATGCATCCCGAGGCGATAAGCGAGGACAAGGTCCCGAGCTGCAATTTGGGCCCGCGACGAGTTGAAAAAGAGCCCGGTCGCGAAGAGAAGCGCTGCCTAGAGCAAATCAATTCGCCTCATTACAGAGTGCAGGCAAGGCAGAATGGCAGGGTGCGCGACCAGAGACCAGCCGATGGATCGTATCATGAGCTTCAGCAGTGACGGGGATGAACTTGTGAACGGCGTTAAGCCCAATCGGGAGGCCGTCTTGCTTTCGCGGTGAATGCTTTGGCGCGCTTGAATGAATGCAGACAATCCCGAGTGAGAGCTAACGTGAGGATGACTGCTCTGCGACCCACCGAAGCAGAGTTTTGAGCTAGAAAGCACTTGTTCGCCTCTGGTTTTAGAACGGGTCCGTCATTTGCCTTGGATCTCAGGCTCGGACTGCAACGGATGACTGCATACGCGAAGCGGCCTACCAAAAGAGTACACCCTTCCTTCTTTCGATATCCTGACGACGAGGACTGACCACTAGCTTCCCGTCTTCGAAGGCAGTACCGCTGACAATTGGAAGTGATGCGTCCCAGCGCACTCGCTTTCTGGAATGTGCGGAGGAGTTGGTCAGTGACCAAGTCCGAGGACTGTTCAGCAAGAACCACCCACGCCTTCGCTGCATGTCGAGAGTGTATTGGACCACGAGCACCGGTGGATCACGGTTTTCGCGAATCGATGCAGTTGCGAACGCCCATCAATAGGAAAGCTCTGTATCACTTCAGCGACTGGCTCACGTTCGTGAATGATGAGGTCAAGAGCACACAGTTACCATTCGGAGACCTATTTTTAAATGAAAAAACAAAAAGACTTGAAAGAATTACAGCCGCTCGATGAATGTCAGCCCGGAGACTGCCAAACCGTCACTCGCAGAGTCGATCAGAACGATTCGGGCATGTGGCCGCGATGACGTACTGCAATATAGTCACCCGGCAAGACAAAATATGTCTGAGAACGAGACTAACTGCTGTGAGTGGAGCATAGCCTTCAGACTCATTCCGACCTGCACCAATCACTGAGCCCTTTAAGCCACGGAGATGCCGAAGAAGCGAACAGAAAACAAAGCCTGCGGACGTGCTGACAAAGGGGCACGTGGCTGTGTGAAAATTTAGCTTCCGCTCGTCTGTGTGTCCCCCACTCAGGGGTCAAAATTGCCGTTTCTTCTCCCTGCATATCCTCGAATAGAGCTGCTCTGAAACGCTCGGAGCACCGCACAGATTTCACAAATATCCTTGTGAGCCTCTTTCTCCCTGGGCAACATCCCCGAGAGAGCCTCAAAATCGACGTACTGACAAAGCACCCCTGTTTTGTCTCAGCTCACACAAGCACTCTTTCCTCCATGTCTGAAACAAGCGTCCTGCAATCCATGCATATCAAGGATGTACGTCTCACCTCACACGAGATACGGGAACAGTCCGGTGAAGGAAGTGGATCGATGACGGAGCCGCCGGTGCGTCAGCTATGCCCGATGCCCATCAGAAGTACGCTCACACATCTACAGCCGCCCGCATCCACCGGGAATGCTCAGCCCAGTGAGACTGCAGTCAGTCCTTCCCGACGCCTCACTCGCTCTGCAACCGGGCACTCAGCAAAACCAAAAACGCGCGACGACGGCTGGTACGAAGCCTCTTCACCGAAGAAGAAGAACACTCCCGTCCGCAAGAGAGCTGTGGGTAAGACCGCCCGCAAACGCACCATCGACGAGGTAGAGGGTGACATCGAGTGGGAGGAGCCCCTGGATACGCAGTCGACGTCGGTGCTGCCTGCACCGCTGCCAGACACGGCAGAGTCAGCCCCTGTCGCGGCTATAACACCACCAGCGCCCGTGTCCTCGATGACGAGCGCGGAATCGACTGTCTTCGTCGAGTCGAATGGGGACTATTACACGAACCCAACACATCGGCGTCTAGTGCGGACGCGTACTAATTTACCTGTGCCAGTGCCGAATCTGATCAAGAAAAGCCGGGGGCGGAGGGTGCCCACAGCGACGACATCTGGAACAGAAGAGCCGGGAAAAAGAGTGCATGTTTGTACAGTGGACGGGTGCGGGAAAGCCTTCCATCGCGGAGAGCATCTGAAGCGACATATCCGGTCTATTCACACACACGAGAAACGTGGGTCTGATGAACTTGGCATACAGCTGCGACTGACCACTCCCTTCGTACTCCTGCCAGCGTTTCCGTGCACCTTCCCGACCTGCCACAAGTTCTTCAACCGCCACGATAATCTTCTACAGCACATCAAAGTCCACCGGGACACGGAAGATGGGGATGGGGAGGACGACATTGACGCGGAGGGTTCTCCTGCACCGGAAGAATCGCCGCCTGTGTCTCCTCTGGTCGACGCATATGAAGCTGCCCGGGTCGCCATCATGCACCTAAACTCGCAGCGAACGTCGATCACCTATCCCAGTCTCGGTGCTGCGCCCGTGGGGATGTCCTATTCCGGACCCAGCGTTCCCTCGAGCAGCTATGCCACCGTGTCGTCTCTGCGGACGGAGTTGCCAGAGTCGCCTTCTAAAGATGTCGCTTCCCAGCCCCAGCCCGGCAAAGACGATGCAGTGACCCAGTTCTTCTTCGTCGAGCCGGGGCAACAGCACCCGGCATCCTATCATGCTCCTATGTTACCTACAGAGCAGTCAGTCTGATCATGTATCGTCGTATGTGCTCCTTGTTGTTTTTTTAGTCATCTAGAACTTCTATTTTGACAATCCCGATTGCGAATTCCCAAGATATTGGCGCTGCCCTTTCGGACGGAGCGAGCGAGACGTTTTCTTGGTATCTGAAGGCTGTGCCGTGTAGCACTCATTCCCTCTACCAATGGTCAGAACTGAGCTACTTGCCGCTCTCCTACGCCGAAAGTAAAGATCGAGCCCATGCAGTTGAAGAAACCAGAAAGAATCCACATAGACCACGGGCATACCAAGTGACTGAAAGCTGAGCAATGAAGGGGTGGTCGCAATGCTGTGTGAATTTTTCAGTGATAAACGATCTGGGGGCCAGGGATTGTGAGCACTCCGTCAAAGACCAAATTGGAAACAGATTCTCGAGGAGGGCCTATGCAACAGACGGGCCGGTAGGGCCCGGGGCCCGGTCAGTTACCGGCACATGGTAACTTGCCACATTTGCGTACCCTTGAGTACTCACTCATCCTAATCCCCAGTCCTTGCTCTATGCTGATTACCTTGTACATTATTATTCTTCATCCTTTGACTTCTGATGCCGAGTGCGTTTTTATGCGCGTATCAACATCTAAAAGACTCCGGAATCGACTTTGGCGGCCGCAAATTTTTTGTCTTGGAGACCCTGCGCCATGGGGTTGCATCCTATGACTGGTGGTCCACCTTTAGGCGGTCGTCACATGCGTTGAAGAGCATCCGGAGATAAGCCGCAGGATACAAAAAGTGGATGCATGGAGTGGGGTGCGCGTAAAGACGATGAAGACTTCCCTTGCCCTCATCGCCATCCTCCCCGCCGCCGTATTCGGGTGGGACACCTTCGTGGTACCGCATACGGCCGGTGCGGACGATATGCCCGCGTTCTCCGCGCTGGTAGCGAAGCACCCCACCAATGCGACTATCCTTTTCGCGCAGGGCACGACGTACAACATTTTCACGTCGGTTAAGTTCCCCAAACTCACGAACGTCGAGATTGCCATCGAGGGCAACCTGACGTATCCGACCTCTATCGCCGCAGTGCAGAGTACGTGTCGTTTGATCTGTATATCTTCGCCGCTGAGCGGGACTTCCAGAGGTCGTGAGCTCGTCCGCCTACGGAGGGTCTTGGTTTACCTTCACGGGTGGATCGAATGTCACGTTGCGAGGCTCAACGGATCCGAACTGGGGCTGGATTGACAGTCATGGGCAACAATGGTGGGACGCAAACCAGCAAACTAGTCGCCCACACGGCATCGCGTTCAGCAAAATTACGAACGGTGTCATCAAGAACATGAAGCTGTGGATGGTGTGTTTTTTGACATGCATTCGCGGTGTACTGATCGTGAATGCTGGACAGCCTATCGGATGGAACTTTGCGACTAGCGGTGTCAACAATGTGCACATCTTCAATAACACGATCATCGCTCGCTCCAGCACTTCATCGTTTCCGTTCAATACCGACGGTGCGCGTGTTTTCTGGCAGCGGCGTTTCCGTATACTCACTGTCTACAGGCTTCTCCGCGGGCGGAAGCAACATTCTGCTGGAGAAAAACCACATCGTGAACGGAGACGACTGTCTGACGGTCACCAGCGGCGCCACGAACATCACCTGGAGGTAGGCTTTTTGCGTCCGTGCGCTTCTTCGCTGACGTTCCCAGGAACTCGTACTGCGAAGGGGGCCATGGATTGTCCATTGGTTCTTTGGGCAAAGGCGGAGCGAAAGCTCAAGTGGATAATGTCTAGTGCGCGATCACTTTTGCCGTTCCCGCATTCTTTGACCATTCCCGCAGCATCGAAAATACTGTCATGGTCCGTACATTGCAGTTCCTAACGAGCACATGTATTGAAGATTTTGTCAGGTTAACTCCCTGTATGCGGCACGCTTCAAGAGCTGGACCGGCGGTAATGGTCTTGCTCGCAAGTATGGTGCTCTGGCATGACTCTTTTACTTCGTCTGACGACGAGCAGCATCACGTGGAAGAACATCACATTCCAGAATGTGCCCTTCCCGGTATGTTCATCTCCTGCCGTGCTTTCCTATGCTGATTCCGCCTTGCAGATCTATGTTACACAAAAGTAGGGTCCGGCCAGATTCACTGGAACTCTATTTGATCTTGAATGACCAGTTATTGGGATCAGGGCAGCGGCTCTCGACCAAACGGCACTTCTGTCACAAACACTCATATTCAAGACTTCCTATTCGACGGCTTTTCCGGTACCATCCAAGAGTGAGCATGATTGTGGTTCTTCGACTGCATCTCACATCCATCTAGCACCCCGGGTTACATCGAGGGCTCTTGTGTGACGAACCCCTGCTGGTATGCGGTCACCAATGCGACAGGGCGGGAAGTGATAGACTTCGACTTGTATCCCGGGACTGCAACGAACGTGCTGACGAAGAGCATCTCTGCAAAGACAGTAACGGGCCGGCCAGTTGCTGTGATGTGCGACCCCTCGACTGTGAGTGCTCGGCAGCATGCTTTCTTCCTGTGCCTTGATGGAGCCACAGATCACCAACGACCCCGGATTCAAATGCCTGGATGGCACTTTCACGCCTGATCAGGCGGGAGCGTGAATAGTCTCGAGTGTCCGTTGATATTTCATACACGTGGATTTGACATAATGAAAAGAGAATTGACCGAGCATCATCACCTAGCTGCTAGTCATCAGTAAAGCCTACTTTGGAGGCGGCGAGAAGGGTATGTACTGGGGCTGATAGCTATTAGGTGGGCTTGTTGGTGGCGGCGGGTTTGCGTAGTGTGGCTGGTAGGTCGAATGACCTGGGCCTGCAAGTTGAGGCTCGAAGAGCCTGCGATCATTCTCGTATTAGTGTCCGGCAAAGCACGAGTGAGAGACATATCTACCCGGCACTATGCTTTGCTCTCCAATGACAGATTTGGCACAACCAGATGTGGTCACTCGAGAATGGGATGAGAGGAAGCCAGAAAAGCTCGAACCACGTCGTGGACTTCGCTGCCCTCACGGAAGCTGAGATCATGTGTCAGGATACGATCGGAGAGCATTGGCCATGCAGCTCACCGTTATGGCAGTTTGGACAGACACGCACCCCGGAGTCGCCCTCCGCCTTAAGCCTGTCTTGGCAGCCAACTACACATATATCAGGGTTGAAAGAGAATGATAGAAAAGTAGGACACACAGATAATGGGGATGCACATCGTGGAGCAAGCCAAGGGAGTCTTGCCTCCGTCGGCTTCTCCCGAAGTCATGATCACGCTTTACATCCCCGACAACGCGCTACATATCGCGGACCATGTCATAGCCGTTTGCAGTCACCCTCATGGACAAGAAACCTGCTGGAATCTCCACCTCTCTTCTATCTTCCAATGCCCCGCCCTCCGAAGCGGATGCCGCCTCGCTGCATATCGTCCTTGCACACCTGGGAAAGCAGCTAGCAGGCATCGACGAATCCATCGCGCGGCTTCAACTACACCTGCGTGAGCTTCAGAAGACAAGGCAAGGCGTTCTGGAGGATGTGAAACGGGTTCGAACGGTCTTGTCGCCGATCCGCCGCCTCCCACCGGAGATCCTGTGCGATATATTCGCGCTTTGCATCCCGAGCGAAACATCGACGTCCTTCCGAGGAAAGCACTTAAAGTTCCCTTGGGTGGCAACACGCGTCTGCCGGTCGTGGAGGGACGCTGGTGCGGCCAATGCGGCGTTTTGGTGTCGCGTTGATTCGGGAACGCCGCTCCCCGTCGTACGGCTGCAGCTTGAGCGGTCTAGACAGTGTGCGCTGGATATCGATGTCGGTTTTGCGGACTGCGAGATCCTGGGGCTGGTGGCCGGGCATTCTGAGCGATGGGAGACGGTGTCAATTGCCGCCAGTGCGAATATGCTACCGATTCTCGATAGCGTCAGGAACCGTATCCCCCGGCTTCGCTGGCTGCTGTACATCGACAGCACAGGTGTGGGCGAATGCTGGGGTTTCTCAGTGGCCCCCTTACTGACGAGCGCGTTCGTGCTGGGGAAAACGAGGATGGTGCATCTTCCATGGGGTCAACTCACGCGACTTCGGCAACGGATCCCGCACGACGATTTCTCGCAGCTGCAGTCGGCCTCAAATTTGGTCGAGCTGTCACTGACGAACACAGTATCGCTTTCGCTGCTCGTTGCTCGCGCAGAAGGCACATTGAGCCCGTCCATGGTCACGTTCCCGCTTCTCGAGCAGCTATCCGTCGAAGATACAAGCTGCTTGGACATGCTATCGACGCCGAGTCTTCAAGACCTGTTTCTCGTGGGGGCGGAGCACGGGGAGCTCGTCCCATTCGTCGCTAGATCTGGATGCCAGCTCCACATTCTGCGATGCGGCAAGGGACTCGAGCTTGACTCGATATCAGCCTGTCTTCCCACTCTGGAGGAGCTTCATTTGGGTTCTCGTCCCGGCTTCAGCGTGGCTAATCTGATCCAACTTCTCCGCCCCGGTGGCGCATCTGGAAACCGGGGCCCAAAGTTGCACACTCTCACTCTCAGCGACGTCGACATCTCTGGATTGTATGAGACATTGACGGACATGGCACTGAGCAGGATTAGGGCCAGTCCGAACTCGCTTTGTTTGACGATACTGAACACGACACAATCGGCATTGCGCTTCGATTCTGACGCGCTGCACGTTTGGCAGAGCATGCTGTTGAGAGAAGGGGTGCGTGCTGAGTGGCTGGAGGGAAGGGGATCCAAGCAGAGGATCAAGACATGGGCCGAGGACTATCCTTGACGTTCACAAGATGTCTACGTAGGCACACATTACAATATCTACACAGTATGTCGATGACAAAGCCTCTGAAAACGGGAGACAATGCTTTCTTTCGTAAATAACTTTGGTTGGGTACCACATTATAATGCGATGAGCCTCGAGTATCCTATTGGGATCGGATGGGTCGACTCTGCGTCGAAAGCTTTGGTCCCCGTGCCGTATCTCAAAGCATGATCAGATATTTTTACAGCAATAACGAAAAGTAACCAAGTCGCGAGCGGAACAGCAGAACTAAGGGATTCTCACCCGAAGCATGAACCGCATCGTTGCCGCGATGTCTATCGAGATGGAATTGCGACTCAGATTATGCAGGCATGAGAACAACTGTGCTTGAAGATGAAGGTGTCCTCGCATCAGCACACAGCGAACTCCTAGATAGCGCGGCTGATGTGAGGAAGAATTGAAAAGATAGGTGCACCGAAGGCCAGGACATTTTATTGTGACAGATGCATCGCACAAAGAGGGCGCCATGCAGGAACAATCCACCAAGAAGACCGTCGTATTGACTCGGGACACACGACTGGCACCCACCCACTCAAGCTCGAGTCGGAGCTTTGCCAAGAGATTGAGACGCCAAGTTCGGCGGGCCATCGTTGCCGTTCCATGGGAGGCAATGGTAACCATTCACTGTAATGATAGCACGCCAGGGGGAGGCTCTTGCGCGTAGACTTGATCGGTCTGGGAGTTGGAGCGTAGACAGGCCATCTAACACCCACTCAAGCTAAGCCCAAACAACAAGGATCGATTGGACGGAAAATGACACCCAGCACCTGGTCCGAGTTCACCACGTTCCACCCGTCAATAAGTCGTTCTAGCCTCCACGGGTGGCGACGTTCTGAAGGCCCTAGACACGGACGCAACAAACGCCAGGCATACGTCAGCACCCATAACGAATCATTCGGCCGCATCTCACCCATATTGCACCGTCGGGTCCCCATTGGCTGCATAGGTCGAGAAATTTATGCCCGGAGCATGCAAGGCAAGCCGCGTGCGACAGACAGAAGGGTGGAGTGCTCGTCATATCGCGTCAGGCGATTGCACTTCCCTCTGGTGCATGCAACCGAACCATCAGATTCTTCAGACTCATGACTACCTCTAGCCAGGTTCCCAGTGCTTTCGACAGTCGCGCAGGAGTCATGACGATGACAGGGACGAGGACTCAATTTGATCTGAGACACAGTTTTAACCAGTGTCGAAATGTCCAGAGACGTGTTCAAAGGCAACCGAGGGGGGCGTATAGTGTGCACGAAAGTATGGCTAAACCACGGTGGAGGTCAATGTAGAGAGAGATCACGCGTGACAGTGAACCTGACTTGTTAACCAGAACTAGTTAGTAGTAGAAGGTGAATCTAAGTCGTCTTCGACGTCTACAATAGACCCCGCAAGTCGTCATAATCTAAATGCTGCGCCCGGGAACGACCCGTTGGACCAACAGGAACGAAGTGCATGCGTGCTCCCCTGTAGGAATCAGCGTGTAGCAACCCAAAAGCGTCGGCGAGCCAGTCGGGCACTTCTTTCGATGAATGTGCTACGCAGACAGGTCTTGCCTCTCTCAAACGGACAAAGGTGGAAACCATATAACTGTATTACATTTGATCATACATGTTTCGCGCATTCGACGCTGATTAGAACACGGCATAGGTCACAATTATACCCTGGAGGCAGCGGGAGGTGCAGCTGGGGCGAGAGCAGGATCTCCAGCGGCGGCACCAGATCCAGTCCCATGTAACCCGTGGCCTGCCCGACGAATACCTGATGTACAGGCACGGACCATAACGACGAGCATCGCGAATGTGAGCAATACCCTGGAGGTTGTGATGAGAGCGCTGTCACAGGTGCTGAGGAAACGAGACCCACAAGAGGATCCAAGCGAGGGCTTCCATCGCAACGATTACGCGACAGTATGCGAATGGGTTGGGTAGGCCACAGTTGACGCCGCCGCCCAACATGTGGGTCAGAACGACAGCGGCAGCAAACCAGATGCACCATGTAATGGCGAGGCTATCGGGAAATGACTGTCAGACAGGCCGAGATGCGGATAAGAGACCTACAATGCAAGATGGGCGAAGAGGGACGACAAAATCCCCCCGTTACCCCCACGTCGCCCAGTTCCTGGTCCGGCACCGACCTCTTTACCGCCGTACCCTGCACCCCCAGCGGGTGCCACCGCCGGATCGTTGGATGGCATCCCGCGCGACTGACTTCGCTGGAAATGCCACAGTAGGAGAGTAGAGAGGAGGAAAGTCCAGATGGAAGCGAAGAGGGTGTATCGTGTTCGGTGTTTCTCGCTCGAGTTGACTTCATTGCGGTGCTTGTTAAACCGGTTCACAACGAAGGCAGAGAGGATGAGCTGGATGATATTAATGTCAACGTTCTCAGCAGTGAATTCGAAAGAGCATACCTCGATTAAAGAAATGAGGATGATCAGCCCAAAGGTGACTACAGATGGTTAGAACGTGGCTGACGCGTCGATCCAAGATGAACGTACCAGGGTGTCCTCGCCGAAGATGGGCATCTGTCATATTGTTATTATGGTGAGCCATGCTTCGAGATGGGATTTCGAGAGTGGTAAGTAACCATTCTTCATTCGCCGCTCTTTAAATATCGATCCTCTCGGAAGGTCTGGTGAACAGTAGATGATGTCACAAACGGACTGACGATGTATTGACGCAGGACCCGGACGCATTCAGAAGCCAGATGGCGTAAATGGGGGTTAGAAGGCATCGAGTCTGTCGGTCACGTCCCAAGTAGTCGTAGCTGTTGAAGAAAGGCAGGAACAATGCGACATGTGAGCGGATCCGATCAAACAGCAGGTCGACCGGTCACGGGATCACGGCTCATGAATCGAGCCACGAATCCATGGTATGACATGCTGCACACATAAGTCGAAGAGATATAAGATATCATGATTGACGAAGGATTTCAGGCGCACTAAGAACATCTCCTAGTAACAGTACATGGGCTACACCCCCCTGATTAGTATGCGGCGCAGCATGTGGAGTGAGAGAACGATGAGAGGAAAGCTTTGGGTTAGGGTTAGGGTTAGGGTTAGGGTTAGGGTTAGGGTTAGGGTTAGGGTTAGGGTTAGGGTTAGGGTTAGGGTTAGG